AAAAAAAAAAAAAAAAAAAAGAAATAGAAAAAGAAAAAGTCAAAAATTAATTAATTACAACTTCGCATCCCATGCCATCCGGTCAGCACTCTCCAGTGGCCGCTCCCGCCCATCCCAGAACATCGGACAAAGCTGGAACCACTTCTCCCGGCTGCAGCAGACATGCACCGAGCGCTTGTGGCCAAGATCCACATACTTCTCGACGCTCAGCCCCTGCGCATTCTCGTAAGACAGCACCGTGGTACCGGTTGCTTTAGGTTCCCCAACCACGTTCATCGTGCGTGGCTCGTCCAGGAAGACGTAGTGGATGACGCTGGACCACCACGCGTTGACGCGGTATGCGCCGCGGATGCTTGCTTCGCCGACGAGCGAGTGCCGGCCGCGATCGTAGTCGCCTGCGTCGTAGTGCGCGCCGTAGTGATCTTCCTGTAGGTTGTTAGCACGACAGTTCGTCAAATATACTATGACGGAGGGAGTGTGAAGAGAGAGGAACGGACCTTGGCCCAATAGACCTCGAAGTAAGCAAACTTGAACTCGTCAAACCGCCCAAACAGACAGAGCACATGCTGGTCCTCGTGCAGCCGTCGCAGGTACTCGCGATGGTGTTCAATCGTGCCCGTTTCGTTCCAACCCCGCGCCACCCGCGGGTCATTCTGCCACTTGTGGAACAGCCCCAGATGCTCTTCGTCCTGCCAGTCGACGACCATCAGAGAGAAGTGCTGATCTAAGTGCGGGATGTAGCGGCTGTAGACGAGGGATCCGGGGGCTGGTTTGACCGGTCGGATGGGATGGCGCGCGTAGATGCGCTCCTCGGGAAATTTCATGGTGAACTCGTAGTTCTGCGCGAGCGGCGGGTAGGCGCTTGTTGGGCGCCTGTGGGAGCTGTTTTGCTCGATGGCCCAGATCGGGCGGGGGCCGAGAGGTGAGCCCGCGCCTTGCCAGAAGGATGAGCGGAGGAGTACGATGGTGTCGGTGGGCAGGGGCTTGTTTTCGCGGCCAAAGGGCTCGCGCGGCGAGGGGAAGGGGATGGCTAGGCCGGTGCGGATACATTCCTCGCGGATGATGGGATGGTCGCACCCTGCAAGGTCGAGTCGAATTATCTCCTGTTGTGGGTGCGTGAGAAAGGTCGCATGGATAACGTTCCATATTTGACCCAGGCTGGGGGCCTCGTTGTCGGTCCAGTGGAGGGCGGTCCCTGGGGCGCGGCGAGCGCGGGCGTATGGGCTGTTGTCTTTCAGTGGGATTGTCGTGCCGGCTTCCTCCCAGGAGAGGTCGGTGTAACAGAGGGAGCTGTTGTGGAGAGGCTCTGGAAGGGGCTGTCCGGCTGTTGAGTCGTGGAGTCGCAGCTGCAGCACCTGGGGGCTGGCTGACTCTGCAGAGATGGCATGGATGGCGTACGTGGTTAGGTAGGGATGGGGGAGCTTCACCCAGGGATAGGTGGGCATCTTGTCATGAGATGACAGATCTGTGACAATTTTTTCCATGCTGTGCATTGCTCCGAATTAATTGGAAACTGATTTGAATGCATTGGGAGAATTGAACATTGACTGACTACTTAAACGACACCAGGGCGGCCCTAACTCGGGAGCCGAGGTCTGTGAACTTGTCGGGTTCCGGTGGGGAGTCCCAATTAGAATGGCAGGGGCCGAAGTCTGGAATCTATATAAGTCCTTTTGAATCAACATGTCTAGTGCTTGTCCACTAACACAATTCTCTGTATCTCACACCATGGCAGCCACCTATTCGCATCCATCCGTCGAAGGATGTCTAGTGTCCTTCCCGACTCCGCAGATACTACTACTCACCCTCAACCGACCCGAGCGACGTAACTGTATTCCCCTCGCTACGAGCACCGAAATACAACGCCTATGGGAATGGTTTGACACTGAGCCCAACTTACAGGTTGCCATTATTACAGGCACGGGCGAGTCTTTCTGCTCGGGCGCGGACCTGAAAGGTAGGACCCCATCGAGCCTAGAGAAAAAGCCCCCCGAATCATACGAGCTAACAACCCACAGAATGGAATCGGCTTAACGCGCAGGGCACGGTCAACGAGATGACCGCCCCCGGTCTAGCGGGCCTCCCTAGACGCCGAGGCACCAAACCCATCATCGCAGCAGTCAACGGCCACTGCTTAGGCGGGGGCTTTGAGATGGCGGTAAATTGCGACCTAGTCATCGCCAATCCGCAGGCCACATTCGGACTACCCGAAGTCCAACGCGGTATTGCAGCAGTAGCGGGCTCTCTACCTCGGTTGGTGCGCATCCTGGGCAAACAGCGAGCAGCGGAGATCGCGCTCAGCGGTCGGAGCTTTCCGGCCACGCAGCTGGAACGTTGGGGCCTGGTGAACCGCGTGGTGGAGGCGAGTCGGCTGGTGGAATCCGCAGTGGAACTTGCCACCACTATTGCCGGTAACAGCCCGGATAGTATTCGCGTGACTATGGAGGGGCTCCATCTCGGTTGGGAGCAGGCCAGCGTTGAGGATGCCAGTACTAGGCTGGTGGATGGGTGGTACGGGAAACTGATTGCCGGTCCCAATTTCCACGAAGGAGTGAGGGCGTTTGTGGACAAGGAAAAGCCCCGCTGGAGAAGCAGCAGCTTGTGAATTTGATCATCGTGTCCACCTTTTTTGGCGTTATCAATCTGAGACCCCTAACCTCATACCAGTCAAAATGACTTCGTCTATCCGGTAGTGGGGATTCCGCGCCCTACGTAAAACACTGTAAAACACTGTATTTCGGACCCATGACGACGAACCCGTAATACTGATACCATACCGCTCATACACGTTTCAGCCCTGAAATACACCAGGCCGACCTGGCATTCTCAGGATCCGACTATCCTAATCAGGGCAACTGTGGATGGGGTACAGGCCCACATTAGTATCCGCTGCAATGCGCGATTTTGGACATACCGATATTGGTTTCCCATGCGCGGTCCATACACATGGTCGGTTGCTGTCGAGGCATTGTATTTATCCATATCCTGTTGCTAGGAGTCACTCAGTCAAAGACAATTTCGGTCTAAAGGCCATAGTACACCATGGGCTCGATCAAGGCAGATAACGACGGCTGCCAAAGCTCTCGTGCGGTTCAGTGGGCGGATGACGTGACGATGAAAGACGAAGCTGTACTGCTGTCATGGCTGATTGTGCTCCTGCGCGCCCAAGACGACGTCCAGATTCGCTTCCAGTGGGCGTACAAAGACGGGTCTAGCGAGCCAGATACCAAGACCCTCAAAATGGAGGAGGTCTTTCCGGATGGGATCCAAACCACCGTGGGCCGGGCAATCCAGAGTATATCCAAGCACATCGCAACGGAGGCGCAAGCCGGCCAGTCGATGTTGGAGTCCGGCAGCCTTCTCCTCAGCACGGGGTCACTGTCGACCTCCTCTGACAAAGTCAATGAAGAGCCAACCCTCTGTATTGAGGTCAGTCTTCGAAATCAAAGCCTGGAAGTCCGGCCCGCGTGGATGTCCGACAACATGCTCCCCTTCACAGCCACCCGACATATCGACACCCTCGTCCACACCGTCCACACCGGCCTATCCAACCCCAACACCACCATCGAATCCTACCTAAACACCATACCATACGACTTGGACAACATCTGGCGCTGGAACCACACCCTCCCGCCGAGCTACAACTTTTGCATGCATGACATGGTCGCCGAGCGGGCCTACCGCTCCCCGACAAAAGTGGCAATCTGCTCCTGGGACGGCGACCTCACCTACGCCCAGGTAGACCAGTACTCGACACAAGTCGCCTGCGCGCTGCAGCAGGAACTTGGCGTCCGCCAGGGGGACATCGTCCCCGTGTGCTTTGAGAAGTCCCGCTGGACAGTCGTCGCCGTATTGGCCGTCATGAAAGCCGGCGCGACCTTCGCAATGATGGACCCATCGCTGCCACTGGGACGGCTGCAGAATATGGCCGTGCAGGTTGGCGCATCCACCATTGTGTCATCGCGAGACCAGCACGGCTTCTCGGTGGAGATTCTGCCGTCCGGAAACCACTTCGTCGTCGAGGCGGATATCTTCCCCGCCGCCGAGGACCCCACGACGGCTTCGGGGGCAGACCTACAGCCTGTGGCACCGTCAACTCTCATGTACATCATCTTCACCTCCGGCAGCACGGGGACTCCCAAGGGAGTGACCGTGTCGCATCGGACGTACACCAGTAGTGCGGTGCCTCGCGCCCAGGCCGTGGGGTACAGCGAGACATCACGAGTTCTGGATTTTGCGTCGTACGCGTTCGACGTCAGTATTGATAGCATGCTGCTGACGCTCGGGAGCGGCGGGTGTCTGTGCATCCCGTCGGATGAGGACCGGCTGAATGATATCAATGGGGTTATTCGCGCAATGGAAGTCAACTACGCGGGGATCACGCCGTCGGTGGCTCGCATTCTGGAGCCGGACGTCATTGCGTCGCTTAGCGGCGGCCTTGGGCTTGGCGGAGAGGCTGCTTCGTCCAGGGACGTAACGGTCTGGGGTCGGGATGCGCGGATCATCATCGGGTATGGGCCGTGTGAGTGCACTATTGGCTGCACCGTGAACAGCAGCGCAGCCACTGGGCGAGACTATATTTCTATTGGGCCTGGCAACGGCGCTGCAATTTGGATTGTGCGCCCCGACGACCACAACTCGCTTGTTCCGGTGGGTGCGGTGGGCGAGCTGTTGGTGGAGGGTCCTATTGTCGGCCAGGGATATCTCAACGACCCGGAGAAGACGGCCGCGGCGTTTATCGAAAACCCTCCCTGGCTGACGGCAGGGCATAAAGATCATGCAGGCCGCCGAGGCCGTCTGTACAAGACGGGGGATCTGGGGAAATACGATCCCGATGGATCGGGGGGAATTGTCTTTGCCGGACGGAAAGATACCCAGGTCAAATTGCGCGGGCAACGCGTGGAGCTTGGCGAGATTGAGAGCCAACTGAAAGCGATACTTCCAACCAACACCGCGGTCATTGTGGAAGTTATCAAGACCCTGGGGCAGCCGACTTTGGTGGCCTTTGTTGCCATCTCTCAGTCGACGGCAAACCAAGGGCGTCCTTGTGAGCTCCAGTCGGTCGACTTCACGGCGGAGCAGCAAGGTATGCTCACATCAGCCGATGCAGAGATCGCTAAGGTCCTGCCTCGGTACATGGTTCCCACGACATACATCCCCGTAAATCATATCCCTGTTCTCATCTCCGGCAAGACCGACCGGAAGCGTCTTCGGGAGTTCGGGGCTACTGTCGACTTGAGACAGCTCGATCAGAAAGGTACCAGCGAAAACACGGCTCGGGAACTGACGGAGACCGAGCAGCGTCTACGCGATGCGTGGGCAAGCGTGCTGCAAATCGACGCGACTGGTATCCGTCTTCAAGATAACTTCTTCGCGCTAGGAGGCGATTCGTTATCAGCCATGCGACTAGTTCCAGTATGCCGAGCGCATGGCCTCGACCTCACGGTTGCGGATACGTTCAGTAACCCTACCCTCTCTGCAATGGCGAGCATCATAAAAGCCTGCACGGTAGAAGACGAAGTTGAAACCCGCGCGTTTTCCCTTATCATGGGAGACGCGGAATCCGTCTGCCTCGAGGCGGCGCAGGCCTGTGGGGTCACCCGAGAGGCAGTCGAAGATATCTACCCTTGCACGCCCACCCAAGAGTCGCTTTTCACGTTCTCTCTCAGGTCTGCTGAGCCATATATTGCGCAGCGAGTGGCATGTATCCCACAAAACACCGATCTCGATGCGTGGAAGAAGGCCTGGGAGCAAGTAGTCGCGAAAAGCCCCATCTTGCGGACTGGACTCGCTCAGCTGCAGGGGGAGCCAGGTCTCCAGCAGGTGGTGCTTAACACAGGCCGGATCCAATGGAGAGAAGCTGCGGACCTGGAGCATTACCTAGAAATCGATCACACGGAGACAATGGGTCTTGGACAGAGTCTCGCTCGCTATGCTATCATAACGCCACCCGATGATGAGAAGAGATATATGGTGTGGACCGTCCACCATGTTCTCTACGACGGGTGGTCTGAGCCCCTCATTCTTAAACAAGTGAGTGATGCTTTACAGGGGATGGTCGGCACGTCGTCAGCGGCACAGATCCGGCAGTTTGTAAGCTATGTCCGCGACATCGACGAAACCGCCATGCAGCAATACTGGAGGGAAGAATTGCACGGGGCCGTGGGCCCTCAGTTCCCGCGTCTCCCATCCCGCGATCATGTGCCCAACCCTGATGCCATGCGGGAGCGCCACATCTCGCTTCCAGATGCCGGTTCCCAGTGGCCCTTCACGGTGGCTACCGTGATCCGGGGAGCGTGGGCGCTGTTGGCGTCACGCTACGCTGGGAGCGACGACATCGTCTTCGGTGAAACACTCACGGGTCGAGACATCCCGTTAGCGGGGGTGGAAGGCATCGTCGGACCGTTGATCGCGACGGTTCCTGTTCGAATCCGTGTGTCCCGAGCGGACACCGTCGGCTCGTATCTGCAGACCGTCCAACAGGGACCTCTCACCCGAACCCCCTACCAGCATATGGGGATGCAGAATATCCGCAAGGTGAGCGATGATTCGCAGCACGCCTGTGAAGCCCCAACTGGGCTGGTCATCCAGCCCGAACCGGAGTATGTCGGGGACGAGCTCGGGTTCACGCACGGAGATGTCGTCCGGGAGGCTCTTCATTTCAACCCGTACCCCCTCATGCTGGCCTTTGGGATCCAGAAGACGGGCGGTTTCAGAGTCTGTGCCAGCTTCGACAGTGCGATTATCGAGGTTGCTCAGATGGAACGCATCCTGGCGCAGTTAGAAACGGTCTGCCATGAGTTGATGGGCAAGGACGTTTCGCAAAGCCTGAACGAGATATCCTGTGTTCCGGAGGTGGAATTGAACCAGATCTGGCAGTGGAACAAAACACCGCCCCTGTCTATGGACGATAGTACTACAACGCCGCGTGCGAGTTCCGCCATAACATCGGGATCGGAATATCCCCCCGTGGCGGTCCCCTGGGTGTGTGATCTGCGCAACCCGTCGCTCCTCTCGCCGATTGGTAGCACCGGCGAGCTTTGCCTCGAGGCCGGTTTCCTCCAAGGCGATGATCTTCTCGAATCGCCAGACTGGCTCGTGGCTGGGAGCTCCATTTGCTCGGGCCGTCAGGGCAAAATCCAGCGCACTGGTGATATAGTGCAGTTACGAGATGACGGGACGATTGTGTTCATTGGCCGTAAGGAGAACGTGGTATCGCTACAGGGCCATGCCGTGAACATTGCTGACCTCGAGGACCTCTTTGCCAAGTACCTCCCAGCCACAGCGCGGGCTGTCGCCGTGGTTAGCGAAATCCCGTCGCAGGAGGGAGAACTCGTCGTTTTTATTGAGTCGCCAGAGTCAGAGACAGAATGCGCCACGTTGATGTCCACGGAGCACCGTCTGGCTATGGAAGGCTTTGAAAGCGCAATCTGCTCCCACATTTCGATCCACCTAGCAGCAGCACTAAAACGATTAGACAAGTTCATCCGGGATTCTCTGCCATCATACATGGCCCCCGCCTGCTACATTCCCATTCAGAATATGCCCACCAACGAAGGGCAGATTGATCGCGCTATGCTCAGTCACTTTGGCTCGGACATTCCGAGGACGACCAAGCACGGATTGACAGAAGCCCTTCAAACTGCATGGGCACAGGGCTCCACACACGCCGACCTGACAGTGGCGGAGAAGGTCTTACGGGCTGCGTGGGCAACGATTCTCCGAGTTCTCCCGGATGAGATTGATGTCGACGACAATTTCTTCCGACGTGGTGGTGACTCCGTGTTGGCCATGAAGCTCGTCTCTCTCCTTCGAGCCGATGGTCACCGGCTGACAGTGGCCGATATCTTCCAACACATGCGACTGGGCGATGCTGCGAAGCGTTTGAAGATGGACAGTTACACCTTGCGACCGGCGCCAGTTCAATCCTACCAGCGGTTCTCCACGCTTGACGAGTCGAGTGTCGAGCAGCTCTGCCAGGAAACGGTCAAGCCCCAGCTCGCTGACTCAAGCTGTAGTATTCAAGACGTTTACCCCGTGACAGACTCGCAAGCCCTCGACGTTCGTGCCACTATCCACGACCCGCGCACATCTTTCCAGTACACCACGCTTTATTTCGACGAGCATATTGACGCCGCACGCCTGATCCAGGCCACAACCGAGCTGATCCAAAAGCATGACATCTTGCGGACCGTCTTTGTCCAGCACAAGGAGAGCTTCCTCCAAGTTGTTCTAGATCGGTTGGACGACCCCGTGGTGACCACTCAACACGCCAGCACCGGCGACAACCTCCAGACATTCATCAAGCAGCTCTGTAACGAGGACATTGAGTCGCCCTTCACACTGGGATCCCCGTTCCTGCGAATCTTCCACGTCCAAGACATCGCCAGTAGCTGCCACTGCCTCGTCCTCGGCCTCTCGCACGCCCAATACGACGGCGTCTCACTGCCCCTGCTCCTCCAGGACCTAGATACCCTCTACACCAACCCTCAACAAGCGCTACAGCACGTGCCCTTCTCCCACTACATCTCGCGCATTCACGACACAACCCTCCAAGCAGAAGCCACCACCTACTGGGGCAGCGTTCTCCGCGACTCCACCCTCTCCATCCTCCCAGGCCAAACCACCCAGCCAACCGACCGCGCAATCTTCCACACCCAACCCGTATCCCTATCCCACGACCCCACCACGCAAGAAATCACCCCCGCAACCCTCCTCACGGGCGCCTGGGCACTTGTCCTTGCCCGCCGCCTGCAAACCGCAGACGTGACGTTCGGCGGCGTGACCATGGGCCGCCAGGTTGAGGTCTCCCCGGCGGGGACGGAGACTGTCGCAGGACCCTGCTACCAGCTGACGCCCATTCGGGTCGTGTTCCAGGGTGGCTGGACCGCCCGCGACCTGCTGCGGAGTGTGCAGCGACAGGGCGCCGAGTCGGCCGGGCACGACTTCCTGGGCTTCAAGCGAATCCGGGACCAATGTACCCGGTGGTCGAAGGAGGCGATTGGGTTCGATTCGCTGGTACATCATCAGGACTGGGAAGACTTTGATGCGATGGATTTCGCTGGGGGGCGGTGTCTAGTTGAGCAGGAGGATCCACATGGGGATGCACCGGCGCCGATGAAGATCGTGTCGTTTGTGAAAGAGGGGCGCATGCATGTTGGGGTTGTTGGGAGTGAGCGGGACAGGGAGTTGGTGGATGGGGTGTTGAGCGAGCTGGGGAATGCGGTGGAGGAACTTGGAGGGGAGGGCGGTGTTTTGAGTGTATAGGCTGTTGAGATCGGGATTCTTGTCCAGATATTGAATTTTCATGATACTGATATTGAAAGTATGCAGTGGATGGTTGAAACAGCTGGAGGAATGTGAAGTTGAAGAGAGAAGAGAGAATAATCAATGTACATCATCTGATCTTACCAGCCATGAAGGCAATTGCTCTGATAACATCTTCAACTTCTTCTGTATATATTTATGTTAATATATTCATAGTAATATATTCATTTGCAATACTCTTTCGTTCTAGATTAGACAACTGAATTAACACAATGATATCTCAGCAAAGACCCGGGCTTGATATGGATTATCATGAGTGCATCTTCCCAGACTGAGAACATATAAACACTCAGAGACTAAGATACCTGGTTATTCTTCCAGTACCTAAGCTACTAGTCATTCACTTAAACTATCCTCTCCAAGACCTATCATGATTCTTTTAAAAATCCAGAAATTGAAGTCTATTGTTTAGCTAGTCTATATTACAAAGAATTAACAGTCTAAAAGATCGATGATAGTCAAGGGTCATACACAAGGCCAATCACGCGGGAAAGCAACCCTGGGCAACACGCCCAGAAGAATCAAAGACAAAACAAAAAAAGTGAGATCCACTCGATAAAACAAAGGATACAAAGAGAATCCAGCAAGACCAGGAAGAAAAGCCAACCTACGTCGCAACGGTCTGATGCAAAACATTCGCCCGATAACTGTCCGACCTCCCCAGCAGCTCCGAATGACTGCCCGAATCAACACACACTCCCCCCTCAATCAAAAAGATCACATCCGCGCGCTGAATCGTCCGGAGCCGATGCGCAATTGCAATAAGCGTGATGCCCTGCGCCGCCGTCTCCAGCCCCTGCTGCAGCAACCGCTCGCTCTCCGCATCCAGCGCACTAGTCGACTCATCCAGAATCAGCAGCCGCGGACGCCGAACGAGCGCCCGCGCAATCGAAAGCCGCTGCTTCTGCCCGCCGGAGAACTGGCTCCCGTTCGGTCCACACATGGTTTCGTACCCGTCCGGCAGCGCCTCGATCGTCTCGTGGATGTGCGCCAGCTTGCAAGCGGCGATAATCTCCTCCAGGGACGCGGCGTGGCCGGGTCGCGCGACCAGCCCGATGTTGAAGGCCACTGTGCCCTCGAAGAGGACATTCTCCTGCGGCACGAGGGCAATGGTGTCGCGGAAGTTGGGGTCGTGGTTGGGACGGGTGACGTCGGCGCCGTCGATGAGGATGGATCCGGCTTGTGGGGTGTATAGGCGCTCGATGAGCGAGATGATGGTGGATTTACCGGCGCCGCTGGGGCCGACGAGGGCGCAGAACTGGCCCGGTTGCACGGTAACGTTGAGTCCGTGCAGGACGGGGGTGTGGGGGCGGGCGGGGTAGGCGAAGTGCACATTGTGGAGCTGGACGCTGGCGGCGGCGGTTGGGGGAGCGGAGATGCCCCTGGATTGGCCGGAGGTGGCTTTCTCGGGGTCGGAGAGGTTTGTCTTCTCGTCGAGGGCGGTGGTGGTCGGGACGTGTCCTTGCATGCCGTCGGAGCCGGCTTCGATCAGAGTGAGGATGCGCGCCATGGCGGCGCGGGCGCTGGAGAGTTCCGGGGCGAGAGCGAACATTTGACTCCACAGGAGGGCACTGACGAGCAGTGAGAAGACGACGATGAGGAACTGGGTTTGGGTGTAAGTGCCGGCGATGATCTGCTTCGCACCCCACCAGTAGGCCAGGGCGTTGACCAGATTGCCGAGGAAGTAGGTCATGGCTTGCCAGAGGGAGGCCTGCATCGTAACGGCGCGGGTCTCCTTACGGGGTCCCCGCAGGGAGCGCCGGTATGTGGTTAGGGTGTCCGTTTCGAGCGAGAGTGCGGCGATGGTCGTGATGGAGGTGATGGCCTCGACACCGATGTCCACAGACTTGGTGTATGCGTTCTCATGGCGGTCCTCGAACCGGCCGAGCACGCGCAGCTCCATCAAGCCGGCGCCCAGGAGCAGCGGCACCAGCGCCAGGCAGACGAGAGCGATCTTCCACGCGATGATGTGGGTCAGGATAATGGCCGCGATGAGGTTGACGGTGATAGAGAAGAGCGTGCCGAGGACGGAGCCGCTCAGCCCTGCCAGCGCGCTGCCATCGCGCGTGATATACGAGAGCAGTAGGGCCGGCGAGCGGCCCTTAGACTGATGCCACTGCAGGTCCTGCTGAAACAGGGAGCGGAAGGAGAGGATACGCACCGTGCAGACGATGCGCTCCGACGTCCATCCGAACCCAGACCAGCTCACCACGTTGGCGAAGAACTCAATGATGGCCAGCACGAAGAACAGTAGTCCGTAGAAGTTGCCGTCGGACCGGATTGCTGACGGGCCCTTGCAGGGATTCAGACTGCCGACGGTGTTGCCAAAGATGACCGCTTCGCCGGAGAAGGCCCCACCGACGAGGCTGGCGCCCAACAGGGCCAGGGTAATAACCAACAGATGCGGTCGCAGCGTTGGCGCATAGCCACAAGCCAGCTCCCAGAGGGTTTTGGGTGGTGCGGGGGGCTCTTCCTCGTCGTTGTCCGCTGTCTCCTGGTCTGGAGTCGTGCTCGTCGCGACCGTAACGATATTCGCTTTCTCTTGGGGATCAACAGCGGCCCAGCCAGCGTCGTCCGCATCCTCTGTAATGGGGGAAGGATCCTGGTGCGACTGGCGGCCGGTATCGACACTGGAAGCCTCTGTGTCCTGTTCCGGACTAGAGGTCAGTGTTTGCATCCTTACCATCTCCGCATACGTGCCATTCTTAGCCATGAGAGAGGCGTGGTCTCCCTGTTCAACGATATGTCCGCGGTGCATAACGATAATGTTATCGGCGCTGGTGATGGTCGACAGGCGATGCGCAATCGTAATCATAGTTCGGCCACTTGCTATACTGGAAATAGCATTCTGGATGCGCTGCTCACTGCGGGAATCGAGCGACGCCGTCGCTTCATCCAGGACGAGAACCTCCGGATCTTTGACGAGGGCACGAGCCAACGACACTCGCTGTTGCTGGCCCCCACTGATGAGCCGGCCGCTCGCGCCCACCAACGTTCCGTATCCCTGCGGCAAGGCGACGATGAACGCGTCCGCGTCCGCTAGCGTCGCGGCCGTTCTGACCAGATTGACGATCTCGACGACGAGGTCGCCACGCTTCTGAGCCGCGGTCGTTAAGTCCGCGCCGTCGCGCACCTCGCTCGCCACGTCGGCCAGGTCGGTGCTGAGCAGCGCCGGGAGCAGGGCTGCATGGGCCGGGTTCTTGGAGTTCACCAGGCCGTGAGCGATGTTCTCCAGGAGTGATCGGTCGAGCAGCGAAGGCTCCTGCTGGACGAGACTGAGGAACCCGCGCAGGTCGCGGGTGTTGATATCGCGCAGGTCCTGGCCGTCGAATAGCACTCGACCCTGGTTGGGATCATACAGCCGGGTGACGAGGCCGGCGATCGTGGACTTGCCGCTACCTGAGAGACCGACCAGCGCAGTGTGTTTCTTGGCCGGGATGGAGAGGCTAACTTGGTCGAGCACGGTGATCTCTGGCCGAGAGGGGTAGATGAAAGATACGTTCTCGAGCTCGAAACCGCCATCCGCCTGTGTCAGACGAATGCCGGCGTCTGTCGTACCGTCGATAAGAGGCTCTCGGTCGATATCGCCGCGCAGCTTGCTGTAGGAGGCGACTGCAGCGGTGAACAGATGCAGAAAGGGGGCGACTTGGCTCAGTAAAAGGGTCGCTGCCTATCCGTCAGCTTCTTTTGCTTTGTCTCCATACCATCGCAGCATATTAAAAAAAAAAAAGAAAAAAACATACCTTCAATGAGAATAAAGATGACAGTGAACGTGGAGCCCACCGTGGTCCCGTTGGACTTGGACTGCACGGCGTCGGCGATCCGTTGACTCCCCTGCCAGAATGCGAGGCCGTTGGCGGAATACGCCACAAAGTACAAGACACCGGACTGGATTCCCACAGCGGTGGCCTTCTTCAGACCTTCCTGCTCCGACGACTTGAGCGCCTTGGAGAACTTTTCCTCCAGGCGCGTGTTGGCACCAAACGATTGAACCACGATCAGGTTGGACAACGCCTCGGAGGCGATGGAGGCCGCCGAGGCCGCATAGTCCGACATGCGCGCGGAGTACTTCTCGATGTAATGACTACCCACAAAGGACATGATAAAGTAGGCAGGAATCAGGGAGAGGAGCATTGCGGCGAGGATATAGTCTTTAATAAAGGCCACGATGTATGCGGTCACGAAGAAGGAGAAGCTCGACAGACAGATGCCGACTTTCTCGGACGTACCCGAGCGGATAGTCTGAATGTCGCCATTGAGCCTGGACGCGATTTCGCCCGGAGGCAGCTTATCAAAATGGGATGGCTCCTGACGAAGCAAATTCTTCAAATAGCTCTCCCGTAGTCTCTGCGCCAGTCGCGCGCCGGTCATAGTCCAGCAGGTCAGGTGGAGGTAGATGGTGACGAACTGGGCGATGGCCAGATACACGATCAACAAGATCTTGCCGTTCATATCACTCTGAGCTTGTGCGTCAGATTCTGTCGTTTGCTTGGTCTCCTGACAGGTCACTGCGTTGAAATCATCCAGCAGCTGGCCGAAGACGATCCCGATCAAGGGAAACGGGACCCCAGACGCGATGGCGCAAACGACACCCATGAGCAGCATGCCACGGTCGACCCTGGATGGCTTGCCGGCCAGCAGCATGCTAGGGTAGTCTAGCAATTTCGCGAAAAACTTCATGGTGCCGTCCTACTATCGACCTGCTGGGGGGGGAGAAGTGTAGGTTGTAGGAGCCGTGGGCGTTTATCCAGGTCTAGGAACCATAGGTCTTTGTTTTTTGCTCTCCTTTTCTCTCATTCCCGTTTCTCGGGTGAAGGACTTCCGCCCAGACACACGCAACGACAGGTCCCAAAGACTGACGCTGAAGTGGGGCGAAAATGTCGCTACGTAAGAAGATGGATGCTGCAGGGATTTGATCTACTTGATCTAATCAATCTTAGTGGGCTCGTATTACCACAATACGTGATACCGGATTACATACGTGCGTAAGTATTCCGTACTATACACCGGTACCGGTATCGATCCAGGATCAAATCTTATCAGATAAAAATCAGCACAACGCTAGTCTGTTTCTGGCAGCCGCTGTCAAACTATGACACATGAACCAAAGCATGAAGTGGATGGTCGGGCCGGATCTCATATGTTTTGAAGTGGTACGAGCAGAGAACCGAGAATTTCGCATGAGTGGGGGGTCGTTGGGGCGGATTGCAGGTGAGACAGCTCTCGGACGTATGCCGGCCAGGCCACCCACCTGTGGCCACTAATTGGACACCTTGTTATGAACCAGTGCACATGGTAACTATCCCATATTGGGCTATCTGCTGGTGCGTACACTGTCCTAGCAATTTTTGCCTAACATGGAGGTGTGCAAGAGTGTATGCTGAGATAGTCTACTTGATAAAAAAACACATACACTACCGCCATCTCTTTCTACAGCGAGGAACCTTGCTTAGAAAATTCATAAACAACATAAGATAAACGATATGAACATCAGCGCCCTAAATTTGTCCACCATATTATCGCCCTTTACACCCGGTGACCTTCCCATCCCTTCCCTTTTTCCCCTCCAACATCGCTCAGTAATATCTCGACAGCGTCACGACTAAAACACTGCATCCGTGCGGCAACACCGAGCCATAATCCCCCTAAAACACCATACCCTTCACCTGCTGCACCTTGGCAAGATCAATGTTGCGAATCAGAAGGATCCACACAAACGCGAGGCCTATAATTCCCGTTCCGGCCGCCAACATGCGCGTCTGCGCATAGGCGTAGGCCTCCTGGATAGCCAATCGTGTAACACTCCCGACGGGATACTCCAGCTGGGTATCGAGGTTCTCATAGATGCTGTCGAGTCTCTTCATCGCGGACGAGGGCAATTCCCGGATGAGCGCCTTCTTGAAGGTATTGGTCCAGATGGCGCCGGAGATATTGGAGCCCATGGCGCCACCGACGGTGCCGACGACGTTGAGAAGGGCCAGCACGGCGGCGATGTGCTGGTGGTCGACAGCAGCGAGGATGGCTAGCTGCTGGACGATGATGAAGACGCTTCCGCCGATGGAGATGAAGATCTGGCACATCACCAGGTAGCCGACGGATTGGTTGGGGCGGCGGAAGTAGATCATGAGGCCCTGCGCAAAGACGTAGAGCGGAACGGAGATGTAAAGAAGCCATTTGAAGCGGCCAGTGCGGGAGATGAGGAACCCCACGATTAGGAGGAGAACCCCCGAGACGACGTCGAAGGTGTTCATCACGTAGCCGGCCTCCGAAAGGGTCAAGTCATTGACGACCTGCAGAAAGGAGGTGTAGTAGTTGGCCCAGCAGGAGTAGGAGATCTGGTAGGTGGCGTCCAGCAGACAGGCGCCGATAACCGTGCGGTCGGAGATGAAAGTAAAGTTCAACATGGGCACGGGGGCCAAGAAGACTTCATGCAGGATGAAGATGATGAGCATCACGAAGCCGACCACGATCATTGCGATGACGTAGTCTGTGCTCCAGCCGTTGGGGGAGTCGGCGGCAATTTCGAACGGCAAAAGAAAGACAATGAGACCGGCGGAGAAGATGACAACGCCGAATACTGCGATTGTTAGCCGGTGCAATTCGGTACAACGCAGCGCATACGGAACAGACTCCAAAGCACGCTATTGAAACAATGTAAACGTACGATCAAACTGGACAGTATAGTGCCAGATATTCTGCAAAAACGTCCGTCCACTGTCCTCATTGGCGGTCAACCCCTGCTTGATGGCCTTGCGGAGATTGAACTTCAACAGAAGGTACAGAGGTGCCGCGACGACCGGAAAGATAATTGCAAAGCAGCCGAATCCCCAGCGCCAATTGACTTTGTAGTAGAAGTCCTCTGCAGACTTGGGCCCCGCGAAGGCGGTGATGATGTAGGGCGACGACGTAAAGGCATATGCCAGTCCTCGATTCTTCAGCTTCGATGCGTCCGCGGTAACGACGTCTATACAGTACGTCATGCCCTGGAAACCAACACTGTAGAAGACCTGGTGGGCATTAGCTTGCTGTCGTTCTGTGGAGGAGAAATCTTACGTAGGCAGCGCAGAACGTTGGAAGGTTTTGGCAGCAGGCCATGATAATCAAGCCAACCGTCGCGAAGACCGTCATAATCATGAATCCCTCCGCTCTGCCCCAAAGATCCAGAATCTTAGCCAGCGGGATAAAGGTGGCGGCGCACATGGCGTTCGCCACGATGTAGATTACATTCAACAAGGAGTGGGACTCAAATTTGCTGGTGACGAAGGGGAGGAGCTGGGTGAGGATATTCGACTGGAAGGCGTTGACGAGGTAAATGAACCAGATACTGGCAGTTCATCATGTTAGGGACCGACGCAGTAGATTGTGGAAACAAGACCATACTTTATGAAGACTGCGATGAGAGATCTCTTAGACCATGTCAAGGTCAGGGCCTCAACGTTGTGCACACCACGCTGGGTCTCTTCACTGGGCATCTCTGGTTGCGCCTCATCCTGACTCTGTGGGACATCGCCAGCAGCGCCCTCGTGTTTGCTGTCCACAACGGTTCTTCTGGTTACCGAGGCCGAGTCATCCTCTTGATTCCCAGTCTTCACGAGCCTCCGGAGCCTGTTGAACTCTACCATAACGACGGGTGAATAGAGTGAGTGTTTACTAGGTGGGACTTAGAATCACAACAGTCACGGGAAACCATGCCGTTAACTACAATTGATTGACAAGGGTCTCCGAAAGTCGGACTTTCTCCCGATCTAGGGCACGGCCGTGATCCAAGGGACGCGGTTTTGTCATTTGTCCATGCACAGGCGTAAGAAACTGGGAAAGTTGTGGCTTCACCCTCTATAACAAGGCGACGAGCCAATCAGGACGGACAATATGGAGAAATCAGGGTCTATCTTGTATCGGCTAAGAGCACTCAATCCTACCAAGGGTCAAAGCAGTGCTGTAGTGCAGTCGGTGGGTCGACTGGCCGCCATGACCGAGACCTGTGGACAGTCCGTATTTGGGGGATACATCGTATCTATGGTTTTTTTGATCTGATAAATTACCAGACGAAGCCATTTGAACTACCAGGCATGGATCCAGAACCTGGTGGTCAACGTATCCACTAGAGCGGAGTGAGCCTTGCCCTTTTTGATTAACCGAGAATTTCCCTCATATTCTTCTGATCACATTACGTGAAGATAAGGCAAGCACCTCAGGGGTTAGACCCCAGTCACACGCAACCCCGGTCGAGGAAACATCCGGGCGATGTCATACCGACCATCAGAATGCTGTTGGGGCATATCCAGCGGGTCATACTCCTTCACCGACTCCTCGCTCATACATTACGACCTTAAATAGGAATACCTGGAGTCTATCAATTCAATGTTGTAGGAAGCCCCAGCTCCGGCACTGGACCAGGGTGTGACCACAGTCGACCAAACTACTCTTTGCTTTCGAACTATAGTTCGTCAACTTATTGGGTTTAAATTGCAGTATCTTCTCCTCTCTCCTGGACATGACTCTAGCGGCAGGCAAAGACAGCTAGTATCTCTGGTAGCATCGTGCGACTACAAGACCATCTGCCTCGGAGCCTTCTACCTTCCAGCCCCATAAGTCCCTCCTCGTGATTCCACGTTGTTCCGGCCCACACTCCATCTACCAGGCGTGCAATAATACGGTCAGGCAGCGGCTTCTCTGCAAATGGGAACGAGGCTCCACACACACATACTCCACCAGCCATATTAATCGAGGAGATGTGAGATACAACCGGCGGAATGTTCCGACTACGATCAGCGGTGTTGAAGCTTCTGTCCATGGAGTATTCTGGGTCGGTGGCGGATTTGTCTCGGACGGAGTCAAAAAGAAGAAAAAATAAATCAATAAAAAGAGAAAAAAAGTCTCCATCCTCGTTATCTGATCTGCTTGGACCGCTTTATCAATCTTACGTCGTTTCTTACAAGAAACTTTCGTCAATAATACCAATACGTATGGTAAGTTACCACAAAACATACCAGCGATACACGCGCAAATGAAGATCCATAACCTCTCTATAGCCTCGCAATCCATGGGAGGTGTTGGAAGTGCTCTAATCGGAGACACAAGACACTTGGCTCGGATACTTCGGCAAAGGATGTCACATCCTGTTAAGACGCCTGAGATGCAGAGCATATCTGGTGTAAATCCGCCTCTCGTCCCTGTGTCTCCACGCCATACACAAAAGAGAAAAGCAAATTCCCACCATACTCTACAGGCAGCCAGACATGACGCAGCCCAGCACCCATGAGCGTCTGCAGCAGACGCTCGCGCACCTTCAGCCACTTTCCGCGCCCACCCAGCTGTCCATTGTGCAGGGCCCAACTGACCAGCCCCTCTGGAATATCACCCTCGGCCAGTTGCTAGAGCGGCAGCGAGCCCAGTACGGCAGTCTCGAGTGTGTGGTATTTCCCTGGACGGGTGTCCGGTGGACCTATGCTCAGCTCGATGAGCAGACCAATCGTCTGGCCAGGGGCCTGCTGGCCATGGGAATCTCCAAGGGAGACCGCATCGGCATCATGGCGGGCAACTGCGAGGAGTACGTCGCTGTCTTCTTTGCCGCTGCCCGCGTGGGCGCCGTCCTCGTCGTGCTGAACAACACGTATACCCCGTTGGAGTTGTACTATGCGTTAGACCATTCCGGTATGTTGCTTCTCGTCTTTATCATTTCACGCTGGTCCATGCTCATACGCTGACGCGGGTTGTGCCAGAATGCCGAGTTCTCTTCCTCACGCCTCACATCGGCCGCCATTCCCTCCACGAAGCCCTAACTCACCTCGGCCCCCGACCAAAAGACACCACTGCATCTCAGTCCCTCGAGGAGGTCGTCCTGCTCCGCGACAATGACAGCAACAGCAGAGACTACCCGACCTTCACTCGGTACAACCAGGTTCTCCAGCGCGGCGAACACCTGCCCACAGACAAGCTCGTCCTCCGCGAGAGCGAACTCAGCCCCGACGACGTCTGCAACCTGCAATACACAAGCGGGTCAACCGGGTCTCCCAAGGCCGCCATGCTCACACACCAGTTTGTCTTCCCATAACAAATCAACACACCATACTTGCCTCCTACCTCCTCCCCACCCACCACTAACAAAAACCAGCAATCTAGTCAACAACTCCCGCTTTATCGGCGACCGCATGGCGTTCACATCTCTCGACATCCTTTGCTGCCCACCCCCTCTCTTCCACTGCTTCGGGCTCGTGCTCGGCCTGCTCGCCGTGGTCACGCACGGAGCCAAGATCGTCTTCCCGGCTGAGACCTTCGACGCGGGCGCCGTCTTGCGCGCCATCTCCGACGAGGCGTGCACCGCCCTCCACGGCGTGCCCACCATGTTTGAGTCGCTCCTCGCCCTCCCCAAGCCGGACGGGTTCGTGTCGATGCTGCGCACGGGGATCATTGCGGGGGCGCCGGTTCCAAGGCCGTTGATGGAGAGGTTGCTGGGGGAGTTGAATATGACTCAGTTTACGAGTAGTTATGGTATTTCTTCCCTTCTCTCTCTTTTCCAGTCCCATAGAGCGATATTCATGTGAAGGGGTCGACTAACGAACAAAAAAAGGTCTCACAGAAGCATCCCCCACGTGCTTCAACGCCCTCACGACAGACACGATACCCACGCGCCTGGAAACAGTAGGCCGAGTGATGCCGCACGCGCGAGCGAAGATCATCGACCGCGCCGGCTCGATCGTCAACGTCGGCCAACGCGGCGAGCTCTGCATCGCAGGCTACCAGCTGAGCAAAGGGTACTGGAAGAGCGAGGCCAAGACGGCCGAAACATTTGTGACGGACGCGCAGGGCGAGCGGTGGCTGAAGACGGGCGACGAGGCGCGGTTCACGCCCGACGGACATTGCACGATCACGGGCCGCTTCAAGGACATTATCATTCGCGGCGGGGAGAATATCTATCCGTTGGAGATTGAGGAGCGGCTGGGTGAGCATGCGGCTGTGGTAAGGGCTGCTGTTGTGGGCGTGCCGGATGGGCGGTATGGGGAGGTTGTTGGGGCGTTTGTGTTGCTGGGGCCGGGGGCGGCGCGACCCGGGGAGGAGGAGCTGCGCGAGTGGACGAGGATGACGCTGGGGAGGCATAAGGCGCCGGTGCATTTCTTTTACTTTGGGGAGGAGGGCGTCGAGAAGGATGTGCCTGTTACGGGGAGTGGCAAGGTGAGGAAGGGGGAGCTGAGGGATGTTGCTGTGAAGGTGTTGGAGGCACGAGGACAGCTTGTCTGTCAGGTATGATTGTTTGATTTTTGGTTACGGTGTTAATTTGATTTTCTGGACTTAATCTTATGTTGGGATATTAGTTATACCAGGTCTGATCTATGTTGGTTTCGTATTTGGTGCAGTGGCTGAGATATGTTCGTTTCAATCGGTGTTTCTCTGCGCCATAGGGTTGTCATTGCAATATACAAAATAGGCCTATCCGCTGTACATATGGATGGACGCTTGAGCGGTAAGTATAGTGAGAAGACAGTATATGACTCGAAGACTTCTTTGTATGTGTGTACCAATGGATAAAGTCGCCTGATCCAGGTGTCGCCATGCTAGAGTACTGTTAGTCCTTAGTCACTACCCATGTATGAAGTTATCATAACATGCAAACATAGACTATCACGACGATACAAGTCACTATGAAAAACGAATTCTTATTGGAATGTTTCAATAAAGCTGTTGATACATGATATATATTTTGTTGATCGGGATTGCCAATTAGTTATACGTATGATATAGTAGGAAATTGCATATGAATACTAATACATACATCTTATGGCTTGAATGGATTTCTTTTCTTCTAGAGGAAGACAGTATGTACATTCTTCTACAACACGAACGTATAGATATCTGCTTTAATCGGAAGCATGGAAGTGTCATATCAGGTGTTCGAAGACTTTATGGCTGCTACACGTAGACAGCTACCATGGCAATAGAAGAGATGATATATTTACCTTAATCAAGGATACTCTATAAGCAAGGAAAACCACTAGAGACATATATAGAACATGGGTTGAACCGATATCAAAGGAAAGATACTATGAACCACAACCACTCCAGAGTGAACTGTAGTCAGATACCAGAAGTGGCCAACTCGGGTAATCACGGCAGTTGGATAGATTCGAAATTTGCGGGGTTTGATATGGAGAGAACTCGATTCAAAACTCTCCCCGAAGACTAACCAACTGAGGAATATTCAGGTAACATCGTTCCCTCCAGCCGTCTTGGCAGCCTCTTGCGTATTCGACTGCTATCGTCCTGATAAATTCAACGAATCCCTCCGTCAACCACAACGTGGATTCAGTGGTCCATGCGATCGGGGCTTCGCTTATCATCGCGCCTCAATATCGTACTTCTCGAATCATTCCATCCACACAAAGAATCAGGGTCAGACGGCGTCCTCCGGGACCTTAACACCGCCGGTATCAAACCGCCACCGACATGGGTTGTCTTCTGCCAGGGATGGCTGGTTAGTCTCGGTCGGGGTTTTGGCATGGGTAGCCCTTGCTGGTGTGACAGTCAGCTAGTACCCATGTACCATCCAGGGCTCGAAAAGGACACAAGCTGCGACTGAGGTGTGCCATGAGTGGTTTCGCGTCCACATGGCGAGTGCCTCATCCACTCTCTCGCCTCCGATAATACGGTGGCTGCAGGAAATCCGGCGGAACAGGATCCTCCTTCCACAATCCTGACCCGATGGCAAATTTCCCCTCCGGTGATAAGTCGAGACTCGATAACAGAGTTGCATCGCTAAGACTCCACCCCCTGGTCCCATTTCTGCCACCAGATTGGCGGCTGATCAGCGGACCATGGCTGGTCGTCTCTCGTTGGCTGAGATCGACCGGGGGTCTATCCAGTTGCAAGGGGGAATATGCAATCTGGACACTCGGCTGGATCGAGGTGGTATTGATTGCTGCACTCCGTACATGGTGGATGGCATTCTTACCCCAGAGTTTTCAAGATATTGGCATTCTGGATGGGACCATTTCCTTGATTTGGGGTTGAAGTGTGGTCAGTGCTGTCGACAATGATCATTCGATGGAGTGTCTCAGTAGGTTCATGGGGACACAAGTATACGATCAATGATAAGAAGTACTCCGTACAATCAGTTGAAAATATAAATCAGATCCAGTCAAATCGATCCTTTGATCGATCAAATATCAAATAAATGCCAGAAAATAAGGTCATCTCATTGTAACCCTAGCATCGCGGCAGCTGTGTTGATATTAAACATTCACCTATCTCGACTGGCTGTATAGACTTCCCCCCGCACGGATAATCCACGACCTTATCTGGACGCTGTTCTGTCCGACGTCAAACCCTTAATTTAGCCCATTCACCGTCTCTTCCCTGTCCTCTGGCTATCTTTTCTTTTGGGTCGTTGGAGTTTATTCTGAATTTTATTTTATTTTTTACCTTTTCGTTCGTCTCCCCTTCGTCCTCCCTTGCAGTTCTGATCTTCCTCTTTCTCTCTTCCATACACCTGTCGATCATCTTCATCAGCCCCCGTAACAGTGAATCCTAATCGCCAATGACGGTCTAATCAGACAATTAACAGACTGTTTGTCCCGATTCCACCATGGCCAGCGAAGAGCCAGATCATCCCACCCAGGCCATTGCGCCCTCGCGCGACACGCCAGAGGGGACAGACCTGAAACAACCTCCCTCCGAAAAACACCCTATTCAGGAAGCGAGCTCCGTGGACAGCAGTGGGCGCAATAAGAGCGACAGGGAGGTTGAGGAAGCCGGTGAGGTGTCGTCGCAGCCCTGGCACCGTCACAGACTTTTCAAGCATGTCCGACATGTAGTATACGCCGTCATCTGGTTGCTGTTCACTGGGTAAGGTCATCCTCGCTCTGTGGTCGTCTAAGAAGTTCTACAATGTCCTGGATTTGGCTGACTCTCTCTAGATGGTGGATCACGGGCCTCATTCTCCATCGCTATGACCTGGGCTGGTTGATCCCCTTCCTCATATATCTGGCCATCACCCTGCGGATGATCTTCTTCTATCTCCCCATCGCGACGCTCACCCGTCCCGTGTACTGGGTGTGGAATCAGACAGCCTCGCGGTTCGTCAGCATCATCCCGGAGAAGTTCCGCGTCCCGAGCGCCGCCCTGTTGACCATTGGCGTCATCCTCCTGGGCTCCTTCGTCACCGAGGAATCGGGCGACAACACGCGCGCAAACCGCGCGGTGAGCCTGTTTGGCCTGGTGGTCTTCCTCTTCGTGCTGTGGGCCACCTCGCGAGACCGCAAGCGCATCAACTGGCACACCGTCATCGTGGGCATGCTGGTGCAGTTCATCATCGCCCTGTTCGTGCTGCGCACCAAGGCCGGGTACGACATCTTCAACTTCATCTCCTTCCTGGCCCGCGAGCTGCTCCATTTCGCCTCCGAGGGCGTCGACTTCTTGTTGGAACCGGGGTTCGCGGCAAAGCATTCCGCCTGGTTCCTCATCAACGTCATCCCCGCCATCATGTTCTTCGTCTCCCTCGTCCAGCTGCTCTACTACTCCGGTGTCCTGCAGTGGGCCGTCGGCAAGTTCGCCGTCTTCTTCTTCTGGTCGATGCGCGTGTCCGGCGCCGAGGCCGTCGTCGCGGCCGCCTCGCCCTTCATCGGACAGGGCGAGTCCGCCATGCTGATCAAGCCCTTCGTGCCCTACCTGACGATGGCCGAGATCCACCAGGTCATGTGCTCCGGGTTCGCCACCATCGCGGGCTCCGTCCTGGTCGCGTACATCGGCATGGGGATCAACCCACAGGCGCTGGTCTCATCCTGCGTGATGAGTATCCCCGCCTCACTGGCGGTGTCCAAGCTGCGATGGCCCGAGGAGGAGGAAACCTTGACTGCCGGCCGCGTCGTCGTCCCCGAAGACGAGAGCGAGCGGGCCGTCAACGCCCTGCACGCCTTCGCCAACGGCGCTTGGATGGGCATCAAGATCGCGGGCATGATCGGCACCACGCTGCTCTGCATCATCTCCCTGGTCGGCCTGGTCAACGGCCTGCTGACCTGGTGGGGCCACTACCTGAACATCCGCGACCCCGAACTCAACCTCCAGCTCATCCTGGGTTATCTCTGCTACCCAATCGCCTTCCTCCTCGGTGTGTCCCGAGACGGGGATCTTCTCAAGGTCGGCAAGCTCCTCGGCACCAAGCTGATCATGGTACGTCCTTCACCTTCTCCATAGTAACCCATCGAATCATATGCTAATCCCTTCCAGAATGAGTTCGTCGCCTACCATGATTTGCAAAAAGGCGAGGAATACCAGGACCTGTCGGACCGCTCCCGCTTGATCGCCACATACGCCCTCTGCGGGTTTGCCAACATCGGCTCGATCGGACAGCAGATCGGTGTGCTGGGACAGCTGGCGCCCGGTCGATCGGGCGATGTCTCCCGGGTGGCGGTTAGTGCGATGCTGACGGGCGCGATCAGTACCTTTACCAGTGCGGCGATTGCGGGGATGTTGATTACGAACGAAAAGCAGTATTTTACAGAAGGTTGATTGTTTTTTTTTTTTTTTTATCTTAGTTGACTTTTGTTTTCTTTGATTTTCCCTCTCTACTTCTCTCTACATAGCAATGTTCGAGGCATCCATGTTGATATATATCCCGGCAGTTTGGCGGACTGCGTTACAACGAGGCGTATCTGCGGCGAACTCCCTCTTTAATGGAACATGACCGACACGCTCTCCTTGTATTATTTTAATAAATTGTAAAATATCATTATAATCTCCTGTATTCTATCACGAAGCCACAATGTTCAACACCTGCTCTGTCCGATGAGCTAGTCAGGTGGATTGGGCGGGGTCCAACCCGATATTGGTTCGTTGCCGGGGTTGTCGGCGGTAAACAAAGACGGACCAGCTCGATTCATTTCGCCCTTTCAACTCTTTCTCCTCTTGTCTCTTGTCTCTTGACATACCACGATCGCCCATTTACTCTCCTAAGTTCTACACTATACTCTCCTCAGTTTCTCTTCTTTCACCGGACATTCTTCCCTCTTTTGGTCCTCTCGCTCGTCTGATTTCGATCGTCTGGAGTTCGTGACTGTGGGTCCAGCCAATCTTGCCTGCATCCGGCACCCGTCATTCCAGCACCAACAACCCTGCTGCGACCTTCGACATTCCCCCTCTTTTCCTTTCCTAGTTCCTGGTTTCTATTGAAAAGAACCGTCCTTCTACCTTCTCTCCTCTCCTCTCGCTTCGTCGGAATGGACTACGCCATGGAGGATACTCAGAACGCTGCCCCCGAGGCCCGGGAGTCCTCGAAGCTGAGCTCGGGCGCTCAGAAGAATGATACCCAGAGCGTTACGAAGCGGTTCGTCTTTTTTCTTTTCTTCATATTCTAGCATCTACTGACGTACTGCTACTGCAGTCTCCAAGCCGAGTTGATGCAGCTCATGCTGTCCCCCTCCCCCGGCACGTCCGCCTTCCCCGATGCCGACGGCAACCTGCTCTCCTGGACGGCGACCATCACCGGTCCCACGGAAACTCCCTACGAGGGCCTCACCTTCAAGCTGTCGTTTACCTTTCCTAACAACTACCCCTACGCTCCGCCTACCGTCCTCTTCAAGACCCCGATCTACCACCCCAACTTTGACTTCTCCGGCCGCATCTGTCTGGACATCTTGGGGGAGAAGTGGAGTGCCGTGTATAATGTGCAGAGTGTTCTTCTGAGCTTGCAGAGTCTGCTGGGTGAACCCAACAAGTATGTCTTCTCTCACCCTGTTTCCACCGTTGATCGCCTCACTAACTTCTCTCACAGTGCAAGCCCCCTCAACGCTCAAGCCGCCGAACTCTGGGATACCGACAAGGAGGAGTTCAAGCGTCTGGTCCTGGCCCGACACCGGGACATCGAGGAGATTGAATAATTGCATGGGTTTGGTTTGGCTTGGTTTTGTTTCATCCGGCCGTGGCGTTCTGGACAGACCGTTTTCACTTTTTCTTGGGGTGCATTGCATGAACAGGATCCGTTGCGACTTGTTTCTTGTCGGGCCGTGAATGCGGCTCGATGCATTACGGACACTTCAGGCTCCGGGAGTTGGTGTAGTTTTTATTTCATTTCTGTCTGCTAGGAAGGTTCTCGTTGGAGACAAGGGCCCTGCTTTCTGGGTAGTATTCATTGCCACTTCTCAGTTGAATTGGACTTTGTGTTCACGTCAGTTGAATTTCGATTATTATTTTGTTTTTCGTATTGCATTTGACGTGATGACTTGCATCTCTTGCGATCGTCAGTAGTTGGGTTGGTCTATTGTCATTCGTGTCCATGACTCGTCCTGCAGACGTCTGCACCGAACGTGTGGCGATCTCTGCAGTCTAGTCATGACGCGCATGACGAGTCACATTTAATAATGGATACCCATTAAACTCGTGGATATACACTCCTCTATATTACTCTATATTTGTGGCCATTGAGTGTAAACCGCTCACTAGGCAGATCTAGCGGATCAACACATTACCCAAAGAGGATAAAGTGCAAACTGCCCGCGGCCTCCCGCGTCCTGACTCAACGCGCCCCCGTCTTCCTCTCTTTCAGCTCGCGATCGACCCTTGCATTTCAGCCTCCCACGATGGCTGGTTGATGATAGTCGCTCTTTCTGTTGTGTCTTTGCTAGTTGTGTCTTTTTCTTCATATTCACTCTTTATTGTACTCCGTACGCTTCTCAAGTCGCAATGCACCACTCTCAGCTGGCCCCGCTGCCAAACGACCTTCCTTTCCGCATCGTCTCCAAGACGATCGGGCAGGGGGCATACGCGTGGTACGCTCATTATATCCATGAGATAGATACTTAGCCACTAACTAACGAGTGTAGCATCAAGAAAGCCACCCCCACACACACAGACCACCCCATCTTCGCCGTCAAGTTCATCCACAAAGAGTACGCCGCTCGGCATGGCAAAATCAGCCCCCGACAATTGCAGATGGAGGCTACGGTGCACAAGCACATCGGCGACCACAATAATATCATCTCCTTCTTCCAGACGGGCGAGGACGACGTGTGGCGGTGGATTGCGATGGAGTTGGCTGAGGGTGGAGACCTCTTCGATAAGATTGAGGCGGATGAGGGTGTGGGCGAGGATATTGCCCATGTTTACTTTTCGCAGCTGGTTAGCGCGGTGGGGTATATGCACTCGAAGGGGGTGGGACATCGGGATATTAAGCCCGAGAATATGCTTTTGACGGCCGATGGGAATTTGAAGATTGCCGACTTTGGTCTCGCCACGCTGTTCGAGTATAAGGGTGTCACGAAGCTCTCGACTACCTTCTGCGGTAGTCCGCCCTACATTGCACCCGAGGTCATCTCCTGCAGTGGGAAAGGCCAGTTCAAGGGCACAGGGTACCGACCCGACCTGGTGGATATCTGGTCGTGCGGCATCGTGCTCTTCGTCCTCCTAGCCGGCAATACACCCTGGGACAGTCCCACCGACAACAGCTACGAGTTCCACGAGTACGTCGCGACGAACTCCCGCACAAGCGACGAGCTCTGGCAGAAGCTGCCTCCGGCGACACTGTCGCTGCTCCGCGGCATGCTGAACGTCCAGTCCGAGAGCCGCTTCTCCCTAGAGGACGTCCGCCGACACCCTTGGTACACCAGGCAAAACAAGTACCTGTCCGCAGACTGCCGCCTCCGCGACCCCATCAACCTAGCCACCACCATGTTCGAGGCCCTCCACATCGACTTCTCGCAAGATCCGCTCCTCCGCCGCACCCGCGGCGGCAGCTTCGGCCTGTCCGAGCGTCCCGACATCGACATGGGCGACGCAGACACCGACACGGCCGAACAGCGCATCTCATCCACGCAGCCCGAGATCCCGCGCCCAGACATGCTCGTCGACTGGGACACCCCCCACCTCAGCGACGTCTTCTCCGCCACCCAGCCCATGCATCACCGACCCCTCCTCTCCGCAGACCCCTCCCTCCTCGCCGACACGCTCGAAGACGAGCCCTCCATGTCGCAATTCTCCGCCGCCCCCTGCGTCCCCCTCAGCCGCACCCAGAAGGCCCAACGCTTCCGCGACATCGTGCCCCCGCGCCCCATGACCCGCTTCTTCTCCACCTGGGAACTCAAACTCCTCATCCCGCTTGTGTGTGAAGCCCTCCACCGTTTGGGGGTCCCCGTCCCGTCGGTCCCGGCTGTTACGGCTGGCGACACATCCGCTATGATCCGCGTCGTGACCCGCGACGGCCGCATGTGCACACTCCAGGGGAAAGTCATCATCGAGTGTGTTTCGGAGGGGATCTTTGAGCTTGAGTTTTTGAAGGTTAAAGGTGATCCCCTTGAGTGGCGCCGGTTCTTTAAAAAGGTTGCGGTGCTCTGTAAGGATGCGGTTTATAAGCCTGACTTTTGATTCTTTCTTCATCTCCCGTCATTGCTTTGTGCTTTGGGTTTATGTTTGGTTGCCTGCTGGTTTAGATTACGTACTTTGTTATAACTTTTATGTATGATTAATGTGATTTACGATGGGTTGGATTGGGTCTGGATGGATGGATGGATGGATACTGGTTATATAGGTTCTGTTTTTTAATGTTTGGTTGATTGCCTGTTGTTTTTCTTCTCTTCTCTCTTACTACTATTGACTATATGGTACTGAAGTATCTATTCATTCTGATGATCTTCAACTCCACGATAATTTCGGTTCATGGAGTCATGCACTTGATACCAGTTCAAACTTCATTGCGCAAATACACCTAATATAGGCCTGTGTTCGTGTCATGTGGCTGATTCGACCGAGTCTTCCTTCGCGGTGTGTATGCTTCGTGTGTGGTTCGGCTACTTCTTGTTTATTCAATGTATGTGGACGGGGCGTGAGAGCTGCTCAGTGGTTATGGTCGGTTTGTTTGAGGCTGGTTTGTGAGAGGTGGAGTTGGGAGTATGATGGGGTGGCTTTCAGAGACTGTGCTGGGATGAGGGTAAGGTTGGTAGCTGTTATATAAGGAAGTATATATGGGGTTTGAATGTGATACAGTATGTTTTGGTTCTACCTTTCTTTCATTCTCCCATTTCATGTGCTTTGTCATAGTCTATTGTTTATATTGCTTGATTATATTTGTTGTTGTTTTCTACTTATTTCTTGTCAGGTACGGTTGGATATATCCATGATCGTATCTGATATGGAGCGGCTACAACACTGAAAGTTCATGGCGCAATTCTATTGAAGCCACATATCAAAGCGCAATTGACAACCAAATAGCACTTACTTTCCCATCTACGACGGAGTAATAGAGTCACTCATATCACTATTCAGTGTATGTGGATAATGTTTGCTCCCACGTGACAGATCTAGACTCGCTGATCCGCGGGGAAGATCGCTTGCTTGCTCTGCATCCCTTTGATTTTTACACCTTCTCTCGCTTGTCTCCAGACAAACCAATTCTCCAATGCGTTCGATGAACTTGCCATCCTCACCCCTGTCGCATCCATGGACAAACTCCCGGTAGAAATACTCTCCAAAATCATCGACTGTGAGCCCGTCTTTCCCCCCACTCATTCCACCCAACTGACGCATGGACCTCCTAGATCTCACCCCCCGAGAGCAGGTACAGCTACAATCAGTCAATAAACGACTCTTCGGTCTCGCCCGCGACAACAATCGTTGGCGACTCCACTGCTATGAAGCGTCATGGACCGCAACCCAGGCCGCTCGGCCGGCCGGACGGACCCCCGAAAGCCTCGTCTCGAACACCACCCCGCTGAGCTCCCTCGGCCAGACCTCCCTGCGCTCCCTCATCCAGCCGCATATGGCCGGCGTCGACGAGCTAGCCTCCTCTCCGTCCTTCAGCGAACGTAACAGGGCAGCCGTGGAATGGGACCCGTCTGTGGAAGGCGAAGAAAGAGACTGGTACTCGGAATACATCGCGCGCAATGGGCCCCTCTCGTTCAGCTGGCTGCAGCAGCCCTTCACGCGAAATAAGAACAGACGGGACTATCGCGAGGTTAAAGGCATGGCGCTGCTGCGTGATTGGAGCTCCGCGAGGGAGAACAAGGTCGTTGCCCCGCTGGATGACGGTAGTGTGTGCATCTGGGACCTCAATCATTCGCATTCGATCGGCTCCCAGGCGACGAAAGGCAGGGTCCTCGGTGTCAGTGCGCCGGGCATCTTGATGGCTGATTTGTCCGGACGCATGGGGAAACCCTCCGCCTCGCAGCGGTTTATCAACCTCGGAGAGACGATGAGCGTCGATTCGATCCGGCGCCGCGCGTACATGGCCGTCGGCAATGTCCTCAACGAGGTCGACCTCGAAACCCTCAAGGTGGTGTCCCAGCAGCGCTACGTCTGGTCCATCTCGGCCCTGTCTCAGGAAACGGACTACTCCGCGCCCCTGACGCTGGCTACCACGCTCGAGGTGCACATCTATGACGCGAGGATGTCCGCCACCGAAGAAGAAGAAGCCATCCATCTCCGCTGCGAAGAGCCCGTCACCCCGCTCGTCCCCCAATCCACCATCTACTCCCCGCCAGACTCCCCCCTCCTCCAACTCCAGCCCGACGGGCGCCCGCCCCAGCGTATCCGCCGACCCGGACCCCCCGAAAAAAGCGACCACTACGCCCCGCTCTTCCAGCCCAGCCCGCTCTCCCTCCTGCATCCGCCCGCCCCCTACGTGAACTCCATCTTCCTCGCTGGCCGCTTCCCCAGTATCCTGCAGTACGACCGCCGCTTCTTCCCCCGCCTTCAAAGCACCGTTCACTCCGGCGGCAGCCTCTGCGGCCTGACCTCCGTTCCGGCACCCCAGTTCCCCGTCTCCTCCGGCGGGCCGTACCCCTCGTCGCACAGTGTCGTCGCCTGCGGGGAGTACAAAGGCCGCGGCTCTCTCGAGCTGTACAACCTCGCCCCTTCCCCTCTCCCATCTCCGTCCTCACCCAGCCCATCAGACTGGTCCTCGCACCTCTCCCCAGGCTACCAAAACCGCCAAAGCGCCGCCCGCTCAAAGGTCCTCTCCGTCGAGTCCCACGGCTCCCGCGTCGCCTTCTCCGACGCAGACGGCAACATCAAATGGGTCGAACGAAACGGCCGCTCTGAAATCCGCCGCTTCAATCTAGCATCTGCCCCTCCCCACCAAGCTTCTCACTCCCACATCTCCGACCCCGACCCCGACGACGATAGCAGCGACAGCAGCAGCGGCGGCGGCGGCATCTGGAAATCCCACTCCGCCCCCGGCGACGTCGCGCAGAAAATCCTCTCCACAGGCGGAAACCTCACCGGCGACGAGCTGCTCATATGGACCGGCGAACGACTAGGCCGTATTCGCTTTTCTGCTCCGTCAAAAACCCCTCCTTATCCTTGTATCGGAGATGAAGACAGCGACAGCGACAGCGACAACAGCCTGGATGCCGATATGGATCCCCTCGCGCGCGAAGAAGCCCGCAAGCGGAAGCATGAGTACGCGCGTCGCGAGAGGGACTATTCGCGGGCGATGAGGCGCGCGCTGGAAAGGCAGGCGGATGAGGTGAGGAGGATGCAGGGGTTGGGTCTTTAATATATCTCTTCGGCTTTTCTATGTCTCTATATTTTGTTGTGATGTTTGGGAGTGTATGATCTTTGTGGGATTGTTGTTTCTGGCGTCGTTTGGTCTGGTTTATACTTGCATTGGGTGGTGTTCATTTGGGGCTGGAGACTGCCTGCTATACTATACTACAGCATACTAAGTAGATAGTTTCATATATTGTTTGATATTCCGTTTTCGGTTTTTGTTGAGCCGGTGGTGTGATTGATTTGTTTGATATGGCAGTATTCAGATATGGGTCTGCTACTTTGGTGTGTAACTATATCTAGGTATCTCTATTGATGGATCAATCAATCCTTTTTTACTTAATGTTATTCTGGTTTTCTCCCTTGAAGAGAAAGAGAGAAAGAAAAAAGAAGTAAAGTGTAATCATTTTGGGTATCTGTCAGAGGTAGATCTGAGTATATAGTATTCTAATATGGGGAGTACTTCCGGTGGAACGAAACGAGGGTCTGTTGTTCACTGCCAGTGATAATCCCAGTATACAAACCTTTTAACCGTAACGCCGTGGATGCTTCAGTCTTTCCCCCTGGAAGAATAGAGGGATGGGAAAATAGAAAGTAAGAAAAGTATCACCTCTTCAAATGAGAATAATCCCGCAACACCCCCATCATATGAGTGTTGGTCGTCTTGCCACTCCGCCGCGGTTTCTTCACTTTCTTGTGCTCGTAATTCGGCCGCATCTTGACAACCTTGTTCTTGCTAGTCGGGGTAATCCCGGCCTTCTCCAGCTCCTCCTTGACAGTCTGCTGGTCCGGCACGCGGATCTTCTCCCAGATCTGGCGGAACTCGTCGTCAAAGTGTTGAATGAGCGACGGGTCGTTCGCCCACACCATCTTGGCATGGTCGTCCTTCTTGTTGCGCGTCACGAGCACCTTCCCCGCCTTCTCCAGCGAGTTGATCGTCTCCTCCACAGCAGGCCACCCCTCGCGCAGCTCACGCACGCTCATCCCCGCCCCCGACGTCTGCGCCTGCAGTTTCGCCAACAGCTGCTCCGCACTGCGGATATTATGCGGCGGGCGGAAACTGAACGTGCCCTCGCCGTTGGCCCCAGACGCATCAAACAGCACCTTCTCGTGCATCTGCAGGATGCTCCGCAGCGCCTGCACATACCCCTGGTCATGGGCGCGGTGCTGCAGAGACAGGTACGATACGATGTCGTTGAACTTCAGCGGCACGCCCTTGTTCTTCATGTGCTCGATCGCGAAGATCACCTGCGTCATGATGTCCTTTCCTGTGCCCGTGTTCGCCGGCTGCGAGTACACGACGTCGCCGTCGTGGCGACGCCGTTTGGTCGGGTCGTTGCCGCCGGGTGTGGGGGTCGACGGCGTCGATGCGCCGACCTGCGAACTGGTGCCGGAGTTCGTGCTGCCTGTGCCGGCGTTATGCACGAACCGGCGCTGCGCCGGCATCTGCCGGGCGTAGTCCATTACGCCGGCGTTGAAGCTCTTCAGCTGCTGTTGGAGGTGCGACATGATTGCGGTGGATCGGGGTTCCGTATACGATGGATGAGTGAGTGATGCGTTGCGGAGGCGAAGTCGGCGGAGAAGGGAGTCCTTAGAGCTGCTGAACGGAGCTCTAGCCGTGTGTGTGATGGAGCATATGAAGCGCCGTGGAGAGTCGAAGCCAGGAGTGGCGGTTGGCAGCGACTGGGTCGGACCGTCAGTGAGCGTGGATGGTCGACGGAGGGATGTCAGAGTGAGACGAAAGAGAGTTGACGCTCATTATTCATGTGGCGCCTGAGGCTGGAACCAATCACGTGATAGAGAGACAGGCTAACCGCATCTGGACGAGCTCCAGCTCAAGCCGCGTCTTTCACCTTCGACGGTCGTGATTGTTCTCTCTCCAACCTTCCCCTCCCATTTGGACATTTCCTTCCTTCCATTCTTTTGTTTTCTCCCTATTCGGTCGTGGTACGCGGGGCTCTTTATTTTCTTGTCCTTGTCATGACCTAGGCGCTTTGCTCCAGCGTTGTGCACTCGTCCTGGCCAGTGTATCTCGCGCCCAGCGACCGGTATCCGACCAACACACCGACCTAGCTACGCACCGACTTACGCAAGCTATATTGCTTGAACGAATCAATTGATCCGCCTTTCTACTGACTGTATACTACACTCCGACTGCAGCGGAGGCTGCGGGAATCGATCTGAGCCACCATGGCGGCGGCCACTGTTGAGATCCCTTACCTAGCCTCGCATTACTCAATTGCCGAGTCGACTCTCTCGACCCTCAGCCAAGCTCCCACCGTTGAGCTCGTCAACGAGCTTCTTCAGGCCATCACGAAGAAAGCCCGAGAGTACGATGAGCTGAAATCGGATAAGCTCCGCATCGAGGTCGAGCTCGAAAATGCGGTTCGCACGAGCGACTCCAAGATCAAGGTGCTGAAGAGCTCGGTCGAAAAGGGCCATGCAGAGGTCGAGGAAACGAGAAAGAAACTGCACGAGTCGGGTAAGACTCTGCCCCGATGGCTGGCTGTGTCCGTCGAAGCACCGGCTTACAATGTTTAGAAAACACCCGATCTACCCTAGAATCTGAAATCGCCTCCCTCAAGTCCTCATCGACGTCCAACGAGTCTGAAGCCAGCTCCCTCAAGTCCCGCATCTCGTCGCTGGAAGCTTCCAACCGAGATACCCTCGCTCTGCTGGAGTCCAAGTCCGGCGCGTACGATAAATTGGCGGAGGAGCTCTCTGCACAACACAAGAAGACTATCGAGCTCAGGCGGGAGCTGTCCACTGCAGAGCAGAACCTGCAGGCGGCCAACTCGGCGTCTGCGAGCGCCAAGTTTCGCGAACAGAGCCTCCAGCAGGACTTGGACCTCACCCGCAAGAACAACGAGTGGTTTGAGACGGAGCTGAAGACCAAGTCCGCCGAATACCTGAAGTTCCGCAAGGAGAAGAGCGCCCGCATTTCCGAACTGCAGCGTGAGAACGAGGAGTCCAGCGCCAACGTTGACTCCCTCCGACGGAGCGAGAACTCCCTTAAAGGCCGCTTGGATGAGGTGGAGCAGCGTTACGAGGAGTCCTTGTCCAACATCCAACAACTCAGGGAGGAAGCTATTCAGGCAGCAGAGTCATTCAGAATCGAGCTGGATAGCGCCAACCGCCTGGCTGAGCTTCAGGGCAACGCCGCGGAGACTGCGAAGCAGCGTGTGCAGGAATGTCAACTGGCGTTGGATAAGGCTCGGGATGATGCGGCCGAGGAGATCTCGCGTTTACGCGTGGAGATGGAGACGGAGCATTCAGATAAGCAGGCTGCAGAGCGTCGCGTGGCGGAGCTGGAGCTTGCTATCAGCCAACTCGAATCGGAAGGTCCCCGGGGTAGGAGATCCATGAGCCCAGCCGTTGGCCTCAATGGTGGACCGACCACCCCCATGCGCGCTTCCACTCCGGTAGGCACGTTCTCGCCGAGGGCCTCTCGCACCAAGGGTGGTCTTACTCTCACGCAGATGTACACGGAATACGATAAGATGCGCACAATGCTCGCCGCTGAGCAGAGAACCAGCCACGAACTACGCGCTACTCTGGACGAGATGGTGCAAGACCTCGAGGCTAGCAAACCTGAAATCGACGAACTGCGCGCCGACCATAGCAGACTCGAGAATGCCGTCGTTGAGATGTCGAACATCCTGGAGACGGCCGGGAAGGAAAGAGACGACGCGACCAAGGAAGCGAGGAAGTGGCAAGGCCAGGTGGACGGCTTGTCCCGTGAAGGTGACATCCTGCGCCAGCAGTTGAGAGATTTGAGCGCCCAAGTGAAGGTGCTCGTGTTGGAGGTAGCGATGATGAAGGAGGGGGAGAACTACGACCGGGAAGAGCTCGAGAAGGTGGCTCGCAAGGAAATTGAGGAGTCGGCGGCTGATTTGAGCCCCACTGGACGCTTCATCAGTCAGAACCTGATGACGTTCAAGGATCTGCATGAACTTCAGGAACAGAACGTCACCCTTCGCCGGATGCTGAGAGAGCTGGGCGATAAGATGGAGGGCGCCGAAGCCCGCGAGCAGGATGCCGTGCGCCAACAAGAGCGGGAAGAGCTGAAGGAGCTGAGAATCCGTGTGCAAACGTACCGCGACGAGATCTCCAACCTGCTTGCTCAAACCAAGAGCTACGTCAAGGAGAGGGATACTTTCCGGAGCATGCTGACTCGTCGCCGCCAGACCGTTGGCGACGCTTCTGTTTTCTCCCAGTCTTTGCCTCTGGGCGCCACGCCGCCCACCGACGAAGGCGTCAAGGACGCGGCCGACAATGCCGACTTGCTGCGCAAGGTGCAAGCCCACTTCGACAGCTTCCGCGAAGAGACCGCCACCGACCACTCCGCCTTGAAGCAGCAAGTGAACGACCTGTCTCGCAAGAACAGCGAGCTTATGAGCGAGATTAGCCGCTCGAGCAGCCAGCTTGGTGCTGCTACCCAGCGCGCCGAGCTTCTGCAGAGTAACTTCGTCATGCTGAAGAGTGAAAACTCCGAACTCCAAAAGCGCTACGCGACCCTCTTCGACAATGCCAACCGACAAGACCTGAAAACGCAGCAGGCCGCTGAAGACCTCGTCGAGACCAAGGGTCTCGTTGAAAGCCTGCAGCGCGAGAGCGCAAACCTCAAGGCCGAGAAGGACCTGTGGAAGAACATCGAGCGGAGACTGATTGAGGATAACGAAACCCTGCGCAACGAACGGGCGCGCCTGGACTCGCTGAACGGCAACCTGCAAACTATTCTGAACGAGCGCGAGCACACCGACGCCGAGAGCCGTCGGCGTCTCCAGTCCAGCGTCGAGTCCCTGGATTCGGAGCTGCAATCTACGAAGCGGAAACTGAACGACGAGGTGGAGGAATCGAAGAAGGCGGCTCTGCGCAGAGAGTATGAGCACGAGCAGAGCCAGAAGCGCATTGACGACCTAGTGACGAGCCTGGGCTCTGTGAGGGAGGAATTGGTGGCCGCCAAGACCACCCGTGACCACCTACAAACCCGGGTCGACGAGCTCACCGTGGAGCTTCGCAGCGCCGAGGAGCGGATTCAGGTCGTCCAGTCTAGACCCAGTGTTTCTGCCGCCCCTGCGCAGGAGCCTGTCACCGAGGCCGCCGGCCAAGAATCTGGCCTTACTCGCGAGCAAGAGTTGGAGATCCAGGTTTCGGAGTTGAAGCGGGATCTCGAGTTAGCCAAGGGTGAGCTCGAGCATGCCAATGAGCGGGTGGAGGATTACAAGAGTATCAGCCAGGAGACCGAGGAGCGGATGCAATCGATCACCGACACGCATGAGCAATACCGGGAAGACACTGAGAATCTCGTGGAGGAGAAGGACAAGAAGATCAAGGATCTTGAGCAGCGCATCGAGGAAATCTCATCAGAGCTTTCGACGACGAATGACGAGCTCACTAAGCTGCGCGACGAGCAGGGCGAAGTCGCTCGCCGCCTCGAAGAGCAGAAGTCTACTCTTGAATCGGAAGTCACACGACTGAAGGACGAGAACGAGCGCCAGATCGCCTCTGCGCAGTACCACCAGGAAGACCTGAAGGCACAAGCCGAGATCGCCCAGCATGCCCAGCAAAACTACGAAAGCGAGCTTGTCAAACATGCCGAGGCTGCGAAGAACCTGCAGATCGTGCGCTCGGAAGCCAATCAACTCAAGCTTGACGCCGTCGAACTACGCACCCAGGCCGAGACTTACAAGAAGGACCTGCTGCAGAAGGAGGAAAGCTGGAATGAGATCAAAGCCCGCTATGAGGGCGAAGTCTCGGAACTGAACAAGCGCCGCGAGGAGGTCCTGCATCAAAACTCTCTTCTCCACAGCCAGCTCGAGAACATCACCAACCAGATTTCGTCTCTCCAGCGTGACCGCGCCAACATCCCTGAGGATGACGAAGAGGGCGGAGCTTCCAACGCGAACTTGGAGGGTCTCCAGGAAGTCATCAAGTTCTTGCGCCGCGAGAAGGAGATTGTCGATGTGCAGTATCATCTGTCGACCCAAGAAAGCAAGCGCCTCCGTCAACAGCTCGACTACAGCCAATCCCAACTCGACGAGGCCCGTCTCAAACTCGAACAGCAGCGTCGCGCGACTGCCGATAGCGAGCACTCGAGCTTGACCAACAATAAACTCATCGACACGTTGAACGAGCTGAACCTGTTCCGTGAGAGCAGCGTCACCCTCCGCAGCCAAGTTAAGCAGGCCGAAACTCTGCTCGCCGAGAAGTCTGCACGCGTGGATGAACTCGTCAACCAGGTGGCACCTCTAGAGACTCGCATCCGCGAACTCGAGGGCGTGGTGGAAACCAAAGATGGAGAGATGCAGCTTCTGCATGCGGACCGCGACCGCTGGCAGCAGCGTACGCAGAACATCCTGCAGAAATACGACCGTGTGGATCCCGCAGAGATGGAAGGACTCAAGGAGAAGCTTGAGACGTTGGAGAAGGAACGGGACGAGGCTGTGTCAGCTCGCGACGCGCTGCAGGCTGAGGTTGCCTCGTACCCGGAGCACTTGAAGCAGGCGGAGGTTCGGGTGCAGGAACTGCGAACGAAGCTCACGGAGCAATTCAAGGCTCGATCGAAGGAGCTCACGGGTCGTATCAACGCTAAGCAGGGAGAGCTGAACACCGCTCTGCAAGAGAAGGAGGTTATCCAGGAAGAATTGAACACGACGAAGCAGGAGCTGAACCAGTTGAAGACAAATATGGCCGAGCAGCCGTCTGCGCCGGCACAGCCTGCTGAGCAACCCGTTGCTCATGGAGTTGACGCAACCCCTGCTTCTCAATTCCCCACCTCTACCGTCCAGGTTCCTGTCAGCGATGATGAGCGTGTCAAGGCGCTGGAAGAGAAGATCCAACGTCTGGAAGCTGCCCTTGCTGAGAAGGATGCGCTCCTGCAGCAGAAGGAATCCGCCCTTTCCGCCAAGGATGCTGAGCATGAAACTAAGTTGAAGGAACGCATTGAGAAACTCAAGGAGACCTACAACGGCAAACTCGCCGAGATCAGAGCGGCGCACCGACAGGAAGTTGAGAGGCTCAGCGCTGGCCAGCCTGCTTCGCAGCAGGCCGCCCAACAGGAGCCTGGAACGCCGAAGACGGATCAGCCGCCGGCGACCCCTGTCAAGACAGACCTTGCCTTACCGGAGCTCACCGACGCCCAGGCTCGGGCGCTGGTTGCGAAGAACGAGACCATCCGAACCATCGTGCGGAACAACATCAAGGCCATGGTCGCCAAGGAGAAGGAGAAGGAGAAGGAACAGGCGGCTCAGGTATCGGCTGGAGCCAGCCAGGAGGCTATTGCCGAGGTGGAGAGAAGATTCAACGAGGAGAAGGCGGCCCTGAAGAAGTCTTACGAGGAAACCTTGGAGGAGAAGATCAAGTCCGCTGTGGAATTATCCGACAAGAAGACGCTGGTCAAGGTCAGCATGCTGGAGACTCGGTCGCGGACCGCCATGGCCAAGATCGAGGTCGTCCAGAAGGCCGCTGCTGAGACGCCGCAAAAGGCCGTTGTGGAGGTTTGGGAGGTGGCTAAGACCACAAAGGCACCTCCTGCTCAGGCACAGACTCCCAAACCCTCGACCGCGTCCCCTGCGCCTACACCTACGCCCGCACCTACGCCCGCACCGACCCAGCAAGCACCACCGACACCCGCGCCGCAGCAGACCCCTGTCGCTGCCTCTCCGGCGCCCCAACCTGCGACACCGGGGCCGGCTCAGGCGGCTCCTGCAACCCCGGCCCCACAAGCAGCGGCCCCAGCTCAGCCTCAGCCTCAGGCTCAAGCGCAGCCTCAGGTTCAACCTCAGCCGTCACAGCCGACCCAGCCAACCCAGCCAACGCAACAGCCTGGTCAACAACAGCCTGGTCAACAACCGCAGACACCGCAGAAACAGCAGCAACCAGTCAAGGCCCCCACGCCCGTCCAAGCCAATGCTGAGAATCCGTTCGGGGTGACCCAGAATCAGAATCAGCAGCAGGGGCAACAGCTTTCGTCGTTGCCCAGCAAACCCCCAGCCGGTGCCAACACTGGTGCCATTCGTGCTCTCCAGTCGGCACTTCCCATTGCCCGAGGCGGTCGAACGGGCGGCCGTGGCGGTCAACAGAATCCGTTCGGACCGCAAGGTCAGCAAGGCCAGCCCCAAGCCCAAGGCCAGCAGCAGCAGCAACAACAGCAGCAAACGCAAGGCCAGCGGGGTTCGGGTCTTCCACGCGGTCGCGGTGGCCGCGGTGGCCAGCGGGGCGGCCACCAACAGGTGCAGACGGCCAATATCCCCCAGGCACAGGGCCAGGCGAGTCCAGGAGGCGGACGGGGCGCTCTCAACGCTGGAGCGCGTCAATTCGTGCCGCAAGGCAACAAGCGCGCTCGCGAAGACGGCAGCGATGCAGGACAGGATGGAGCTGGAGGAAAGCGGATGAGGGGGGGTGGTCAGGCACGGGGATCGTGATCACTTCTTTTTGATTTGATATGTACGTGTATGGGGTTGGATGTCAATTCAACAACAAAATCTTCGATTCATCTCCTTTGTTATAGGTATATGGGTAGAGCGTTCTTCTTTTCTTTACTTTTGTTTTCCTTTTTTTTTTTATCATTCATGTCATATTAAATAATGCATCTGGCTCTGGTATGATCTGAAACTATGCTATGTTTTTCAGACCTGATATGGAGAAATGGGTATCGTAGCTCGCTGTATAAACAAAACAGCATTCTCCGAAGATGAAAGAAAGCAAAAGTAAAGAAACAGATAAATCACTTCTTCCGCGTATTCCCCGCAGCAACCAACTTGGTCAGCGTCTCCCTCTCCCTCTGCAACACGACCAGTCTCGCCTCCTCAATGACCTTCCCCTCAAGCGTAGCAGCAGCAGCAGCAGCATCCTGATCCTGACCCTGAGCAGCAGCAGCAGCAACAACAACCGGCGAAGACTTCTTCCCCCTCGCCCTACGTCTCCTCTGCAGCGGCCTCCCCACACCCCCCCAGACGACCACCCAGTCCGGGATCCTCACATCAGCCTCAACCTCACACCCGGCACAAACCCTCGCATGAGAACCAACCACACACCCGCCCCTCAAAACAGCAAGACTCTCCACCGACGCCGCCGAACAAACCGTCACGCCCGGGAAAACAGTAACGCCGGCGGCGAGCGTCACACTCGCCGACACGCGAATCTCGCGGTCCTGCCCATTGCGCAGGCCGATCTGCGCTGCGACGTGCGAGTGTTGGGCTGGTGGGAGGCCGAGGACGCACTTCTCGGAGATGATGCACGCGTCGCCGATTGTGATGGGCCCGTCGAAGGAGTAGAGCTTTGCGCGTGGGTGGATGATGCTGCCGACGCCGATTGTGATGGGGTGGGTGCCTTGGAAGGTTGCTGTGTCGGAGATGGTCGCTGTTGAGTGGGCGTGGACGGGGGCGCGTGGTGGTGGTTGGGGACGGGATTGTGATTGGGATTGTGGTTGGGCGGTGGGGCGGGAGGGTGGGGGTTTGAGATAGTCCATTTCTGTTCTTCTTCTCGTCTTTATTTGCTTTCGTTTGGTGGTTTGGCTTTGGATTGGGGATTGTGGTGTTGGTGGGTTCGTGGGTGGTGGTGGTGGTAATAGTAGTGGTCAGGTCGGAGTCAAGGAGAAAGAGTTGGAGATGTGGAGCTGGTCCGATCCCGCCGGTTATCTCTTATCGATATGAAAGCCTGCAGGTTCGAGGATGGACTTGCTATGAGTATAAGAAGGAAACATTGAAGAAGATTGCAAACGGCAAGATACGAACGACAGAAGAAAAGAAAAAAAGACTAGAAGAAAAGAAGAGGAAAAGAAAAACATGGTCTAAAGTTATACAAATCGGATATCTAGCAAAATCAACAAAACCACCAAACCACCGGAATCATCTCAGAAAAAAGAAAGCAAGGAAAGACATGAGAACAACAGATGAAGAAAGAAAAGAAGACTAAACATCAACCTCCACATTCTCGGTATTCGCTGGTTTAATCCCATTCCTGCGCCGCCAATCCCACACCCCCCGATCAATTTCCTCCCTCGTCACCCCGTCGCGGACCAAGCAGAACGTCACCCCCAGCTCCGTCTCCACATTGCGATTCCTCGCCTCGTCATCAAAAAACAGCATATCCTCGAACCGCACCCCGCTCGCGCTCTGGATCTTGGCAAAATGCGCCGTCTTGCTGGCCGGGAAGATCTGCACGTAGTCGAAGTAGTCGAGCGAGCGCACCGACCGCGCCGCGCCCCTCGCCGCCGCCAGGTTATCCGAGAACGTGGGGATCACATGTAGGGCCTTGAGCATGTCGCGGGCAAGGTCAGGCGTATGCGTTCGGGAGGCCAGCGCCAGCGGGATCTGTCGCGCTTTGCAGGCGTAGAGGATTGACGAGACGGAGGGGTAGAAGGCGAAGGACTCGTTCCATCTGTATCACATTACACATTAGTACAGTGCACTCGTCTGCCAGCTGTAGGGACGACTTGCGGTCGATACAGCGCGAGTTATTGTCGCGCGGCTTCACCGGCGCGCTGACGTGCGTGTCGACCCAGAACGGCCACAGCGTGTAGTCCAAATCGAAGGCGATCAGTTTCGGGAGGGGCAAATTGTCTGTGAAGGTGGCGGGCGCGGTGGAGGCGTCCTCCAGCGGTTGGGTGTTGGTTCGTTTCGCGCGCATCATATTCATCGTGTCTATCTGTCTATGATGTCTTCTAGAGAGGTCTGTCGGTCTAAGAGTGTGGTGGGGAAGTGGGGATGAGGTTCAATCGAATCGGTTATCTATACAGATCGCCGGTCACGTGGACCACCTCCTGGGATATACCGATAACGACATCATTCGCTTCATTTCTGTCAAACAACACCATGGACAATTAGAGCAGCAGACTGCCTTGTTATGTACAAAGCCACCTGTCAACCTCCAAGTCATCTCGGAATCTTCCATTGTTTGCCTTTTTTTCTTTGATTTTTGTTCATTTGGTGGTCACTTCCCCTTTCAAGCGTCACTCTGTCAATCCCAGCGTCCCAGGTTAAGTTCATCCAGTGGTCCAATCGTCTCGGCGACGCACTCATGATCCTGTCATTCGCTCAGGTCCAACCAGAAAACAACCTTCAGACAATGCGGATTGGTAAGCGACAGTGCAGGGGAGTGAAGAAATGAAACAAAACAGAAATGGGACTGAACCATCTTCTTCTCCTTCATCTCTCCTATCCCCATCAAAGGGTACCGTATTCCATCCCCACTCAATTGGTGCCGTATGTAAAACATCCCACAGTCTCCAGGTACTTCCAGATTTGCTGGTGATCCTGCGCCCCGCCGATACTGATCTCCTGTTTCAGACAGTTCCAATCAGAGGCGTGACGGATGATGCCATTCTGCTGCGCAGTGCTCAAAATGCCGTCTGCACTGACAGCTTCGGCGATGATCTGACGCCACTGGTTCAGCGAAAGTCCAAATCGCCATTCTTCCTTCTGAGCCGAACGAGGTGCCGACTTGCGACGGTTTGCGTTCTTAGGGCGAGATTCTTTCGACTGCGGGGAGGACTGCGTGGTCTTCCCCGCGCTGCCTTCGTTGGAATCGTCGTTGGAATCCCCTTCTGAAGTCTCCGATTTGGAGCTCTGGTCTTCGCTCTCCTGGGGCACGTTCTTCGGGGCCCTGTTCAGGCTGGGAAATTTCTCTTCAAATCCCCTGCTGCCTGGCTGGAATGGACCAGCATTGCCACCCACCGATGTATTGTGGCCCGCAACGTTGGCATAAGTCACTCTCACCGGGGCCGAAGGCGGAGACATCGCCAGTGGATTAGCGCGCCGCGGCAAGTGAGCAGGTGGGATGGTTGGCAGAACCCCTGTCGACGGGTGCGCCGCTTCTGCGTTCCTCATCGCTCTGTATCTGGAAGAAAAGGCATCTCTGCCAAGTGCGAGTGCTGCCTGTGCACGGCTTTCATACTCCGGTCTGCCCGCGAAGGGGTCCACCCTCGCAGCTTGTGCACGGCTTTCGTATTCAGGTCTGCCTGCGAAGGGGTCCACTCTGACTGCCTGGGCACGGCGTTCATACTCCGGTCTGCCCGCGAAAGGATCCACATTGGCAGCCTGTGCATGGCGTTGGTTCTCAGGGTTGCCCGCGACAGTATCCACATCAGCAGGTCGACCGGCCAGGTTGAGTCTCGCCAGTAACTGCGTGGTGGGCGAGAGAGGGGCTTCAATCTGTCTAGCTTTTTCGTGTCTAGCAGTTCTAGGGAAGAGACCGCCCGTATCAACCGCAACTGCCGCATCGCGTCTCGCCGAGATGTTCTCGTGGGATGCTGCCAGGGCCTCTCCAGGTCTGACGTTTCCATGTTCAAGGTCAACTGGGTTGGACCCAACCACACGCCAATCGGCCGAACGATTAAGCGACTCGTAAGTGGGAGGGGGGGTTAATGACACATTACGTTCCTCGGGGGGCTCATAAAGAGGCAACGTGTCCACGTCCGAGTCATTTTCCTCCGAGTTATCTCTCCTGATTGTCTCCCGTGGGACGTACGGGGTGGGTGGCCGGAACAGCGGGTTGCGGTTGATAGCAGACAATCGCGGCAGCGGGGCCAGAGGGAAGAATGGCATTTGCACCTGCGCAGGTTGCATGGGCTCCATTGGCATCGTGTCCGGGTCCATGGTGGTGAACCGGTTAGCAGGCTGTGGTGGGAAGAGGCCTTGCACTGGCGCTGGGGCCGAGACCCCTCGTGCAGTCTCCGCAGCCCGAGTGACGAGATGGTTGGCGAAACGAATGTGTCCGGGCTCTTGCTGCCTCTGATTTTGGTGTCGGTGGAACTGGTGGCTCAGCAGCCTGTGTGTCATGCTTTGCCGCCACTGAATGGGCCGCGGACCGGTGGAATTCGCGTCTCCGTCCTCGTCAGAGGAGAAGTTCGTCTCGACGCCGCCAATGATAGTAACGGCACTCGGCCGCTCTGCAGACGGTGGAAGCACTTCCTGAGACGACACGTCTCCAAGAGATGCCTGGGCCTCCAACTGCTGCTCCTCTTCTCCCGATTCTCTTGGCTGTTCAGGAGCTTCAGACGCTTCACCCGTCTCTTCGGAAGCGCTGGTTTCGGGGGTATTTTCGACGACTCGGTCTTTGTCCTCGAGCAGCAAAGCACGCGATACGGCATGCATTAGAAGTGTGCGAGACCACAACTCAGATTGGACCCCGTCCTTGAGCAGAGCGTCCAAGCGAACCCTCTTGGAGAGCCTCTCATACTCCACCTTGAGTATATCAAGCTGTCTCTGCTCCGCGTCTGCGTCCCCGTACTCCGACCCCTCCGACATAGCATCGCCATCACTGATATCTGATGAGCTGCCGCTGTGGCTCAATCTGGAAATAGTCTCCGACACCTCGAGAAGACGTCTTGCATGATCAGACAGCCCATCGTTCGGAAGCCATACCACGCTCCCTTGGTTGCCGTTCTCGGCTTCCGGAACAGCTACCGCTTTGCCCTGGGGGAGAAAGCCCAGGAGATGCTCTGGGGTCTGCTGCATGGCGAGCATGCTCTCCAAATGAATTGCGCTGCTACTCGAAAGCTCGATGTCGGACAGGATAAGGTATGGAATGGAGCGCAGACCGCGAGTGCATGCGAACTTCCTGAGCTCGTGAGGCGGGATAACATGGGTGGATGCTGGAGAATAACACCGTTAGCTGCGACTTCATCATGGGCAGAGCCGACTTGAAACTCACCATTATTTCTGCTAGCAGACGCCCTCTCCCTAGGCTGACCCCTTCTTCGGTGTCCGGATTGCCTAGAGGCAGACGGAGCATCTGAAGATCCAGCAGAACCCTCATGCTGAACAGTGTCCGCCCCACCAATAACATCCTCCGCATCCTCCTCCACAAAGTCCAAGTCACTCTTAACATAAGCCCTAGCCAGCATCTCAACCCCAACAGGTCCAATCTCATTCCCACTCAAATCAAGCTTTCTCACAAGAAAGCAATTCTGAAAAGCCCCTAGAAACGCACACCAAACACTCTTATCCTCATCCGATTCAACACGGATATCATTCTGGGAAAGGTCCAACTCGCGCAGATCAGCAGCACTCAGCTTGACAACCTCCGTCAGTTTTTCCAGCGCACGCACAGTGAGCCTGTTGCCGCGCAGACGCAGCTCAGTCACTTTGACAACGCCATCTGCATGGCCCTCCTCCTTATACTCGATGCAGCGGATCAAGTCGCCGATGAACTCCGCGAGGCCGGCGTCTTCGAGGTCTTTGCCTGTGGCGTCGATCTCGAGATGGGGATCGCGCGCCGCGGTGCTTCTTGAGCCTGGTCTAGACGGGATTCGTTTTTTCTAGCTGCTGTTAGTGTATACTCTCTTTGCTAGGGTTGGTATGCTGTGGTTCCACTTACCAGGTCTTTGGAAATGGTCTTGCCAGCTTTGATGCCGGAGATTCTCCTCTGCTATGATGTCAGCTTGCTAACTTTTGTTGATAGGAGGTCGGTACATACAGAGGAGTAGTTGAGTTTGCCCATGATGGGCGGTCACACGTCTGCCTTCCACGTTAGTATATGTGTTATAAGATCATCACGTCAACAAAACATCAAAGAATAATAATGGATCAGAGACACGATATTCAAGCAAGCAAGTACGCCGAACACGATACACGCATTCAGACTGAGAGTATACTCATCATTTCACTCATTCACGAGCTTTGCTGTGAAGAGATGATACAATTAACACAGATAAGAAATGTAGGGTACTCACAAAGACTTGATATGATGAGAAATGGTGGTGTGTGATAGAACGCGTGATCGCGAGGTTAGTTGGAGCGAGCGGGCTAGCTGTTGACCACAGCTATTGTAAGATGGGAAGACTGCTGCAGTATCAGTCAGTTACTCATTTTCCCTTTCCTTTCTCATATGATGAAATGGGTATGGTATGCAAGCATGAAGGAAGACCCGAGTGGGTTCTAATACTTACATATCTCTTCGGATAGGAACGAAACAAGATGTCATCAACAAGACAACAACAACAATGATCAACGACGTGGATGAGATGGCGAGAGATCAGATAGGGAAAAAAGAAAGAAAGAAAAGACAAGCAGAAGAATCAAAACAAACCAGTATTTATAGAAAGAGAAAAAGCATGACCAGCTGTGAAGCCCCATTATATAAAAACCGTCACTGTCGACCAGGCCAGTACTCTACATGTCGATTTTGGGGTTAGCGCGTTGATTCATCGTGCTGGGTGACCGTGTTTGAGTGTGATTGCGGTGATTAGAGATGGGTGTTGGTGCTGGGTGCTGGATGTTTGTTTATGACGTCGTCAGGTCAGGTCTATATTGTTGCTTTGTTTCTTCTTCTTGGGTCAAGGCTATTGTTGTTATCTTGTTACTTGCTGTTTGTGGATAGGATTAGAAGTATAGGATATAGGATATGGGATATGGGATATAGGCTATATTAAGTATGTATACAGCTCGGTTGGAGACAACAACGTGGAAGAAAGCATCGATATCAGGCAAATGCAACATAGCCGCCGTTCCATACCATATATCTTGCCTCCATATGGCTCAGAAAAAGTCAATGATATCTTTGAACTCGTTCAGCAAAGATGGGTCGATACCATGCCATTCGGTGGTTGATTCCATTGGGGGGGATGACGTCTCTGCTACATCCCGGTCACCGTTTCTCGGATCAGGAACAGAGGTTGTGTGTAACTCAGTGGTTATTCTCTGTGGTGAAGTCTTCCTGCTAGACTGATGTTCTCTCAACCTCTTTGTAGCTTCGTGGTTGAAAGCACGATTATTTGAAGTCTTCCGTTTCACTCCGTGATAGACATCAGCTGGGGAAGTTTCAACTGGGGTAAGGACCCCCTGTTCACTGTTAGAGAAGGCAGTATGGTTGCTGGTTCCTTCCATGATGTTCCTCTCAATCACTTCAGAGTGTGCCCCTCCATCACGATCTAGTGTCTCCGAAGCAGGCTGTACTTCTACTGCCTGCTGCGTGCCGCCAGTAAACGCAGACAGCGACGTCATCCACACCTCGTCCGATAGAAACGTGTCATCTACTTCCGACATTGCCGTTTCCTTTTCGAGCGCTTTCTCTCCCTGTCGATCCTTGCGTGACGTCGATGGTTTAATGGCCGGACTTCCCAGCATCAACTCCGACGGAGACGGGTAATCGTCAAAGCTCTCATCCCCATACTCGCTCGACGAACGAATGCTATAAACATCCGCACTCGTCTTCGCGTTTGGTCCATTTTTCGAAACTATATCTTGACCAGCATGCTTTCGGAGTGTCTTCTCTACGTCCTTTTCAGCCATTCGATTCTGGATACGAGGTGTATAACCTTCCTTGGTTAGACTCGCCGACAACGTCAACTGACTGAGTCCGCCAGAACGTGGGTCAGCGTCGGAGATAATCTTTTTTCCTCCTTTGGGAGGCTTGTCAAGACCGTCTCGGCAGCAAAAGTGCTTGCATCTATATCTCATTATTTGAGTTGGTCCGTACTTAAGACGGTGGGTGGGAAACGCCTTACGTCGTCTTGTCCTTGCACCTGTGGTTGCACGCCCATCGACCATTTTCCAGTCTAGCTGGGCGTTCTACATCTTTCTTTTCTTCACTATTCTCCAATCTGTTACTCTCCTTTCTTCCTTTCTTCGGTGGCTGGGAATCAGGTGGCTCTGGCGCAGAGTCCTCCATCCATGGCTTCATTCCGTTGTGGTTCTCCGATATGGCAGACAACTTTTCTCCGACAAAGTCATCGAAAAGCTGGTCGTCACTATCAAGTATATCCACGTCATAGCTCGTGTTGGGATTTGCCTTGGAAGAGTCGATACTACGCGGTCGAGAGGTGTTCATTTCGTGTCTCTGACTTAGCTTTGTCTGTGGATTCTCGTGCAGATGGGACGGGAATAAAGAAGGCGGCAGGTTTGGTTTGAGATCTGCGGATCTGAGGGTTCCAGCTTTGGATGGTCAGTCGTGTTTCTGTTCGTAGAATTATCGAGAATCCATAACTTACCAATCTCATCACACATGGCGTAGCATGTCACATACTGGTCCGCACGCTTAACCTCCACACTTAGCAGGATCTCTAGGCTGTTGTTTAGTTTGCTGGCGCTGGAACCTGTTAGACCTGACATCCACAAATAGGCTGTTTCCCTACCTCAAACGTCGAAAATCCACTATCCATCCATCTGACCGTTCCGTTAAGAAGCACACGTATATAGGCCGTCTTTGGAAGAAGGCGGGGCATTTCTCGTTCATAAACCCAAGCTCGGCTTTGAAGAAGACCTTCACCGACTGACCAGCTTTGACCTCCTATCCCAGCGTTAGCAACAAACCCCAGCCACGTAAAACAGAACACCTACCTTCTTCATGAGCTTGGTCGAAACCCAAAGTTTTGGGAATTCTGCCAAACGACCTAACAGTCTAAGTCCGAAAGGAGGATTCTTGCTGAGAATCATCTCAATCCGGTGCGCCTCCAGCTGTCCCAGCTCTTCGATGCTAGCAATGTCAGCTGCAGCTAGTTTACGCACAGCGACTATCCCAACTTGATCGATCTGTTTCATCTGCAGTGGGGAGTTGTCCCACACTTTAGCCCCGAAGCTGCGCGCAAGTTCTAGCGCATTCCTAGCAGCAATCGAGTCTTCCAGCGCAATCTGACAGTCGATTATGCAGCGGATGAGACGGCTCACGTGGGAAAATACAATGCCTTTGTCTTGCTGGAAGGCGAACTTGTGTTTCTGGAATTGCTCGCCATCGGGAAACTCAACCGCGCCCAGTTCGGCCTGGATGAGCAGGGATATTTTGTGCGCTGGCAGTGCTATGTCGACTTTCACGGGAAATTTGACGCTGCTAGCGCGGTTTATTTCCTTGTAAAGGGACTTTTCGCCTGCTTTGAAGCGCACTTCGCGGAATTCGTCTGCTTGGGCCATTACGGAGAGCTTTAAATGTTAGCTATTTTCCTAACACGGAGGGTAAGCTCTTACAATTTGAGAAACAGTGGCACGGCGTTCCAAAGACAGCAAGCTCTTCATCGTCTCAAACCGCACGTAGTACCGGGCCATGGCATCCCCGAACTGCGTCGATTTGAGCCACCCAGTAGTGACCAAGCTGCATTCCTGCAAGAGCTTGATATCCTTCTCACAGATCTGGCGGAGCATCTCATCCTCGTCATCTCTATCTGCCCCCTCTCTCAGATCATAATGGGTCGGGTTTCTCCGCAGCCTGACGAACAGAAAAGTTCCAGCAAGCCACTTGATGGCTGACTCGATATCCGTCACGTTGCCTAGGCCGATTTCGGCATTCAAATGGTCGATTAGGTTCAAGTGAAGACAACTTTCTAGGCTTTCGGACCCGGAGACGAGTTTCTCGTAGTGCGATATACGCTCTTTTCGAGTCAGAATCACGGCGGTAGCGCTGTCGTCGAATTGAGGCCGGCCTGCGCGACCGAGCATCTGCATAACTTCAAGGTCGGAGTACTCTTTGCAGCCGCCGTCTTGCCACCCTACCGTGTTCTTGATGACGACTAGATGACAAGGCAGGTTTACTCCCACTGCAAGTGTTGAGGTGCAGCATATGATGCTTATGTGTCCCTCGAGAAACCCCGTCTCAACGGTATGTCTGTCGGTGGGATCCAGTCCAGCATGGTGAAAGGCAACTCCTGCAGCAATGGTGGCTGTACGGCAATGAGGATTCATTCCCACATGTATAAGAATTCAAGAATACATACTCTTTAGATCAACATTGTGAGCCTCTAGACTCCTATTCGGCCCCTTCCAGTGCCGTGCTGGGGGATTAGACGTCGACCACAGCTTAGCAAGCTCTTTCGCCGTCGCCATCGACGAATTGCGCGTACAACAGAATATCATAATTGGCTTTCTCCGAGAGTGCATGGCTATAACATCAGGCAGCCTGTTCCAGTCGTAAGCAGATACTCCAGACAAGAGCAACACTCACTTACTTCGAGTTACACATCTTATCAAAAGCGAAATCATTCCCGTGAGACTGATAGCCGTACACGACCTTCTGCAATTTGACCGGACGAAACTCCTCTCCAAAGTGCTCCCTATGAGCCGGTACGTGCTGGTTAGTGGCGTCTTTTCCGAGCCATGTAGCCACGTCTTCAGAGTTCGGGATCGTTGCGCTCAGCGCCACAAAGCGGACGTTGGAGCCTATGGACTTCATGCGAGAGACCACCGTCTCCAGTGTAGCCCCGCGGGCTTCCTTGAGAATGTGGACCTCGTCGATGAGGAAAAGCTTCACGAGCTGCATGAGCCGCGCGTGGTCTTTCCACTTGCGGGTCATGCTGTCCCACTTCTCGGGTGTTGTTATGATTATCCGGCTGCTTTGAACGCTCCTCAGCTGCGAGTGATCAGTGTCCCCTGTAAGTTCGGCACACTGGAGGCCCAGCGAGTGGAACTTCCTGTTCCAGTCCCGGAAACGCTCCGAGCAGAGAGACTTGGTGGGCGCTTGGTAGACGACTTTGAAGCGCTCGTCTTTCAGTTTATTGAGCAGTCGGCAGATTGCCAGCTCCATTATGACCGTCTTGCCGCTTCCAGTGGGTGCGGAAAGTACGATATTATCGTCTCCCTTATACACAGGATTGAAACATTTCGACTGAACCGCATTGAATACAGGGAAAGGAAAAAGCGATCTGTAATTGTCTGGGAGTTCATGCGCAGACACCAAAACAATGCCTCGTATCGACATGGGTATACTATCCTGGAAAGGGTTTCCCATCTGGTCGTGGCTAGCAGCGGCCGATAGTGTCGGACTAGTATGTGAAGGTGACTCGTCCAGCTCCGATGACATGATCTGATGTCTACTAGGACCAGCCCTTATATCAGAACTCCGAGTCCCGGTTGCTCTATGGTTTTGGATTCGGGCCAATGGACTCGAAGGCGATGTTATATCGGCCTCTGAGATATTCGACCCGAGGACTCGTGGAGTGGAACTCGAGTCTGCAGTCATTCCGTCAGTTCATATAAACCCTAGTCCCAGCCCCAAGGTAAGTACTCACTTTGAAAGAACCGTGAGACTTGTATACTATCTTTCGTCTGCGACGGTGGATACGGTACCGAGTTACCACCAAACGACCCAAATTGGCCGTGTTGCGAAGACCCATTGGCCTGCGCCAAGAGCTCGAGATCTTCAATTCCCTCATCAATCTGAAGTCATATACCATCGTGTCAATGGTTTCAATCACTCACCAAAAGCATCAAACTGCAATCCCTCCTCTGGAGGGGAAAAACCCATCTCGCGAGCCCTATCATGTCCACCTTCACCAGACTCAAACCGGTTAGGTGGACTGCGTGATCCTTCAACAAGCGCCTCATCAACGATGGCACTCCCACAGGATTGGAGGACTGCAGGGCGGACGTCCATTCGTCGCCAACGGGCAGAGAATAGGGGTTCGTGGGTGTTTTGCCGCATGGTCACTGTAGACTCGACTACATGGGTTTAGGGCTCATACAATTGATGAAGTCGGTCTCTTGACTTCGTGAGACAACCTCAGATTGATCAACGGGAGAAACTAGCGGGCTGTGGTCACTTGCTGGTTTGAAGTCAACGATCATAGCACGTGCATCCCGTGTCTCTACGCCTGAGGCATGATGTGCCGCCCTACATCCTATCCCATGATGTTGTAGAAGTAGTTCAAGAAACAATCGCCGATATGATACAGCCCATATGTAAGAAGGATATCTCAAGATACCTAATGCATGCTCAGAAAACACATGATCAAAAATGCACAGAGAACAGACTAGAAGTACAGACGCCGGCATAATAGATGAAGAAAGAAGCACCCCCCTCAACATATACTTATTTACTCCGCACGCGACATGGTACAATGTGGGACGTTATATTCAAACGGTAAATGCAAGTTCGTATCCATCTCGTCAAATCACTGATCTCGTCAATGCTTGTCGAAGTAGCTGCCGCTGCTCACAGTGCGCGAGGTACTGACTCCCGCGTAGCCCGGCGAGGTAGGCCGAGACGTCGACACGCCTGAGTCGGTCAGAAACGGCGTCGTGGGGAGCTTGATGGAGAATTCTTTCGGCTCCGGCGACGCCGGTGAGGTCGTGTTGCTTTTGGCGTCTTTCTCGTACCGGTCGATCTCGAGCGGCGGTGGGCGAGAAACGCTCTGGCGCTTGCCCGGACCATGAACAGGGCCTGTATCTTCGCAAAGATAGGTGGCGACAAGAACGCCAAATGTCCCAACAAGGAACTGGAGCGGGAAAATTGTGAGTATTTCTCCGGGAAAGAAGGAAAAGGTCCAAACTTACAGTGCTGGACAATTCCATGTCAAAAAACAAGCTACTCCCCAGCGTCGTGAAGATAATACTCGTGGCGGTGGCCACGTTCCGCATATCTCTGTGGGCATAGCGGATGCAAAACGAAGTCGTGAGACCCACAACGGCTTGGACGACAATCGAGGACCACACGGTCCAGTTGTAGCCTGCAAAAACCCCGTTGCTCGAGATTTTTTCACCGTCCAGGAATATAACCCCGATGAAAAGCGCCGGGAAGACAGAGTAAACCGCTAATTGCACGTTACGAATCCAAAGCGAAGTCATTTTGGCACTGTCTTTCAACACCTTTTCGAAATAGATACCTGCCAGGCCGGATGCGACACTGGCCCCGACGGTGGCCAGGAGGCCAATAGCGCCGTTCATGCGCGGGTTGGCCGTCTGCAGGTCTTCCTCGATGCCTTCGTATGTCGCGGACCGTTTGTGTAGACCCCCGTGGTGCGATTTCGCGGCTTTCCACTCCTCGAAGGACCGGGGAAAGGCATGCTGCGCAGCTTCGTCGCCCAGAGACGCCACATCGGAGCTACCATCGGGCATTTGAACAAGACAGACGCCCACGAGCAAAAGCAGCAGTAACCCCCACTTGCGCGGCGACACCGACCTCTTGAGCAACAGCAGGCCAAAGATCGCAGACACAATCATCTTCAATTGATAGGTCGCCTGGAAGGTCGCCGCCTGCAGATTCGACAGCGCAATGTACTGCAGGGAATTGGCGAGTGTGTAGAGACAGGCCGGAATCACCAGCTTCCAGCTGTCACCGGAGAAGACGGCGGAGGCCAGGGAGGAGAGGAGGGACGTTGCGGGGACAGTCGGAGGCGCGGATCGCGAGACTTCGTATAGTGCCATCGTCAAGGATATTCCTAGCTTCACGACCTCATTGAAGAAGACGGCGGTGGACGTGAGATACCGTTTGCCGCCCGTCGGCGGCATGACCCTCGAGTAGTGCAACAACTATAGCAAACCAACAGTCAGGGATCCGTCCTCCTCATCGACAGTCGAATGGGAAACATACCAGTGCGAAAGTGGTATACTGCACTGTCAACTAAATCCATAAACCCCGTTAGCAGAGAACCCCAAACCACCCGCGCTCACCTCCGGTAGTTATTGGAAACCTTACCAAAACCCAAGAAAACTGATTCCAGGTCGTACCCGGTCCTGAGGACTGCCGAGGCGCGGTATCCCCCATATTGACAGTCGTTCCGCGTGGTACACTCCCAGAAGCTAAGCTGAAAGGTCCCCCTTTTTCTTCAATTGTAACTTTTCACTCTCCGCGGACGGCGTCCGGCCGTCCTGCAGCTTATGAAGGAACCCGTAACACACTCGTATCTAGCTCAAAAGGGGGGGTTGGTTCGCCGAGGATGTTTCATGTGGTGGCGCGTGTGAAGTTGCCAAAATGCGGATAGTGCCCCCTGCTCTTATTGGAGAGGTCACCCACACGAGCCCGGTCCGGGGTCTGGGCGAATCAAGGAGGGGAAAGGAAGAAGCGTCGAAAAAGAACTAGTGCCAAAAAATCAAAATGAAGAAATCGGAGAGCAATGACGATTGATTAGCCCAGTCCGATCCAGGAGCGCTGCCCAACCCCCCGGGACCCTTTCACGAAGGGTAAACGTTTCGGCTTCACCACCAGGATTGGTGGGTCCACTTCAAGGATTTGACACGTTAAGCGGGGAAAAGAGCACTAGTCGGTAGAGTCGTATCTCGGAGAATCGACGGGTTATAAATGTAATAGAAAGGCTGAAGCTCCTAGTTCATCATTAATTAAGTAAGTAAGAGTCGGGGCATTCCAGGGAACCAGCGGAGGAGCAGAAGATGGAAATGTTTGGTTCCCCGATGGGCGGTGTGGATCGTTCCTTAAATGGCCCGGGCGGTCAAGGCGGCTTTCCCTTCCAGTCGTTCCGCTTCACGTCGTTCTACTTCTGGAGTATTATAGTATACCTCTGTGGTCAGTGTGAGGGGATCTCGAGAGACCAAGTCGATCAGATCAGCAGCTGATGTCAGGCTCAGACATACGGATTGGCCACTTTTGTTCCCTAGGAATCCTGGTTCATCACAGCCACCAAAGTTTGCAAGGGGTACTGATGTTGCTATTATTACCCATCGGCAGGAGCTCAGCATTACTGCGCCCTCACAGCCTTATTCGATGCGGGTGCTGTTTCACCTCGGATGCGAGATAGATTCGATGCATGTGGTTTCGGCTCCTGGATCCAGAAGCGATCAAAACCGTCGACTGATCTTAATCAGATAGTATTTAACAATAAGTGTTCGATTGCGTGACCCATCTCTAATTTCGGTCATCACTATCTGCAGTATCATATATAATATACATTAGACGAGAATGATGTTCTCATAGAGCTTCTATTGAAAGCATCGTATTATAGAATGTGGTAAGTGAAAACACAAAAGGAGAAGGAAGTGAGTGTAGTGCGCCAATGATGAAAATGCTGGTTGTCAACGTCGCCGTGCTAAGTAGCCCAAAACATAGAGAGAGATGTAATAAAACGAAAGGAAAGGTAGAAAGAGAGAGTGAGAGAGTGTGTGTGTGTGTGAGAGAGAGAGAGTGAGAGAGAGAGAGAGAGAGAGAGAGAGAGAGAGAAAGAGAGAAAAAAAGAAAGAGATAAAGAAAGAACGTAAAATGCAATGCAAAATCCACGTTCACAACGATCAATGCACAGTCGTCAGGTGAGATCCATGGCTCCCATCGTCATTACTCCATCCAAGCGCCCAGATGGGAAAGTCGTGTCGATCCCTGGACTCCCCGCTCTCGCCCAGCACGATAGCCTCGCTGCTGTCCGTGCGTCGTCGGGAGTGTTGCCTCCGAACCGTGGGGACAGCGGGGGGAGGATGGCGGGGGTGGGGTTTCTGTGATGGCAGTGGTGAAAAGCGGTGGATAGGGAGGGTCGGGGTCAATGGAGACGCGCTGCTGGTGGCTGGAGAAGGGAGGCTTTCCGTATACACCAGGCTAGTGCGAGGGGAGGCGCTGACCGGGGTGGTTTTCTGCTCAGTGTCAGATTCCACGCCCAGGGAGTTGGAAGGAGCGCCTTTTTCATGTTGAGTTGCACCTTGGTCTGCCAGAGCGGTATTGAGAGGAAAGGCGCCGCTCAATCGCAAGAAGGATGTCTCCGAGCCGTAGAAAGATTCCCGCGACGGGGCTGCCGAGTATACGGACCCCCGGTCGGGCTCGGGGGTGTCTGCGTCGCCTCGGCCGTCAGGGAAGATACTCGGGGTGATTTTCCCCCTGCGCTCGCGGATGGCGGCCAGGAGATCTTCTTCTTGCCTCGTGACGGCCATCACTCGACTTCTCCGGTACATTTCCTTCTGGGAGAGAGCGGGCTTGACCGAACTTCGGGCCCCGGTGGAGAGAGGCTCCCCGTGGGGTGGTTCGGGCTCCATGATGGTTGGCACGAGGCTTGATCGACGCGACTGACTCTGTGGAGCTGATGCCGGCAACCCCCTAGTCGACGGGGCTCGGCGGAAGGATGGCTGTCTCTGAGTCGAAGCGGATCTCTGGCTGCTCGATCTATGACTGCCCACTGAGCCACTCGGTTCTGCCCGTCTCGGTACTCCCTTCGTCGCCTGGGGCCCGGCCGCTGTGCCTAACTCGGCCCCGAAATTGCTGTACATGGCGACGCTATCTCTCGGCCCCCTGGGGATGCCACGGTCCTTGGGTAGAACGTGATCCTCCTCTTCGTCCTCATCTTCCGACGAGGAGAGGCACAGCACACTAGACATGGTCAGGTCGGTATCCTTCAAGGTGCTACTGCGACTCTTCTCCGACGTAGAACTGTGCGGCGCAGAAGATGCGCTAATCTGTCGCGGCCGGGTGGAATTCGCGGGGCCGTTTACATGGACTCGCGAGCAATCTCGAGGAGAAAGATGGGTCTCCTTGCTCCAGCCACCAATGGAGCTATTCGAGGGAACCTTGCGCAGATGGTCCGCTGGGAGAGCACTCGCTTCGAGCTCTTCTCGGCTTCGCGGGCGCTGGAGGAAGCGGCTGTGACGCGCGGGGTCGGGGTTCTGCAGGGCCATGTCCATTTCGATGGTGCGCACCGTCTTTTCCAACGAGGGGTCGAACCAGTTGTCGTTATTTTTCTCGAAGATCGTGGACGGCCCGCGGACCGTATTGGCGGCTGGACGACTCCGTGGCTTGGCAGGGGGTGTCTGCGTTGGCGCTGCTTTTGTCTGGGGCTTCGCAGCAACGTGGTGATCCGGCGTCTTGGGAGGCGCAGGAGCCATTCCCGAAGCGATGGAGACAGGAGACGGCGACTCCACCATGCGTTGCGGCGAGAGAAGGGGAGCCGCTTCGGCGCGCGGTTTCGGAAACAGCAGAGAAAGGTCAATGCGGGGGGGTCGTATCTTCCGCTTAGATTCCTTCGCCGGCCCCTTGGATTGTTTCAAACCAAAGTCCAGCGAGGGGTCTGGTTTCGCATCACGGCCCCGGCTACTGCCGCGCCCGCTACTCTTGCGTCCGCTTTCCGAACCCGCGCCTTGATCGCTTGTGGAGTCTCGGAAGTTAAAATGGGAGTATAGAGCCAAAGCAGAGCCCGATTGATGGATCTTTCTTTTGGGCTCCGGAAGCGGGGGGGCGGCGGTATCTCGCGCTCGATATTCTTGACCCAGCAGGGGAGAGGACGCTCGAACACGGAGGTTCTGTGGTGGTATGCTTGGGTTTGCGGGCGCCACGGGGAAGGTCACGAAGCCGCTGCTCTTCTTGGATTTGGTTTCTGGGGACCGCATAAAGGTTGGCCGCCGGGTTCGCCGTTTCTCCTCGCGGTCCCTGTTGATCTGCTGCACCGCAACTTCAGACGTTCCTAGTATCTTCTGCGCTTTGGATGTCCTGTGTTCCTTCAGGTTATCCTGGCTCGGCTTTGAGGGGAGCATTTCGGGGTTCAGCGCGTTGGCGCTCGATGTTCTCGAGGGGATGGAAAAGGGCTGATGGGACATGGTCGGAACCCCACTCCGTCAGATCGGGGCTCTCGCCCTGGGTATGTATGCGCAACCGGGATCGGTCGGAACGAATGTGAATGGCGTGAATAGGGAGAATGTGAATCTCACGCTCTCCTGGGATCGGCGAATTGTGAAACAGTTTCTGGGTCTTGCACCCAGTGGGATTTCCCTGCGCCGAGTGGTCGAGACAAACTACGAAGCTGGTCACAAGCGATTTGGTTTGCCGACTTCCGCTGGGTCGCGTGGCAATGATCGCACGAGGGACCGATTAATCGGCGGGGGGGGGAAGGAGGGACTGTGATAGGGAATCCGAAACCCGTCAGGCCCAGGAGGGTTGACAATGATTGAAAAGGCGATCGAAGAAGTAGAAACGTTGTCCGGGTTCTGGCTTGGTGCCCAAGACGGGCATTTAACAGTAGTAATTGACGGGAACAAGGGAATGATCGGAGCCTTAAGGCCAGCCCGTGCGCGCGTAGGAATTAATGGGGCACGGTTAAGTGGATATCGAGAAATTTGGAATTATTACATTGGTGAGGAGAGGGGTTTGAAAGAACCCAATATGAGGGTGAGAGGGAGAGGGAGCGAGCGAGCGAAGTCTTTAGGGGGGAGTGGTGGAAATTGGTCTCCTCCCAAGGGTGCCTCAGAATCCGCATTGGCCAATACCATTGACCATTAGCGGTGTGGGTTAGGGAAGATGGACACAGAGGATCTGCGACCAAGTGCCATCATCTCGACAGTCTAAAATGTGTCTCAATTGTGCTGTGTGGAGCAGACGGGGCACCATCACCGACGGGCTTGCCTCTGGAGCGAGGGAACTGCCAGCGCTGCAAAAATGAGGCACAACTGGCCCAGTCGAGTTAAGTTTTGGTGTCAACAGTTTTAGCAACCCAGTAGCGTTGTCTTAGTCCGTCTCCGAAGCAGTAATCATCGACAGGCACCTGCCGTGGTTCCATTCGGTGGAAGTGGTTCCTGGTGCCTTGGTGGCTGGTTTCGGGCATTTGGAATCATTGTGAGAATTCTAATAGTAGAAACCGTAGCCGGACCAGGAAGAGCTTTGTGATAGGTACGGATTAGTATAGAATGGGGAAAATGATCCCTGTTGCAGAGTGGATGAAGAGAGTGCAGGAGGAGCAGAAGATGGAGTCCGAAGAGGAAAAATCCGGATGAGTGACAGGTTGGCCTGAGGTTGCTGCATGCTGTAAGGGACTGTCTGTCATTCTTCATATTGTTGTTTTTTTTTGAAATTCTACTTTTTTTTTTTTTTTTTAATATTATGATAATTATAATAATCAATATTGTACAATACTATTGCAATCCATTCATCTACTGATCTATTGACTGATTATCAGCACCGATAAAAGGGGGAAGAGGGGAGAAAATGTTAGTGGACAATAGTGCATTTCTGTGGAAAAACACGTGCGGGCCACGCGGAGGACAACAATGAGATCTCACAATCTCACACAGATGCTGGTGGACTTTAATCACTCTCCCTCCTATTCTTCATGCTTCATCCCATTTCATCTAATTTGTTGTTTTCCCTCCCCTGTTAAACAAGCCTGATTGGGTTTCCTTTCCTCTTACGTGGCTGATGAAATTAATCAAACACAAACAGAGCTAAGAAAAGGAACTAGACAAGACTAGTACCACCATCCATGTTTCTCCACGGGTTCTGAGCCATCGTCATCGCCCACTCGATCTTTCCTCTGGGCGGCTCGATCCTGAGCTAAAAGGAAGAACTATGGAACTCCCTCGCATCTCCCCGCCGCTCAGCCGTCTTTGGACCTCTCTCAATTCCAACCCATGTCGATCATCATCCGGTTCTCCAATGTCTTCCTTCTTCCATCCACTGAAGTGGGGGGGCCCAAGCTTGGAATTTCCAATAGTCATCGATCCAGGAACCCCTTGTGCTGGTATTTCATGATCACCGGAGGATGGCTGGACTATCAGTGTCCACTCTTCAGTTCTGTACCCATATCAGTTCAATCAGACGATAATGCCATCCGTCGTTCATCCGAGGTTCTCCATCCCGTCGGCATCAATTGATCGAGTCTCTCCAATAGTTACACACACACATCAGTCCACCCGGGGAAATAGACAATCCAATTGATCGCCACAATAGTCATCCAGTCAATGAACCCTTGTCCCGTGGGAAATACTCCAGGAAATCTCCGACTTAACCCCGCAGGGGCATGCGCAAGCGCTCGATGGTGACCTGCAGTGGTGGTTTCGAATTGACCACGTCTGCATACGCATTGACGTGGATACTTGTTCCACGGCGGCAAGCTTATGCAAGGCATACTAATGTCTCTTTTCCAAAGTTGACAAGTCTACGTAATTTTCCTGACAGAAGCTAAAAACTCACCACATCACTAGATAGCATGACAGCCTACTCCAGTCACTCGCCGCATCCAGCAAGGCTGACGGCATCAAGGATCTCCTATCAGTGCAGATCGGCGCCAAGCCATCCAATCACCCGTTTACCGCATTTGCGATGGTCACGGGTCCATCATTGCCGAATGAGTTTGGTTCGCAAGGTTCGTCCCAGACAAACATATAGCGATCGGCTGAGACATGCCAAATCGAGGATATTAAATATCGCGCTGGACGGCCCCGTTTAGTGGTAGGCTGAAGTACGGTCCGGCTGATAGTCTGGGACCAGAACCAGGAACGCATGATAAGCTATACATGTCTCGACTGATCTACCAAGGACAGAACAATAGCGCCGTGATGATTTTCACGTGGAGAGAATCCAGATCTTCGCTATCATCTGTGAGACTGTGACCCACGCAGCCCCTTTTGATGCGCGCTATACCCTCGCCAACCTGCTCACACTACTCGCTTGTATACATACTGGTTCTCTCTTAACTTAATCGTCAAAGCTCTTGAGTACCCATTCCCTCAATACCTACCGACACTGTCCGGCAGTCAGTCAGTATAAGCAAGAATCCTCAATATGAACAAGTCTGCATCATGTCAACCTCTGGGGGATCCAGTAGTTATCTTCATCTACCAACTACCCAATCAACTTATTTCCTTCTCACTGTTTCTACCAAGACCCCGGCGTAGTTCTATATATATATCGAGTACCTTGGTAGGTAGTATACTAGTAAGACACAGACCCACCCGCATCCCCTACATATATTGTAGAACCCACGCACAGCGCCACGCACTTCCACAGAGAAACGAGATCTCAAGAAAGAGGGCTTCATCAATTGAATCCGCCCTCAATTATCAGTGTTAAATCCATTGTTTTGTAGGGAGTTACGCGAATGGCTAGGTAAGACTAGCTAGCTGACAGATAGGTTTAGGGATTATAACTATTTGGATTTTTATAAGAAATGTGCTTCGCCTGACGGGAAGAAAGCTCGATCTATTCTGGGGGGTACTTTCTCTCGTCAAATTGGTAAGTGATGTTGCTTTCTTGGGAAAGGGATTTTCCATTTCACGCCACGCTTGATCAACGAACACGATAATTATAAAAACAAGCAAATCAGGGAAAGCGGGCTATCTGTTCCAGCAGAAAACCGTCAGACCCGCCGTCTGGATAAATCACTTAATTCAGATTGTTGTCCTTGGTGCGGTGGTACACGTTATGCCCTCCCCTGGAAAGCACCGTCATTGTCGCTCGTGTCTGCCCCAACATCAATCAATTTCGAAAAGTTGCTGACCTTGCGACGTTTGCGGTGGCTGCGTCGGGGACTATCGCCGCCTGTTTCTTCAGAACTCTCTTGGATATTTTGCGATGTGATGAGACGGTCGTCGGCGGACATGCCTGAGCGACGGGCGAGTTTCTTTCCGGGCTCGGGCACGTTGGGAAGGCTGTGATTGGGTTGTATGGTTTGGGGGGTCAAGTCGGTTTTTTCGAGGTCGTCCGTGCCGGAGGTGTCGTCGGGGATATCTGGGGTTATTCTTCTTTTGCGGGTTTGTGGCTCTGAGGTTGGTGGTGCGAATACACTGGTGGAAACTTCCGTTTTTTGAGCTCCCTCTTTGTCAACCGGTTGGTCGTTCTCAGGCGGGATGAAGTTGTCCTTCGAGGTGTTCTTCGTAGTATTGGCTCGATCTGGTGCCTCGAAGGGTTTGCCTGGTGCGTTCTGGGTATACTATGCCTGTTAGTATCTGAGTTGCCACATGCACATGAAACTCACATGCTGCCCGATCTTGACCATCGGGTCCATGATTTCCTTGTGTATTCGCTCGCGGACATCGTCTGAGCTTGGTACATAAAATTTCGGCAGCCCTTTTCGCACAAACCCCTTCATTTTGTACCCCTGGGTTGGCAGCAGCAACTTCTGTTTCTTCAGGAGATCGGTGATTTGGACGACGGTTTGGCCGTTGCAGTCTGTCCGTTGTCAGCACCTATCGGGCCATCGGTTCGAGCCACTTACGGAGCTTCTGAGTAAAGATTGACGTCGTGCTGGGAAAGCCTTCGTCGAGTATGATTTTAAGTGCCCTCCGTAATAGCACCAGGCTATTCATTTCTCGAAGCAACTGGAGCTCGTTTGGCTCCAACAGGCATTGGTAGCATGCGTGAAAATCTGGTATGCGTGGATCGGTTGGGCCTTCGAATCCATAACACAGCGCATGCTGTTGGGTGTGGCAGAACGAACATTGTATCTGAGCAGGTCAGTACCTATCTTTGTGACGCGGTTTAGGGTGTTACCATTGCTTTCTCTTCGCCCTCCCAGCCACATTGGCACTTAATTGGGGCTTGACCTTGTTCCTGGTTGCCGTTGCGGTCACGTATCTGCCCGCGGGCATGCTCGCTGATCTCGTTGATTTTGGTTTGCTTCAAACTGACCTTGTCTTGTTCGACCGGCACAGGGGTGGTATCCATCTCAGACGGGACGTCGGAATGGATGGGCTGTGTAGGGACAAGGGCACTATCGGCACCAGGGGCTTCTTGGGTCTAGGCTAGTTAGAATAATAGAACGAAAATCTATATGGGGTAAGTTGACACTTGCCGGTAACATCATCTGCAGTTTAATCCTTTCCGCCTTGTCCTGAGTTGCCTCCTCTGAGTCTAACGACTCCGGGGGTATCTCGGGTCGTTCTTGTGACGTGTTTCCCACAATTTTCTGACTGTCTGGTGCTGCTTCCTGGGTATTCTCGTCTTTGTGGGGTGACTCCATCGTCATTAACCGGTCTGCACTTGACTGCGAGCTATCCTTGGCGGAGGCGTTGATTGGGCTCTCCAGCCCACGGGATACATCCTCGGGGAATCCAATATCATCGGACCGCTGCGCAGTATCACTGTACTCGATGTCCATAGGTACCTGAGGCGGTGCCTCGAATGCCCCCGGGTCCGGGCCCGTCCATTTGAGAGAGGTTACCTTCAGACCCACACTGCATGGATTAGACAAGGTCATCACAAAGTTCAGTAGATACTTACGTATGCCATCCGCCATCCATTGTGCCGCATGGCTGGCTGTCTTTCTGCCAATTCTCATTGAATGGATATTTGATAATCTCATTGCGCCCTCCAACAAAGCCAAGGGGTTCGTAGTCACTCGGGCAATCCTCGGTATAAAATAAGTGTACTCCTAGGTGGCGCTTGTCTGCATCGACGTTAGAGTTATGTAGCTCAAAATCAATTTGGGGAAGGAGGAGTACTTGGCAGCGTGGGAAGAAAAGCACTTAGCGTGATCAGGCGCCTGATGATGGTTTCCAGGCCGATGCGGGCCGTCTGTGCAGTTTTCATGTCGGCCACACAGCCCACGGGGTCAATCGAAAGCCTTTCTAGACGACTGTTCATATCGCCGGCAGCACCGGTGTACTTGAAAGAGAAGGTGTAGGACTCTAATACATTTTCCGGGGTGTCCTTATCGACCAGGATGGTCAATTGGACGGCCTCCAGTACGTTCTTACGCAGCGCATCGAAGATGCCATTTTCCTAAACCGGTCAGCGTGCCGTTACGGAAGTTCCGTCCACGGACCTACCAAGAGGTTTAGGATCATTTCCGCGTTGGGATCGGCCCCTCGGACGATGATCTTCAACGGCTGGCCCCGCCTGCCCGCGCCGAACGGGACTTCGGGACGACCTTCCGGGCTATCCTGGGTGGGGGATCCGTTGATAAACTCTCTATACGACAGTTCGTCCTTCTTCTGGGCTTTCTTCAGATCTCGGTCATCGAAGCAAGGAAGCGGTAAGAGCTCGCTGTGACAGGTGTCAGATCGCCATGGCCATCAATCTCGACATGTCTAACATCCAACGAACCGCAGATAGAACAATGTCCCGAGCTTTGGATTTCATTAGAGATAACATTCCATTCGTAGAGTCTACCAGGGTTCAAATGACCAAGTGACACTTACCGATACATGCAGCATGATCTGGACCATCTCCAGGCTTTGCTGCTGTTGGAGAGCCAGGGATTCACGGGTCGTCGTCAACGTCGGCGGTGCATCGACCTGGGTTTGGGCCTTGGTCTGCGGTGCTATCTTACTTTCTGCGACGATGGGCTGGATCACTTTGACGGGCTGCAACTGGACCGCCGAAGCGGGGCCAGTCGGCCTGGTGCGAACCATGCTGAGAGGAGTGGGAAACTCGAGGGTGAGAACCGTATAGGGAGAGACAATCGCAAAAAGAAGATATTGAAAGGTAGAAGAGCCAGTGTATAATGAATGCAGAACAGATCCAAATGCAATGGGTGACCGAGCAGGGACCGGGATCATGAAGGAGGAACAGAAAGGCTGGACGGATACGGGTCAGTCACGGGAGAGGTCCGATTCTTACATACTGGAGTCGGTTCGGAGTCGGCAGCTGTTCCACCTTCAAGCATTGTTGATCACACTCTCATGTCTTCCCTGAGTTTGTTTTAATCTGTTTGATTTAGGTCTATTGACTTTCCCTCATCCTCTGTTATGTCATGTTTCAGTAGATTGGAATGCACAAGGATCCAATCACTTTCACGATGACTTATCTAATTTCTTATAAATCAATCCATTACACCAAATTGGTCGAGTATAAGTTAAAGCCCCGTGAGACTGACACGGTCTATCAACAGAAGATGAGGCATGCTAGCTAATGGGGTATCTCGTTGCCCTTGCATATACAAGCCGTGTTGAAGATTATTCGCAGGCTATATAAATTGGAAGCTACTAGATCGAGATAGAGAAGTGCACGATTCGTCACTCAGGCTCGACATCAGACTATCGTCAACGTCCCGATACCTCGAGAAAAGAAAAAGGAAATAGATATAATAAGAAAGAGAAAGAGAGGAAGCCGAAATACTGGAGAACAGCAATTCATCGACTGATCGTCGTGATCTTGGTGATTCAACGACCCACGTGACACGGTGCGCTCCACTGGGGGTCGCCTTGTACACTTTAAATCCACCTTGGATTGAGGGTTGACAAGTTGACACTAGGTGGTAAAGACACATGCTAGACATGTGTTGGGGGAGGACCAACCTCGCACATGGAATGCTCTCAAGTGGTTGGTAGGTCGATGACCCCCGTCATGATGACCATAGCATCGGCATGGAATCCATTACAAATATCCCACCCTCCGTCACCGCTTCCCCGCAATTCCCTTGCTGGATGGCTTCCCCCGTCACTGAGTTCATACTACCAATTTCATAGTGGTCCGATACTACGGTCTGAGACGCAAACCATATCTGGACAGACTGCCGAAGTGAGCATCGACGGATTCAACATCGGCCTGATCCAGGCTGATCCAGGCTGATCCAGGGCTGAGAAGATCACAGGGGAGAAAAATAGTCAGGAAGAAAAGAAAAAAGATGTCGGTCTCGCCCCACATATCACGTGCAAGGGCGAGTGGCGATGGGAAATTCGATACTTGATACCGTGAGGACTGTCCATGGGGGATCTATAATAGAACCGGAAGGATTGGGTCAAGGGCACTGGAAGAAGGGATGATGCAGGTGGACTAGGTGCAGATTTTGTCAAGGAAAGGTTTCAGATGATCCTTGGTGATTTATCTCTTGGTGGTTTGGAGTTGATCAACGTCGCAATCCAACCTTTGTCGATTGATCTGATCCGTACCGAACACATCTAGGCTGGAGGGAAATGCCTAGGGTCGGAGAGAAAGAAAAATACGATCGCACATTGCCACTGGTCGGGGATGTTCCTTGTTTACGCTCCATCGGGACTGCCGGGGTAAACAAGGAGAAATCAGTCAAATATATATCAAATGAAAAAGTCAAATTAAATAAATTAAAGAAAGACAAGAGAAAGAAGAAGAAGAAGAAGAAGAAGAAGAAAGAACGAATAGATAAGTCAAACCCACACCAGTGGAGTTAATATTCCATTATAGTTGCGTTGATATAGGATAACTCGAGAGTAGAGATCAATCCAAGCTAACGCGGTCGGTGGTCGAACCAACCACCTTCAGCTCCTTCTTCCTTCTCTCTCCCTCTCTCTCTCTCTTCTTCCCGCTCTTCTTCTTCTTCCTTGTCAGCAAACCCGCCACACTCTTCAACTCTTCCACCACTTCTTCCTCCCTCCATACTCTCTCTCTTCCCCTCCTCTCGCAGTCATTCTTCCTTCTCTTTGTCCCTTCTCTTTTTTTCCCCCCCCTTCCACTCCCGCCCTTCCCTTCTTTTTTGACTCGGTTCCATTTATATCATCTATACAACTCTCAACCGTCCCCACCGTCCCGGCCATGCTCTAACGAGCCTCCACCTCTCGTTCCTCCCGTCTCCCTCCCCTTACGTGTTGGGCAGTCAGATGGTCCTTGCCGCCGTACATCGTGCCAACCACTCTCTCACCACCTCCGGTTGCCTCTCGGATTGTAAATCCCTTGGCACATTCGGTTGAATGATCCTTCCAAGTCCTCCGTTGGTCCTCTTCGGATAAGACCCCGACTCCTTATCTTCACACCAAACGCGTCTTCGATCATCCACCTCCCTCTCGTGGCATATCAACCAACCCCCCCACCTCCCAACACCGGACACTCACCCAACCCAACATGGGTGATCACGAACAAACAAGCGGCTTTGGCCACGAACAATCCGACAGTGCCATAGGACAGTTCTCTTTCGCCCCCGCGACCCGGACCACCGTCGTCACCACGACCACCACCACGACTACCACCTTTCCTCCGTTGTTTATCAATCCCCCTCGCGCCACCCGGGATCTGGATCCCAAACTATACCCCCTAGCCTCCTCGCCCACCCCGTCGGCCCTGAGAAATGTCAAGTTCGACCTGGGAGGACAGTCGGTAGTCTACAACGAGCCCGAAGACACGGCGGACGCGGTCACTGAGGTACGTGCGAGATCCACCTCAGGAGAGCTCTCCTGCTTGCTTCTTGTCGCCCCTCTCCCCCTTTTTTTCATACTGTACTTGATGTGTCGAAATAATCTGCTGACGGGCAACTCTAGTTACGGGAAAAGAATGAAGCCTTGAGGGCCTCCAACGGTCTCGTCCGATCGGTAGCGTCGTTTACCTCGGACGGGACCCAGTTACCCCGACGCTCCGCCGCGCCCAAGCCGTCGAACTGGCCAGCAACACTCCCCTCGATCTCGAAACGTCGCTCGTCTCGACTCCCCGAATCCCAGCAAGGTTCATCGCGGTTCCGCGTGCCCTCGGAACCTTCTCTACGCTCGATCCGCTCCCTCGGCCCGACACCAACCCATTCCGTCGCTCCAGGTTTGGCCACCCCGGAGACCGAAAGCAGTGCGTACATGACCGGCGAGGTCGCGGTCCCCCGGCGTCGGATCCACAGCGTCAATACCCCTCGTCGCGAGACGCTCCTCCGTTCGCCGCTATCCTCCGAGGTGGAGTCCCAGGGACTTGCGCCCACCCTTGCGGACGGGAAGAAGGCGACTGTGCCCGACGACCGAACAGGCCACCTGGATCGTCAGGAGACCGACGGCAGCCAGTCAACCGTCCAGGAGGACGCATCCGAGAGCAAGACCGATGATCTCCCGGACATGACGGCAACCCAAGATACCGGATATGCATCACAGGAGCACGCCCCGCCGGTGTCCGGCGTTAGTCACGTGGCCGCCCAGGACATGTGCCTGCCGAGCCCCAGCTTGTCGCCGGTGGCGGCCATGAATGCCCTGCACGCGGATTCGTCGTTCGAATCGGCCGAGGATCCCGAGCTGGACACGGACTCGAGCCTCGACAACGATCGTCGCGTGTCAAGTTTGGTGCGCCGCGACGCGTCTCCTGACCGGAAATCGGGCGGTTTGGCGGCCGGTCCTAGTGGTCCAAAACCCGCCTCGTTGATGGACATCCCAGGCGTGCTGGACTTCTTCGATACGGTTCCCGACGGGATGAAGACGTACCTCATGTACCAACTCCTGAAGCGATGCCCCAAGCCCACGTTGCACTTTGTCGCCGACGTGGTCAATCCCGCCTTGAAGTGTGACTTCTTGGCTCTCCTCCCGCTGGAGCTGAGCCTCAACATTGTCAAGTACTTCGACGTGCAGACCATGTGCCGTGCCTCCCAGGTCTCCAAGAAGTGGCGCCACATCGTCAACTCGGACGAAAAGACGTGGAAGGAGCTTTTCGATCGGGACGGGCATGTCCTGCCGGAGGGAGAGCTGGAGCGCGCCATCCGCGAGGGCTGGGGCTGGCAGTTCCCCAACGGCGACGAGGACTGGGAGAAGGACCTGAGCGGGTCGGCGTCCATCCGACTCGAGTCAGAGCCGACCCCGCTGTCGGGCTTCTCATCCCTGGCGGGCTCCGGGGACCGCGCGTCGACCCGTCGACCCAAGCGCAAAGCGTGCACCCGGGTGGTCAGCCGCAAGCTTGCGAAGCGGAAGATCTCCTCCAGCGGCACCGACCATTCCGACTCGCCCGATTGGCGGCATCACGTCACCGCCGCCGAGGGCCCCTACGCCGCCGCCAATGCCGCCGCCGCCGCCGTCCCGTACCCGGACATCGGGTTACCGTCCCTCCGCGGCCTCCACCTCTACAAGTCGCTCTACCAACGGCATCACTCGATCCACAAAGCCTGGATGGCCCCCAGCGCCAAACCAAAACACATCGCGTTCCAGGCGCACGACCGTCACGTGGTCACCTGCCTGCAGTTTGACACGGATAAGGTGCTGACGGGGAGCGACGATACGAACATCAACGTGTACGACACGAAGACGGGGGCCCTGCGGGCGACCTTGGAGGGTCACGAAGGCGGGGTGTGGGCCCTGGAATACCACGGCAACACCTTGGTCTCCGGATCCACCGACCGGTCGGTGCGGGTGTGGGATATCGAGCAGGCCCGATGCACGCAGATCTTCCAGGGTCACACCTCCACCGTCCGGTGTCTGCAGATCGTTCTGCCCGTGGAGGTGGGACGCAAGGCCAACGGCGCGCCGGACATGATGCCTCGGGAACCGTTGATCATCACGGGCTCGCGGGATTCGAATCTCCGGGTGTGGAAACTGCCCCGGCCCGGTGATCCCGGCTACTACCAGAGCGGACCGCACGTGGACGACACCGACTGCCCGTACTTTGTCCGCGTCCTCGCGGGGCACCACCACTCCGTCCGCGCCATCGCGGCCCACGGCGATACGCTGGTGAGTGGCAGCTACGACTGCACCGTGCGGGTCTGGAAGATCTCCACCGGTGAGACGCTGCACCGTCTTGAAGGTCACAGTCTGAAGGTCTACAGCGTGGTCCTGGACCACAAGCGGAACCGCTGCATCAGTGGGTCCATGGACAACATGGTCAAGGTGTGGTCGTTGGACAGCGGGACCCTGCTGTACAATTTGGAAGGCCACGCGTCGCTCGTCGGCCTCCTCGATCTCAAGTGCGACCGACTCGTCTCGGCGGCCGCCGATTCCACGCTGCGGATCTGGGATCCGGAGAACGGCCAGTGTCGGAACATGTTGAGTGCCCATACCGGGGCCATCACCTGCTTCCAGCACGATGGGCAGAAGGTGGTCTCGGGGTCGGACCGGACGCTTAAGATGTGGGATGTGCGCACCGGGGACTGCGTCCGTGATCTCCTGACCGACCTCAGCGGCGTGTGGCAGGTCCGATTCAACGATCGACGCTGCGTTGCGGCCGTGCAGCGCGACAGTCTGACGTACATCGAGGTGAGTAACTCGGTTGATCCCAGCCGATGAACCATCAGATCGCTAACTTTCTCAGGTGCTCGACTTTGGCGCGTCCCGCGACGGGGTCCCGGACGATCAGCTCGGACGACGAATCATTGTCAACCGATGGGGACAGGAAGTGAGCGATGTAGACGAAGACGATGACCTCTCTGACGCCTGATCCATCGCCCTGGACCGCCGTTTGACGTTGGTTTACCGATAAGACTGTCCATTTGGAAGCCTCCGGCAAACTCCTTCTCCCTTTTTTCCTCCCCTTCAACCTTATACTTCTTGTCGATTTCTTTTCCACGGTCATGAAACATGCACGATACCCCTACATACCAACTTTTCTTTTTTTTTTAATTTCTTTTCTCTGTTTCAACGCAAGGACATGCATAGCGAGGCGGCACCTTTGACGTGGTATTATGATGGGCCGGCGTTCTGGCATGCAAAATAAGTATCTATGGACCTGTTTATCTAACATATTTCCTATTCCCTTCTCTGTAATTTGATCCGCATTAGTTAGATATCTGACTGGCTTTGATACATGCCAATAGAAGTGAAATATACCAGTAACTACTCCGTATGCCAAGCAAAATGCCAAGACCGTCTGGATCTGATGCCCTAGCCCTATCCACGTGATCCGATCGATCCGGTTCGGCGGAATGGTTTCTCCGCTAGCGCACACGAAGCGACCCGCCAGACTTCTTTTTTCTCTCCGTCTAAATTCCCTTTTAATCTTCTTCTCTTCTCCTTCGTCAATCCCGTCAACCACCACAAACCGCGGACGCCTCCAGACGACACAATGGTAAGCTCATGACAACCATGATCTAGTTTGATCTCTTTTCAATTCCAGTCCGAATCACCTCATCTCGATGAGAGCGAAGAGGGTTTAAAGTCTTCGGAGACCTCTGCGAAGATGGCGTGAGACGAATATCCGTCGAGCTCCAACTTCGCAAGTTGACGAAGCATATTCCGTGGGTCGCACAATTCCTGTAAAACGGATGCGAGCGCCTGCGATGATTTGGCTGGAGGCACAGGAGACCTGGTCGGCAGACTGGGTCTCCTGCTGCACTCTTTAGAGTTCAAGGAAGATGCAGCACATGGTGGAACCGATTTGCTGATCTTCTTTTTCTCAATGATAGCCCCCCAAGACCGGTAAGAAGACTGCTCCCATGCCTTACCCCCAGGGTAAGGCTGGTGCCAGCAAGAAGGGCCCCAAGGTAAGCCTCTATCTTCTTTCGTCTTGGTTGGGTTGGAGAAAAGAAGATGCTAATAACCCGTGGTAGAACCCTCTTATCGAGCGCCGCTCCCGCAACTTCGGCATCGGCCAGGACATCCAGCCCAAGCGCAACCTCGGCCGTTTCGTCAAGTGGCCCGAGTATGTCCGTCTGCAGCGCCAGAAGAAGATCCTGAACATGCGCCTGAAGGTTCCTCCTTCCATCGCGCAGTTCCAGAGCACTCTGGACCGCAACACCGCCGCGCAGACCTTCAAGCTCCTCAACAAGTACCGCCCTGAGACCAAGGCCGAGAAGAAGGAGCGTCTGCACGCCGAGGCCACCGCCGTCGCCGAGGGCAAGAAGAAGGAGGATGTCTCCAAGAAGCCCTACCACGTCAAGTACGGTCTGAACCACGTCGTCGGTCTCGTTGAGAACAAGAAGGCCTCTCTGGTTCTCATCGCCCACGACGTTGACCCCATTGAGCTGGTTGTCTTCCTGCCCGCTCTCTGCCGCAAGATGGGTGTCCCCTATGCCATTGTCAAGGGCAAGGCCCGTCTGGGTACGGTCGTCCACAAGAAGGTATGTCCATCATTGTCTCCAGTAACTTTAGATATGCAAGCTAATCAATGATAGACCTCCGCCGTCCTGGCTCTGACCGAGACCCGCGCCGAGGACAAGGCCGAGTTCGCCAAGCTCCTCTCCGCCATCAAGGAGGGTTACACCGACAAGTACGAGGACTCCCGCCGCCACTGGGGTGGTGGTATCATGGGCTCCAAGGCCGTCGCCCGCCAGGAGAAGAAGCGCAAGGCCATCGAGGGTGCCATCAAGATCTAAATCAAACCATGATCTAATCGTACGACCTCATGACCAACGCTGGGGGACAAAAAAAGCGGAAACCCTGGGATTATCAACACCGGGTGGAGTAATATCCATTGGAGTTGAAGGCGGACTCATCTTAGCTTTCGAATCCCAATTCCATTTTTGTGGTGGCCATACCTACATTCCCCTTTTTCTTTATCTTTTCTTTTATTTGCAGATACCCACTACCTACCTACCTACAACACATGAATGCATTCTCATACTTCATTCCCTTTACCTTTCGTTCTCCTTCGCCCAATGTAGATGTCTTGTAGGAGATGCATTCATGTTGTGGGTTGTCCGTCTGCTTTTGATTTATTTTGTAGTATTGATCTAGTATCAAGTGGCCTAGTAGCTGCCATTATTGTATTCCCTAGGTAGAGTATGTACTTGATGTGTATTCTACGGGCCTGCATGGATAGACAGATGGCCATGGACAATGCACACATGACCTGTCCATCAAACATGCTATATATACTCTCGTCGACGTGAGTCAATCCATCTTGCCTATTTACGTATGTATGTATACCTACCCATCCACAATATCAAGCGTATCAAGCATATCAAGCTCAACAGTCTGGGATTTCAGCGAGACGCTTGTTCATTTATATTTGCATGTATCCATCAATCCACACACACACACACACACATGCAACCCATTACAAACAAAAGCAAAGGCTATACATAGATTAAATAATTTTATCATCCTACTAAGTGATAATTATCTTAACATCTACAGCAACAAAAGTATACTATTCTAATACAGTACTACTGTATGAGTGTGTGTAGCATATATATATATGTCCGTATCAATATGCCTCCGTCCTCCGTCCTCCGTCCTATGGTTCAAATCACGATGCTAACTGATTATCTACCAATATATATATACCACCCCTCTCTGATATAATGACACAACATGTATCTGAACCCCGGATTTTCATGTCTTCTTTCTTATTCAGGTAACTTCTCTCTTCTGCTGAGGTATACTATTCTACCCTTCTTTACTATCCCTGTTCTAGACTTCTAGCAAGTATATAATCAGATATCCATCAAATCTGCTGAGATACACGGTATATATCACTTCTATAGATTAGCTCTGTAAATAATCCACTTAATAGAATATCTTATAGGAGTCTCTAGTACGGAGTAGTAGTAACTGCTTCCAGAGGTTCAATACTAGTGCTTTGGCTGTTGGAGATTCTCCGCGGGGGCTTTAGGGCCCTTTGCAGGGCCTTGAAGAGACTCTTTAGTTTTACAGGGGCTTTTAGAAGTTCCATAAAGAGCTTTCAGGGATTCTATGTGGGTGTCTTAAAGGTCCTACGGGGTTGCTTTTAGCTGCCCTACACGACTGCTTTGCAGGGCTGTATCTTACTACTCCATAGGACTTGACATAACAATCAATTAGCTATTTAATTTATAGACTGACATATAAGTACTTTCAATCACAAGTCACTGAGCACATCGAGGGCCCACAGCTTGTATATATATACAAAACCATCAACATCATCTTTGTTTTGAAAGGAGAGCAGTCACTGTGATCAGCTAAATGATCAGTTGGCCTGCAGTCCTTACCACATACTTGATTTTTCGTAGTTTCGTACTTCAGACTATCCTGCAAGTTTTCTATAGTCTGAATAAGTGAATATTATGGAATCATTATTCCTGATAAGTTTCCATCCCCTATTCCTAGGCAAAGGCAACTTGGGATCCTACGCGAGCGATGCATATCTACGATAGCTTAGCTACCACGTGTATATGTGAATTATTCGAACACCTCAAACAAGATCAACCAAAAAATAAACACCAGACCACAACCTCAATTCAGAGTATCTAAAAACAACAATCAACGAAAAAAAGGATTGGTTATAAATTAAAAAAAAGACTAACTAGAGAGTAAATAAAAAAAGAGCATTGCCCCCACACGGGATCGAACCGTGGACTTCATCATGTCACACACAAGAATCTTGTACGAGTGATGCGGACTACCACTGTCCCATAAGGGCTTATTAATGGCTGGGGCGACTATTTTGATTTATGATGGTAAGCCACATGTTGGGGATAACGGACTTTCTAGCCCTAGCTGTTGGCCACCACCCTGCCTTTGGCGATTATGAAGTCAGGAGGATTCAAATTGTGTGGCTTATGTGATATTGTGTCTAGATTTCTATCGCTGGTTGTATAATATCTGTTTTCGCATTGTTACTCACTCCATCTAGCAGTCTTGGTTGAGGATCAAGATAGACCAGGACTAGGACATGGAGGTTGAAAGCACCAAAGACCGCACAATAATATACTTTTACTATATTCAAATGCTGGAATAATCATCATGTCTCGAAAGACAGATAAAGACCTATCCACCACCCACCCAAAACAACACAAGCATCCACACTAGGTCACCAACCCAGCAATCAACCGACCGTAAACTTCCCATCAAGCCTCACATCCCGACTCGACGACCCCACAAAAACCTTAAACTCCCCCTCGGGAACAACCCACTTCTGACTCTTAACATCCCAGTAGCTGATATCCCGACGGGTGAGCTCAAAGCTCGCGCTGTCGCTCTTCCCCGCGGGCACAAGCAGCTTCTGGAAGCCCCGCAGCTGTCGCGGGGGAGTTTCCGGCGCAGACTCCGGGAACCCAATGTACAGCTGGGCAACCTCGGCGCCGTCTACGTCGCCGGCGTTTGTGATTGCTGCTGTGATGGTTCCGACAGAGTCGTAGAGGTCGGCTGCGCCGCCCACTTCGACTTTTCCGGTGGAGGGGCCGGGGGTGGCTTTGATGGTGATGTCGAGGGTGGCGTATTTGAAGGTTGTGTAGGCTGGTGCTGTTAGTTTTCTCTCTCTTTTATTTTTTTGAACTTATATATAGGAGAGAGGGACTTACACAGTCCAAAGCCAAACTCATATCGCGGCTCAATATCGTCCTGATCAAAATGACGATAATCGATAAAGATACCCTCGGGGTATTCATCGTCTCCTCCCCCAGCAATCCACGCCGTGCCATAGTCTGATTCCTTCTTGGCAATCGTGTAGGGAAGTTTCCCGCTAGGCGCGACATCGCCGTAGAGGACATCAGCGAGGGCATTGCCGCTCTCCTGGCCGGGGATACCGGCCCACACGACGGCGACGACGTTAGGCTGAGCGAGGATAGTCTCCAGAATAATGGGACCAGTGCTGTGCACGACGACGATGGTCTTCTTGTTGGCGGCTGCGACGGCTTTGACGAGGTCGTTGCCGTTGTGCCACGGGTTCAGGTCGTTCTTGTCGCCTTCGTTGTCTTCAACGGTGATGTATCTGATTCTTGTTAGTTCTATGTGTTTAGAGGAGGAAAGGGGGTTACACACTCCTCGCCGGAATCGGAGGAAATGAATACGATGGCTGTCTCCGCTGCTGCGGCTGCTTCGGCACCAGCCGTGGCTTCGTCGGTGGTGCTGGTGATGATCTCGGTAGCGTTGCTTGACTTTCTGTTCTTGATGCCGTCCAGAGGGGCAATCAGGTACTGTATATGTGTTAGACGCGATCAATGTATGAATGGGTAGGGTCACATACCGGAAACTGGGCAGTTCCACTCCCCCATCCCTGTGCCAGAGTGCCCACATTGCACCCACGATCGGTGCACGCATTGGGGCCGTCAGGGTTCACAATCGCATCCGACCCGATAATCGCCAGCGACTTGGGGTTCTTCAACGGGAGAGCGCCATCCTCGTTCTTCAGAAGTACGATAGAGTCTCTCGCGACGGCACGCGCCACCTCGGCATGATCAGCCGTGACGTCGACGTTGGCTTTGCCATCATCCCATGAGTTAAACGCCACGGGCGGATACTCCCCATCTTGCTCAACGAGGTACCACGAGGCTAGGATGCGGGTGACCATGTCGTCGAGACGAGCCTGAGGGACGGATCCATTGGCGATCGCATCGGCCAGGTTCTCACCCCAGTAGACCGACCCGGGAGGTTCGTTCAAATCACTACCCGGCATGGTCATGTCCAGACCGAAGTTGGCGCTCTCGACCGTGCTGTGCTGCGCGTTCCAGTCAGTCATGACATACCCGGGGAACCCGAGCTCCTCTTTCAGCAGCTTGTTGAGGACTTCGTCGTTCTCGCACGCCCAGGTGCCATTGATCTTGTTGTACGAGCACATCACGGAGGCGACGTTGGCTTTGACAGAATCGTAGAACGGCCAGAGATAGATCTCGTGCAGGGTGCGGTCGTCGGGGTTGCTGCTCATTGTTGTTCTGGCGTGTTCTTGCTCGTTGAGGATGTAGTGCTGTGCTGTTGTCAGTGTCTCGCCCAGCAAATATCAAAGCTAGCTGGTGCACTGACCTTCGCACACGCCTGCACTCCCGACTCCTGCATTCCTATAATAGTCTCGCTCATTCCAACCCCACTGAGATAAGGGTCCGACGCGAAGCCCTCCCAATTGCGCCCTCCCGTAGCGAACTTCCCCAGCGGACCAGTCGCCGGGCCCAGCTGCACATGGACACCCAGTCCCTTAGCTTCAGCCCCCATGGCTGCTCCGCGAGCACGTATCAGCTCCCTGTCCCAGGTAGAGCCGGCATTGATACCAGCCGGGAAAGCAGTGACTGGGTTTGCGAAGCGGATGCCCAACGGCCCGTCCTGCAGACAGAGAGACGGGTAGGGTATGGACTCCGGGGCGTAGGTGTTGCCGACACAGGGTCCAGACATCCAGGTCACTCCCGAGACCATGCCAACTTTCTCATCTTGTGAGAGGCTCGAGAGAGATTTCTCTGCTTTGCCGTAGGCGGCGTCCCAGGTGGAAAGCGCTTGGGATAGCCCTGCTGTGGCTAGCACGGAGGCTGCCGTCTGGAGGGAGAAATGCATGGTTAGCTCTTGAAATTTGGGGCAGACGGGGAATCTTCAGAGAACCACGCATGTGGGGTTCTCGCCTTTTAATAAGGATAGGCCTCACCCTTTAATAAAGAACGACCGGTTATATCACAGCCCTGGCTGACTGCACCCGGTCGACGACCAGGCACATTGAAAGTCATGGGGACAGGCCCGACCGAACCGAGCAGCTACGTTACGGATTGATCGCCAGACATCAATAGCAAATAGGGCCAAGCAAAGCGGGCACCGTCGTGGTTGGCGGAATCCAGCCAGGGGCAGTCCGAATTGAAGGAGAGTGTGATCCTGAGAAGTATTTCGACGGGGAATTTGCATCACTAGCTGTCTGCACCGAATCACACCCGGTCGGGCCAAGTGGTCTCAGCTCTTGGTATGGCTGGTTTGGTGTGAATCGGGCCCTACTCCGTCTTGTATGGAGACGCGATTGAGGCTAAATTGATGCCGAAATTTTGCCATCATCCCTGCTCTGGAATGCGGGTAAATTGAATGTATGATCCACATAAGATTGGCACGAACAATACTAGAACGGAGAGAAGATTAGAACAGGAAGAAAATTGAAATAGAGAAATTTATTGCACTCGAGATGCATCATACCTTGAAATATCATGGGGAAGGCATGATGTTTGAATCATGGACGAGCGGGGCTTCTTACAAGGCCAAGCCAAGACTTGATCAATCACCTGTCTTCTTCCCGTCCTGCAAACACACCTTGTCACCGACTACTGGATGAAGAGACCAGCTGTAGGTCGACATCACGCAATGGACTCCCACCCAGGGTATCCCAGACACCCGATATTCAAGCTCCCCCTCGAGCTTCACTTGATGATTTTCGACTACATAGACTTGTACACCAAAGCATCACAGCTCGAAAACGGTCCGTTCCCACGAACCTGGATCGTGAGAGCGAAAGACCTGGAGAACCATAATGGCGACGGGAAAACACTGCTTCACATCGCTGCAAAGCGTAACTACATGAAAGCAGCCCAATTCCTCCTGTCCGCTGGCATTTCGCCGTCCAGCAAGCCACCGAGGGCAGACCTGTCCTACCGCACTCCAATCGCGATGGCGGCTAAGCATGGCCATGTGGCAATGGTTCAGATGCTCCTCGATAACGGAGCCAGCAGCAACGACCGCGATAGCAAGAGATACCCACTACACTACGCTATCTTGGACGGCCATATACACGTCGTGCAACTTCTTCTCGACCACGGTGCAAAACAAATCCGCGCCGATTACGGGACGCCTGTGTTTCTCGCAGCCATCTGTGGCCACGCCGAGATAGTCGATATACTAGCTGCTCACGGCGCGGATCTGACGCCCGCCAACATGGTTAATGACCCCCTCAACGTCGCGATTAGCAGGTGCTATGTCGATACTGTCCGCGCGCTTCTCAAGGCGGGAGCCTCGGTCATTAACGTGACCATGGGGGAATTCGGCCCTATCCACCCCCCAGCGATCGTGGTCGCTGCTGGAGGGCCCAACCTCAGACATGCCTGGGACCTGGCCTCTGACGACGAGACTCATCATAAGCCACTGGGGTGGAAGTGGTATCCGGGAGAAAAGGAATCATATGCTGAAATAGTCCACCTCCTCCTTCAGCATGGAGCAGACCCTTCCGCGGAATTCTTTTCAGTGCCCGCTCTGTATCTGGCGACGCTGGTCGAAAATGAACTGGCAGTGAAGCTCTTATTGGATGCCGGAGCACGTATGGACCCGATGAAATGGTCGGGGATGACTCCTGCTGAACTTGCTCGTGCCGGGGACAATCCTCGTATGACAGAGATGATTCTAGAAGCGGAGAGACGACATTTCTATCACAGGCCCTGGTCCAGTTGCAGTTTCAGTTTCGGCTCCCCTTCGAATAGACCACACTGAGTGACCCGGTGAGGTGTAGTGTTGTTTGAGAGTTTGCAATCTGGATTCTGGAATGAAATTGGGATCATCATGTAGCCATTATTCAATCATATTAAGCCATAGATACCCCTAATTAAAGCCCTAATCTACTCACTCATCGATCAGTCTTGCTGGAAAGACAAGCCAAAGGGAATTGTATAGGAAGCCAGCATACTGTAATCACTATAACCCACGCATGGCCATTCACCAGAAGAGACCGGCAAGTATAATATGATATCTCCTAGTGACAGACGTCTACGTCGGGGTTCTTTGCCTGTCTCCATTCCCAAGTATTACAGTAGATATTGCTGTCACATCACTATCAACACTAACATGATGACAGACTCAGTCAACTCGGAATATCGAATGGTGGGATATTAGCCATATGAAACCTGACCAAACATCTATTCAACATATTAGCAGTGACTGTCAAATCCCACTGGACAGAGTAAACAAAGACCTACAAACTCTCTCTTTCTATCTAGTGGTCAACACAAATTCCAGCCAAGTTACGCCAACCTCCAAATCGATTTTCTTCCCCTTCCACCCACTCGCATCCAACCAGCTCCATGATCGTGCCATAGATAATCATTAATGTTAATTTATCAGTCATATCAAGTCTGGTCAAAGGCCGATTCATTATTTTGGTGCAGTGACTGTCATATACACTCTTCTCACCGGCATGTACCGTCAAGAGAATGTATCGCAGTACGCTGCAAGAGGACGATGAAACATGGACGTCCCGGCTTGCCATTCTTCTCTGAGGATCACTTGCTATGTGGGCAATGTTGCCCAATGTTGGAGACCACGTCATCCCACACCATGAAAATCTATCGCATGGTGCATGTGGCCCGCCGAGCAAGCTTATGTCGCTGCAGTACTTACAGAGGTCCGTATTAGTATGGAAGTCATATAGGGGGAACGTCTGCCCTTGTTCGATCTATACTTGCGCTAACGAAGGACAGAAATTGGCCGTACATGGCTAACAACCTCCGACGGGGAAAAGTCATTAGACTGACTGGCTTTATGAAGCAATATACATCCCCCTGCTCTGATGAATTTTCCACCACGAGGTTTCCACTGACGACGACATCGTCGCTGGAGTCCACCTTGTGCTGGAAGGCCTGCACATCTTCCGTCTCGGCGTTCTCGCTAGACATTTGCCCTCAGACATATTCATGGAGATACCATCTCAGTAGCTGCAGCCCACGGCGGCATTGCTGCGGCAGCTCGACCTCATGTTCTGTGGGGACCAGCCCGTCTGGTCGATCTTCAAAATTGGCCATATCACGCCCGGGCATTATGTAAGGGTCAAAGTCAGACTCCAAGGTTGTGTTTTGGGATATCAATCATATCAAGCCTGACCAAATCGATCAAATATTGATTTGGTACTATGGGGCAGTTGCTCGAAAGATCCATTATTGGATTTGAGACTATCTCTGCAGCTGCGCGTGTTTGCGAAGGTCTATGGGACTGTGTCGGAGGAAGTGAACCTGGAAGAGGATGATATATTTCCACTTGGGGTAAGAGCTGATAGATGATGTGGTTCAATTGATAGATCGTCTATTGATGATACTGTTGGCAGCATGGGCTGACGAGGTTGGATACTGCATTACTTAGGACCTAGAAGGATTATGTGGGAAAATATTACCACTCGGCTACAAAACATATAACGACACGTTTGCGCTTCGTGAGTAGGCTCACAACCTTGTAATGCAACATATTATAATCTTCGTGTGGTTTGTTGAGGCGTCTGCACAGGAATACTGTAGCTTTAGATAACTAAACAAGTTTTTCGTTTCTCTCTCTCTTTGCAAGGTTCTTGCACCACTCGTTATTAATAGGTCTCAAAATTAAGTACCTGTATAACAGATGACAACCTCAGTGTACTAATCCACCGGCAGAGATGAGTACATGCTTAGAAGATAGGAACAGATCTATCACCGACACAAGACAACAAAATAGTCTGAAACCGCGCGCCGGATGAGTATATTTGCCATGAATAATGTTTTATGTGGTTCAATTAGGAGCAAGGTGTGGACGCGAGAGTTGAGGAGGTTAGAGGAATACGTGGAGCAGTGGAGCAGTGGCGCGGTTGGATCGACTTTGGGTCATTGTATACCTAGTAGTATCGTTTGATTGTTGATGGAGTTGGTAGATTTACAGGACATATATTTGTGTGTTTATGGCCCAGGTACAATTTGTTTTCAAACAGGGGCATTACGAATACTCTATATCATATATAAATGTATTTCTGTGGCTGAGATGTCTTATGACCAGTCTGCAACAACCCATAAGAACTCTAGATATCCGTTCCGATCTGATCAACCATTCTCATTTCTATTTATGGCGTATATTATCCGTTGTATTATATCCGTGCTTTTATAAGTATATCAGTAAGACGACAGTATTTTAACAAGAGAAACGATCAACCACGGTAAACACAGCACTGGCTTCAACTCCAGCAACCGTGTCCAAAACCCGTTCAGATCCCGAGAATCACTTCAAACCACTAGCCACCTTCTACTCACCGACGACGCAATACCCAAGTAGCTTCTCGGTAATGAAAGTGGCTCACGCAAAGCAGCAGCAAAAGTGACCCAGAAATCATTGTCCTGATCCACCCCAACGCACATTTGCATTCCCGATCTGGAAGTCCAGTTCCTAATCGGGTCACGATATGCATACTTCCTCTGCCGCATCTCATGCATACATACATAGACCGGTGGGGCATGGCTGGAACGGGACGTGTTCTTATGCTCCTGCATGTACGTAGGTGTGGATGCAGTGAGTAAACAGATACAGGGACGCCTTGCTTCGTGTTGATCCCGCCACTTCGTGGACAGGTATATAAGTGGTCTTATCCCGGGAGATAGATACCAGACCATCAATCGCTTCTCAGCTGAGGTTTCAAATCCAGATTCAAATACAGAGCAACAAAAACCGCCCAAATGAAGTACTTTGCTCCTTGGCTTCTGGCTCTTGGCCCAGCTCTCGCCGTCGAGCGAATGGTCTGCTACGAGGAACCTGGCGAAAACTTCGTTTCTCCGCCCCCTCACCAGGTACGCCCACCTCTGACCATATATTTCATCCACCCACCTCAAACCCAAACTAATACTTATAAAAAGACCAACGCAACCACAGCCGTCCCCTACGCGCCAACAGGCGCCGCATACGCACACCTCACCTCAACCGGCGCAACCCACAAGACCAGAGTGATCCCCGTTGTGCGCGACGGCCAAACCTGCCCGAAATACACCGAGCCCGCCGCTGAACACGGCCGCGAATGCATGTTTGGCGCGCACATAGGGTCTGTCCCCAACGGGGTCTCGGGAAAATGCTGTTTCCACAGCGGACAGCACGTCTTCTTGTACAGCGTCTTCGACAACAGTGGTACCAGCCCTTCGGACACGGAGTACATTCTCGACGGCAGGCCTTGCTGCACGGACGATACGTGGGGCACGGCTGTGACGGAGTATAGCCACCACAACGGGAGCAGACAGTGCCAGTACGGGAAGCATGTTTTGGATGTGCCTAGCGCGGAGTACCTGACTAGTTGCTGCTGGGATGCGAACGCGTCGCAGTTCAAGGTGCACCTGCGTGGCTTTGAGCCTGTTGTTACGACCTCCGTTGCGAAGGAGGTGTCGAAGCAGGTGCTGGAGTGGGGTCCGTTCCGCGAGACTGTCGGTCTGGAGGTTTATGAAGTCCGTCTGTTTGGGTACTACCTTGAGGTGAAGGGCAAGCTGTGGGCGTCTGGGGTGGTCGATTGGAGCGAGCAGGATACGTTCTATCTGCCGCTGGAGCGGCGGTGGAAGGTCGCGAAGAGCTGGACGCCTGGGGCGTCGGCGACGGGTCATGTTGGGATTGATGCTACGAGCAGGTTGAGCGAGGATCGATCGGTCGAGGTCATGCTGCATGTTACTGGCTCCGGGGCTATTTTGGGTAATTTGGATGAGATGGTTGGGCCGTTGGTGGTGGATGATGTGAAGATTAAGCACGCTTTGGCGTGGACTCCGAAGTCGTGTTAGATATAGTTTGAGGGCTGTATGATCTAGATGTGCTTAGTACCTAGATTTAAATTGTCGGGGGGTGTAGAATAGTGTAGTAGATATACGTCATTGAATTATCTTGTCAGAGTCTTCCTTTAGCATATACACTTAAACTCCTCTTCAAGCCCATCATCAGGAAGCATTTGACTCTTGTTACTTACCTGCTGAACACGAGGACAGGAGAGAACGAGTCCAAGTAATATTGCCATATCGCGACATACCATGCTCACAAGCATGAAATGTGAGGTAGTTCGATACATGGTCAGCTCTATAGATATACTCTGAACAATTTACAGTCATTATAAGCTGGGGACAGACGCAATATATCATTTACTTTAGATAATGTCACATACGGACATCGGGAGAGGCCATGTTTAGGTATAGAGCACTGGGTGTCATTGTGATGTATGGTCTACACAGTTCTTAAAATCAGCCAACATAGATAGGATATTGAGTATGTTGGTGTTGAATCTATACAATATACTGGCTGGTGTCATCTATTAGAGTACATAGCATGTAGATGTCCTCTCATGAACCATACGATATATAGATCACATAAGTGATCAGCCGAGTATCATTCACTGTAGTTTACTCAGTGATAGGAAGGAACTCCTGTCATGGACTTCAATATCTATCAGTATAAAGACTCTGTCTTTCCCCTTCTCTCTAGACCATCATCTCATCCAATTCATCTTCCTCTAATCATCCAACCATCTGGTTATTGTTCCATTTAATCCATCTACTTCATCAAATCATTAAGACACAAAAAATTCTCCAACCCAACATCTACTCCATCAGAATGCCTGCCCTAGCCACCCTCCCCGAGGAGATTCTCCTGCTCATCTTCGACTTTGCTGATCGTGCCTCCCTAAAATCACTTCGTTTTACTTGTCGTCATATCTCGACGGCGGCTACTGAGAAGCTATTTCAAAAGATACTGCTGTATCCACACGACAAGAGCATTCAAAGATTCGTGAGTGTCGCTAACAGCGATACCCACTTGTTCCAACTTCCCCGTCACATTCACTTTGAGCCGTACCAAGAGGGTCACTATGTTATCCATGTAAGACATCATGCCCATCTTGCTCTACCTCTATATTCCACTGATGTTCTCAGGACTTGGATGACCCCAACGCACCTAACTGGGGCGCAGTCAGCTCGCACCTCTGGAAGCTGCCAAGGGTGGACAGTGCTATGCTGCATTTCCGAGACAACAGTAATGAAGCATACGACAATCAGTCAGATATGGGATATCATTACCTCCGTTCGAAAATCATTGACGACTTCTTCGCGGCAGTGGTGGAGATGGTCCCGACCCCGCGAAAACTGGCCCTCGGGTTTATCTATGAGACTCCCGTTGAAGACGACCACTTCGCTCGCATCCGCCGTGTGCTGGGAGGGCTGCATACCTTCCGTCTGGGGATCTTATACAGAGTACTACCCTCACGTATATCTATGGAAATACAGTCGAAGTGGCTGAGACCCACAGCGGCGTCTCTGCAGCAACTTGACCTCATGTTCAGTGCGGGCCAGCCCGCCTGGTCGATCTTCAATTTGTCAGACATGCACTTTCCGCAGCTGAGATCGCTCACGCTGCGGGGGTGCACTTTTGCGGCTGAGGCGCAGCTGGAGTGGATTGTGAGCCACGCCGATACACTCCAGGAGATGGTACTGGAGAACTGCCGCATCTTGATTCTCGTGGACATCCGCGGGGGTAGCATTGCGAAGGCTTCTTTCAAAGCGGTGGGGATGAAGTTGAGAAGGAAAAGCGGATATCCGAACCGCAAGGAAGGCGGATACAGCGCACGCTGGAAGGACGTGTTCGCGCTGTTTGGAGAGCGGATGGGACAGCTGCGTCGCTTCAGCATGGGGTGGCGGAAACGCGGTTCAGACGGGTGGTGCGAGGATACCGTGCCGGTGCGGAATGTGTTGCATCAGTGTCGATATACGTCGTTCTGTGAGTGGTATGACGACCATGAGGAGCAAATGCCGTACAGTACTACTGGGATTGGGAGGTTTGGGAGGATGGGAATCCACTGGTCTGCTAGCGAGGAAAGAACATTGGCATCGAGCCAGTATCAACAGGATCATGAGGCATTGGTGGGGTTGTTGCGACGGATTGGAGATGGGGGGGTGATTGATTAGACTTGATTGTTTGGATATAGCAGTTTGAATGTGTATCTAGAATGTAATCTCTATCAATATGTCAACAGTATTAGGTCTACATACAGTCAACAGTCTACATACAGTCAACAGTCTACATACAGTCAACAGTATTAGGTCTACATACAGTCAACAGTCTACATACAGTCAACAGTCTACATACAGTCAACAGATGTAGCAGTACTCGTGGCAGCTCAAGACACGCTGATTATTACCCTAACCATCTAGCCCGACCTAGTGTCTGAGCGAATCGATCGACTCCACCCTAAGACTATATAATCTCTCCTCTTTCTTTCATTCCATATCATCGTCTTCTCCCAACTATTCCGAACGGCCAAGAATCAACCAAAATGAAGCCCTCCACTCTCCTCCCCGTCCTTCTCTCCCTGGTTGCATCAACCACGGCGCAAGACCCGTCGGTCTCGGCCTCCAAAGCGAGCATCAACTGGTCTGCTTTGCGAGAGACTCTGTATGTCTTCCTCCATTCACCCTTCTCCAAATCCAATTCAATGCTAATAAAAATACAACAGAGCCTCCCTAACAGACATCCCCATCCCCACCAAAGCCGCCAACCTCGAAAACATCTCCCCCCCGCCCCGCACCCTCATCCCAGAGCTCGTCCACGCCATCCCAGCCTCCGCCCTCGTGCAGCTCATGGTCCCCGCCCAGCGTAGCTCTCTCGTCTCGAACGTCAAAGCCGGCTCCACACCAGCCTGGTACGCGTCTCTCCCGTCGGACGTCAAGAGCTACGTTTCTGTCGTGAGGAGCCAGATCAAGGAGGGCGCCCTTACGAAGACGAGTGATGCGCAGGCGGAGAAAACGGGTGATGCTGCCCCGTCTTCTGGGGGGGCCCAGGCGAAGGAGAGTGAGGGAGGGGCTATGCCGGCGCAGGCTACGGGGGGTGTGTGGGCTGTTGGGGCTGCTGGGGCGGCGGGGTTGATGGGGGTTGTTTTGATGATTTAGTTGATTTACTTTTTTGGTTCGGTTATTTGGTATGAGTGTGTTCGGTTATACCTATTGTGTCAGATAGACACGATATGTTGATATGGATCAGGTATGATGGTTGAATTGAATATGTGGATATACGGATAGGATAGACAAATGAGGAAACCAGTCCGAGCTAAGCACGTCAGTGGCGGAAACAAGAAATACTGAGACATCAGCTTATCATATGATTATATTGGACTATATTAGTCTGTTATAGTATCTGGTTTTATAGCCTTGTGATTGCTATTGACTTGGGTAGTTCTTGTCTTGTGAATCTGTTAGAATTGTTCTAGTTAAAACGATCTTACATGTATCAGATAGATCTACCTTCATTATCAACGAGTAGGAATGGGAAAAAAAACTAGATCAACCGACCAACTCCCCAGTATTCTACCCAGAAAAAAAAAAAAGATTCACATGTCCCTCGGACTAACCAAGCAAGTTTGAGTCAATCAGATCGACACATCCAACGCGGGGATCCGCATCCTCCACAAATCCCCACGTCGGTCCAGCCACGGGGAAGATTTCTCCTCCCCCTCACCTCCATTCTCCAGACTGCGGAACCCCCAATCCCACACGGGATATATATTAAACATGGAGACACCAAATAGTGGACCAAATTGCAGGATGGAGCTTCCTACATTAATGGGCACCTTCACATGGGTTCGTATCCATGCAGTGGCGACAGAGAAGCTTTTCGCCTCGGATTTGACTGCCAGCTGGGTGGAGACTCGCATGGACATGTCTGACACATGGCCAATGGCGGGTTTGGGTTGAGGGGTTGGTTAAGCGGGGTTTATCGTGGGAGAACGAGGCGGAGGATATATCACGTATGAAACGTTGACTTGATATTATCAGGGCTAAAGTAGAACTTGGAAGTGGAAGGAGGATAGGCGAAATTTTGTTACTGGGCTAAATGTATATATATCGGTCGATGTATTTAGTAGATCGGTAAACGACGATCGATCGATATCCTCCCCTCCTCCATTCTATTTATCTATCTATCTTTCTCTGTCTCTACCATCTATCCAAACCAAAAGAAAGAAAATCATCAAAATGAAGCTCAACCTCAAATACCTCCTCCTCGCCCTCCCCATGCCCCTCCTCGCCGGCCCCTCCCCAGGCCTCATCGACGAGCTCCCCTCCCTCATCGACGGCGTGAAAGAGCTCCTCACTCCGGAGACTCTCGACGACTTGCAAACCATCGTCAAGGGCGGCGCCGTCCTCCTCGGCGGCGACACTCCCAAGAACCTCCAGCGACTGCTGACCAGCAAGAATATCGACAAGCTGCAGGGACTGGTTGATACCGCTGATCAGTTGCTCACGAAGGACTTTGTCAACGATACGAGTACCCTTGTTGGGGATGCTGCTCCGGTAGGACCTCTCTCTTCCCTGATTCTTGTTTGGTTATATTTGCTAATATATAATAATATAGCTGGTCGCCAGTGTGTCCAAGTTGCTCGGGGGATTGATCGGATCGTTGGATTAGATAGATAGATAGATAGATAGGTACAATCATGAATGGTATGGAGTAAGAAATAAATAAATGCCAACAACGTAGCTAAACAACACGAGGTATAAACAAGCAAGTTAAAAAAAAAAAAAAAATTGAAAAAATTTACACCTTCAAATGCTGCCTCAACTGTCCCAGATAATACTTCAACGGATACGACCGCGTCGAAGTCGGCAACGCCGGATAAACAGCGACCACGAACCCCATAGTCGTCCGGTACAGACCACGCGATCCCATCGTCGACTTGAGCCCGTACGCCTCCCGCAGCGATGGGGGAAGCATCTCGATGGTAATCACCCGCATCATGGGCTTCAACGGCGACACCCAGCGCGGCACAGCAGTGTGGTGCATCAGCTCCTGGGCGAAGCGATGGCCCTCGTCAGTGACGACCAGCTGGTCGATCTGCTCGTCCCAGTAGCGCCAGAAGGCGTGGCGGGTGGGCGGCCACGAGCCTGACGGCAGGCCCAGGCTGTGGATGAGCACCGTGAACTCGGCGTAGGCGGCTTCGGCCGTGCGGTAGTTGACGCGGCCGTAGATGCGCTGGTAGAAGTCGGTTGCGGTCGCGTAGAGGGTGGCTGCTACCCAGAGGTGCGCGGGCGTGTTCTGGCGGATGGACTCGCTGGCTTTGAGGGGTGGGTGGTTGCGCGCGAGCAGGCCGAGGAGGGTCTGCTTTTCGGCGCGCGTGCCGAAGACGAGGCACGAGATGTAGCTCAGCGTTGCTTGGAGGGAGTCGACTAGCTCCGTGGCGAGCTCGCCGTTGGATTCTCCGTGGCGGATGCCGGGGTAGGCGGCTTGGAGGAGGAGGGCGGACCCTGCGCCCGCGAAGAGGGCGCCTTCTTGCAGGATTTGAGGGAGCATCTCCAGCTGGTCGAGTTGATCGAGGCGTTTGGTGGAACTGGCTGAGTCGGTAGAGGCCGTTTGGGAGAGTTGGGGGGTCTCCACGTTTTTTTCGACTTCGGCCATTTTGATTTGATTATTTTTTGATTTCTGTATTTGTTGATGTTGTTGTGTTGATTTCTGGTTGATATAGTTTGGGAGTGTAGCAAGTATGCTAGTTGAGTATGATATTCGAGTGAGTGAAGTTGTGAGGATATAAAGGACAAGGATAGGATGAGGATAGAATATGGAGAATAAAGTGATCACTGAACACCCCGACTTGCAACCCCCGCATTACCCCGTGTTCAACACATGCCCAACTTGTATCCGAACTCAACTGAACCTCCGAAAAAAAAAAAAAAAAGCAGGCCAATCCTTCAATGCAGTGGGTCACTCCTTTTCTCCCAAATGGCTCGTCATTTGTCCCAACTGCGCACCCGATGATCGTTGGTCAACCGCGGCTCCCGATAGTTTCTATGTCGATCGTCATTCCTCTCCCTCCGCATGTGAACCCCCATGCGGACACCGGGACGGCTTCTTGGTTGGCCCAAGGTGGCTCTATCCCGACGATCTCCCCCCGAGACATGACCTAGTGGGAAAACTAGTCCGACACCGTCCCTCCCCGAGTCTCCATTTCACGGCGTTAGTGGCAGCCGAGCCTTGAAACCGATCCATCGTCTGGACGAAAATACGGCGACGCGAAGAAAAAACAAGCGAAAATTCAACTATCTAAAATGAATATCCCAATGCCTATCATCCTCCACCCGAACGTCAGAGGCAGGGGTTAGACGAGCTTAGGGGACCAGATTAAATATGGTCCGGCGTTTCCCCATAATCTCTCTTACCCCAGGAATCCCCTCCCCAGCTCCCCAGATATTGATATCTTGTCCTAGCTTTGGTCAGAGGCATTGAAAGATATCATATCGCACCATGGAGACCGCTCACCATCTCCGTGACAAGGCTGCCAAGTACACGCTGGGTCTGCATCGTGGGCCTCTCGCGCCGCCCAATGCTACCGGTGATGACCTCGAGGCGCTCGAGCAGGTCGAGACGGCCAAGACCATCACCTTGGAGAAGATTCAACGGACGCCGACGCAGAAGTTGGCCCGTCATTGGAAGCGATTCTGGTGTTGTTATCTGTTTTGGAATGTGATTTTCCTTGCTATTTTCCTTCCTATCTTGTATGTCCTCTCTTCTCTTCTTCTATCTGATACTATCTCCCTCTGTCCCTGTCCTGTCCCTATCAGGACATCTACAGAAGAAGATACTAACGAATAAGCTTCCTAATCTGTATCCCCGCCATCTCCCAACGCGTCCTCAATGACTCCGACCTCGTCCTCGTCAACGCGCAGGTCATGCAACCTCGGCCCGACTCCATCATGCTGAGCCTGCAATCCGCGCTGAAGCTCCCCATCGGCGTCCCCGTCCGCATCGAGCCCATCTCCCTTGAGCTCTTCAACCGCCGCAACCCAGGCAACAACACCTGGGCCACCGCCTACCTCCCGTCGGCTATCGTCCACGGGAACACCACCATGGGCGTGACTAACCAGCTGACGCCGCTGGATGCGAAGCAGTGGATGGACTATGTTAAGAGCGTTGTGTTTGAGAAGCATGCGCCGCTTTCGGTCCGTGGAGGGACGAATTCGTTCCTGGGCAAGTTGAAGTCGTATGTTGTTATGGATAAGGATATTGAGCAGAATAGTATGTCTTCCCCCTCTCTATGTCTGTGTTAAGGAAGGAATGGGAGACTGATACGAAGCAGCCCTGGACGAATTCGCTGGCTTCGCCATCAAAGACACCACCCTTATACTTCCCCCCAAAGAAGACGGCACGAATCTCGTCGCCAACGCCACACTTCCCAATCCCTCCGTGCTGACTCTTGAAATTGTAACCCCCCCCCACGCTCCTTCTTTCTCCCCAAATCAAACAAACAAAACTAACAAAGTAAAGGGCGACACGATCCTCGACCTCAAAAGCGGCGACCTCGTCCTCGGCAACGCCACAATCGACAACCTGGTCCTCAAACCCGGCAACCACTCCAACCCCGTCCACGGCATCCTGGATCTCAAAACCATGATCTCCAACCTCGGCCCGATCCTCAAGGAGCAAGCGCCCAACCTCAAGAACGGCGTGCTCTCGCTGAAGACGGTGGGCAAGCTTGTTACGTACGAGGGCGTCAAGGTCCCCTACTACACGGACGTCATGAAGTCGCTGGTCCTCACGGCTGATGTCCCTGTGGGCGCGCTGCTGGGGAATACCCTTAAGGGGTTGATTGGGCCGAATGGGAGTCTGAAAGATTTGATTGGGAAGGAAGGCAAGGATGGAAAGGGTGGTGGGTTGTTGAGTAGTTTGTTTGGGGATGGTGGTGGTGGGGAGGGTGGACAGGCTGTGAAGGATGCTATTGAGGAGTTTAAGAAGAAGAAGGGCGGTGATGATGGTGGGAGTGATGGTAAGGAAGCGTCTGGTAAGCTCAGTGAGCTGCTGGGTCGCAGTCTGGATGACGTGTTCAGCCCTGAGAAGCTGCGCAAGAGAGACAGCAATGGCAAGGACTGGGTGGATGAGTTGGTCGAGGGGGGCCCGCTGCGAGATAGACTTGTCAGGACTTTGGAGCGGTTTGCTTGAGCTGTTCTGATCTGATAGAGTAGATGGTTGTTTCTTGTGTTTTTTCCTTGTGTTTTGTTTCATTTTGTTGACTTTTATTGTCTGGGGAGATGTTGATGATTGATGATTACCCACTTACACTACTAACATACTATACTAGATATCATAGATGATACTAGATTAATGACCCATTTATATTATATACAGTTACCGTAGTCAGTAGTATTGGATTAGGGTGATGAATTGAGTTTACTACTGTTTAGACTGGAGTAGATCACGATAGTCCAGTCTGCCAGTCTGCCAGATCGGTGTTGATCGATGTACGATGATGTAGTCATGCAGGACAGTGATAGACTGGCTATTTACTGATTTTGTTAGTTTCTCTTTCTCTCTCTCTCTCTCTCTCTCTCTCTATTGACTATTCAATATAGATATACGAGCACCATGAACATCTGACATGGACTAGTCTTAATCTCATATCCACCAACTATGTCATGTGTACTATTTCTGCTGTTTTACTAGATAAAAATGCTTGAATCATCAGTCCTGTAATTATCACATACCATCGATCTGTATGTAGTAGTGATGTTTTTTACCGCTACCTCCTACTACCTACTGAAATAATTACCTCCATCTCATTTGTTGAATCGATAAAAGTTGAAAATCTATTGATATCTACCAGGTAAACACCCCGCTACCAATGACATATCCCCCCCTCACTATCATCAGCCGCCCATGTCCCAGACAACCCCACAACCTGCAACCCCCCATCATGATTCTCCCCCACCTTGCTCAGCGCCGCAAACCGCCCATCCAGCGGCCCCGTGCTGAGCAATCTCTTCGCCCACACGTCGATCGCCGGCTCACCTGTCTCGTCCCGCGCCTGCTTCAGGAACGGGATCAGCGCCGTCCCGCCCGTCCCGCGTAGCGGTTTTTGTTTGCCTTCTGACGCGCTGGCTAGGTTGCGTCCGCGGGGTGGGACGGTTGAAGTGCGTGCCTCGCGTGATGGTACGAGAATGTACCGCGCAACGATCTGGATGTGTTTGTCGCGGAGGGCGCGCAGCATTGAAAGGCTGGCGTCGTAGGCGATGCAGAGCGCCTTGTCGGAGCGGCGGCTTTCGACGTATTCGCGGATGTTGGCGACTGCGCTGACATGCGAGAGGAAACGTCGGTGCGGGCCGGGCATGTAGCTGCGCATCTCGTGGATGAAGCTGTGGTGCGGGGCGCTGGTGGATAATCGCGACGCGGGGTTATCCGAGTCTGCGGATGCGGGTCGCGCTTCGCCGGTCGGTCGGTGCTCTACGCCTAGTACGATGTCGAAGAACTGGATGAGCGAGCTCTGCGCGTTGCTGCCGCCGCCGTACTGTCGGTATTGCGGCTTGGGGTCGTCGTGCCCCGTGTCGTAGAGGAGACCATTCGGTAGCCCTGCGTCGCCCATGTTCTTGCTACCCGCGAGATAGGGCCGGATGCGGTGGTAGAACACATGCGGGTCGCAGTGCTCGTACATGAGTTCGAGGGTCGTGCCAAGCGAGTCGAGGATCTCGGCGAACTGCTGCAGGCAGTCGGTCACGACGAAGCTGTTACCCGCCCGCGCGGCGGCGATGGCCTGTAACATGAGCGGGACTGCGGGCCCGCCGCGCGCCTCGATGGCCACAGACACCATGTAGAACCATTGCTCATCGAGGGATCCGGTGATGGTGTTCAGCGGGGTGAGGTTGGACAGGTCGAGCTGCGCATCGTCCGGGAAGATGGGTTTGTAGTTCCACAGGCAGACGCCCGCAAAGGTGGCCACCGGGGGAAGGTCCAGGTGTTGACACACTGCAAACAGGGGGACTGTCAGTTGGGGAGGAATTCTCTGTTTTGTTGGACCGTTTGTTAGCCGTGCGTCTGGGTCATGGGAAGACAGTACCCACCTCTGCTGGAGCCCGTCCCCCCCACACGTATGCATGCAAGATAAAGCCCAGCACGACATAGGCGCGTCTCCACTCTGGCTCTGCATTTAGGTATGATGTGGATAGTAGTGGCATCCGGTCGACTGAGTCGCGGATACGCCGGCTGGTCAAGAGGGCCTGTAGATGACCGATGATCCACTCCCAGTCTGCATAGTAGGGATCGGGAAGGAGGTCGAGGGGGGGTTCGGATGGGAGGAAGCCGTATTGTGTGGAGATGCCGTAGTCGGCGAGTGCTGGAATTGGGGGAAGCATCGTCGTAGTAGTATCGATAATGTCCTGGTGGCTCTGGAGTGATGGTGGGCAGTAGGACAAGATCAGAAATTAATAGCCCCAAGTCACATTCGACTGATCTGTGGGGTTGAATCAGGGAGATACTAGATCTGGTGAGATCACTGGGTCAACCAGTATCCAGCTGTCGCGCTGATGTTGGGATAACAAGAGATGCTGGGGATGATGGATTCAACCGGCACGTGTATGATGCAGTACAGAGATGGCGACACGACTGCGGGCGTGTAAGCGATGGATATTCTGTATGCAATGGATTTATGTGATATTTGCAGGTCGCAGCAACAGATAATCGTCACAAGAGGCGATGAATCACAGTCCCCAGGAATCAAGGCAAGAACCCGATCCAGTCCGGTGGCGAGTCCTTCCCGATGCCACGGTTAAAACACGGTCTGGAGATATAACCGGGAGAAACCAAAGCTAATCTTAGTACTGGTAACTGCCTTGTACCACAGATTCAGCAAAGTCAAAAGGAAGGAGAGATCGATGGTAGAAGAAAAAGAGAAAGACAATCAGTCGAGTGAGACACGAAGACGGAGGGAGAGAGACAATTAATCAGCTGGATGATTATTCTGCCCTCACGCCAATCCCAATTCTCATACCGAACGAAAGGCCGCACCTCGGTCACCGTCGGGTGCATTTACCTGGTAGACAGGGGGCGTTCTCGTGCTGGTGGACCATTGTCCACGGAATAAATGGCCTACAGTATCATCTGGGAGGGAGACTATGAGCCAAATGCCTGAGGGAATCAAGGCGGATGGACGAGAACAAAAGGGGGGACCATGTTTTGAATGAGAGAAGTATGTAGAAGTCATTGATTGATATATTGTCGACATCTATTGTATCCCATTGATATCAGATTGATATCCCATCGATCGATCGATAGATATAGATCAATAGGTGATGCACCGGCGATAGAACTGGGTGCGAGCGAAAGGGGTGTGGGGCTAGCGTCGTGCTAGAGAATGAGCCGGTCACTCATCACTTGGGTGGAATTTCATGACCTGAGGATTAAGCGAGACGCTAACTGGATTGAGCGGTTTGCTGGTGGGTCTGTCGTGACTCTATATGTAGCTGGTGAATTGGAGGACTACGGAGTACAGAGCAGACAGTGGTAGATTCTCCTGATCCTCATCGAAAAGGATTACATCAAGTATTTTAATATTCAATCAGGATCAACGGGTATCATATCACTTTAACCATTGATTTGCTCAATAGTCTATATAGGATTCGCTACTCCTGTCAGTCTATTTTATAATCAATAGAAAAGAATTTATATCTCTAGTAGGTATAGACATGCTTGCGAGGATTGTCTTGTGCTAGGTAGTGGAGAGTTCATTGGTATCTGTACGATGTTATACTCATCTCTCAGATCTGGAATACCAGTCCAGACACCTTGTACATTAGGCAGAGGGCACGTGTCCAACACTACCCTAATTCCCCGTGTCTCTTCTACAAAGAAAATTATCATCATTTGCCATGCTTCGTCCTGTTGCTGATACCCGATAATTCATGAATCCCTTGGATCGGGAAATGAAACAGATCTAGACAGATATGGTGGTCTCCGCCAACCCCTAATCTACAACTATACAGATTGAAGCATGATTGAATACACCCTGACCTTGCAATATTCTGAGATGACGATGCTCCTGAATGCGTACTGACTATTTGCCCCTTCAAATATCCCTTCTCACATATAGATTTGAGTGGTGGTGCTAAAGGAAGCATAAATACAATTTCAGCGCGGGTACTGTGTTTTCTTAACACCGTCCTACACAGGATACTTATACTGAGTCCCCTGCTAGCTTCTAGTAGTGATCAGCTCAGGGCATTCCACGTGCTCCGTCTACGTAGGGGGCAGAAGACAAGAGGCGCGAGCACTCTAATCCATATGCAGATGGATATAAATTGTGTACTACCTAAAGACGACAAAAGTAGATAGATGGCTCATTCTAGTGCTGTACAAATCATAACCCTGGTGTACATGCCCAACGCCCGCCCTGATATCATACATGTACACGCAAAAAAAGGTCACGCCCAATATTATACTTTTTTATCTCACCACAGGGTGTCTAATGCTGACTCCACTCGATCGTGTTCAGATCAATACCCTCCTGCACCAACTCCCACAGCGGACTCAGCTCACGCAGGAAATGCACACGCGCCTGCACTGCCTGCAGCACGTAGTCGATCTCCGCGTCCGTCGTGAACCGGCCAATTCCGAATCGGATACTGCTGTGGGCGCTCTCGTCGCTGCTGCCCAGGGCGCGCAGCACGTAGCTCGGTTCCAGCGACGCAGACGTGCACGCGCTGCCCGAAGAGAGTGCGATATCCCGAAGTGCCATCAGAAGCGACTCGCCTTCGATGTACGCGAACGATACGTTCACGCACCCAGGGTAGTGGGCATCCCGGTCACCGTTGAGAGCCGTGTGCTCCATCGACAGCAGGCCATCACGCAGCCGGGTGGACAGTCGCTCGATATACTTGGTATCGTACTAATCTCGGTTAGCTACCGCTATGCCACGTGAAAGCGTGAAAAACAGTCAACCAGGCCAACGACTCATTACCCCTGCTATGTACACCATTCGGTCCCGGGAACACGCATTGCGTGCAGCTACCCCCGGGGCCATCAGAGGTGATACGATTAAAGCTTCTAATCACCGCCGATGACCAAACCAAAAGCAAAAGAGAAAAGGAGGGGGGGAGGGAAGAAAGTAAGATGCTCACCTCCATTTCTTGGGACGCGAGACGGCAGGCCTCGCCAAATCCGACCACCAGATGAGGCGCCAGCGTGCCACTGCGCAGACCACGCTCCTGACCACCACCGGTGATCAGAGGGTCGAGACGGACACGCGGACGACGGCGCACGAAGCAAGCACCGATGCCCTTGGGCCCGTAGATCTTGTGACTCGAGATGGACATCAAATCCACGTTCAGCTTGTTCACGTCCAGTGGAATCTTGCCCACCGCCTGGGCGCCGTCCGTGTGGAAGAACACCCGCTTGGACCGGCACAGCTTGCCGATCTGCTCCATCGGCTGGATCACGCCGATCTCGTTGTTCACGGCCATGATACTGACCAACGCGGTCTCCGGACGCATGGCCGCCTCCAGATCCTCCATGCGGATCAGCCCGTTGCTCTGCACCGGCAGGTAGGTCACCTCAAATCCCTCGTCCTGCAGATGCCGGCAGCTGTCCAGCACACACTTGTGCTCCGTCTGCGTCGTAATGATATGGTTCTTCTTGCCCGAGCGACCGAAGAATCGCGCCACTCCCTTGATGCTCATGTTGTTGCTCTCGGTCGCGCCGCTCGTGAAGATGATCTCCTTGGGATCCGCGCCGATCAGCTTGGCGATGTTCTCGCGCGCCTGTTCCACCGCTTTCTCGGACTCCCATCCGTAGGCGTGCGTCCGCGAGTGCGGGTTACCGTAGATGCCCGTCATGTAGGGGAGCATGGCGTCGAGCACGCGCGGGTCGGTCGGGGTCGTTGATTGCATATCCAGGTAGATGGGGCGAGTGCCTTGGTCCATGACGGTCGCCTGCTTCAGGATGCCGGCGGAGGGGCTCATCGAGGCGTCCCCGGCGATGCCCGACCCAGGCAGCTCCACCTTCGACGCTTGCATACCGGTCTTGTTCATGAAGTCTTTCTGTTCTTGCTTGATGGCCTGGTCAACGGAGACCTGGGCGCTTCCGGCCTTGGTCTCGGAGACATAGCCGCGGACGGGTGCCCGAAAGCGCAGGGCACGAGCGCCCTGTGTGGACGACAGACGACGAGCGTAGACACGCGACGCCTGTCGCAAAGCTGGATTCATGGACGACATGATAGAACGATGCCACGAGATGGTTAAACGGGTGGCAATAGAGGTCCTTTGATGACGGAGAGATGGGAGGAAGTGTCAGGAGCGGGAAAATTGTTGGGTCCGGTTATATCATTTGTTAGTCAGCATTTTTGTTGGCTGACTCATCTGTTCATTGCCGAGGAATTAAATCCGATCGGATTTGGTTTATGTCCGAACTATGCAGGTTATTAATGTATCTTTATACAGTATAATTATGAGTTCAGATGACATCATCTGACAATGTCTAAACGGGCAGTTTATTGTCAATTCACCATAGTATGGTCTGTGTATTTCTTCAATGGTTCAGTCGAAGTAGTTTGTGTCTTGCATGCTCGGTAATCGGACAATTCAGTACTACCTTACCATCAATGTATAATTCTATAGACATACAGTTGTACGATCAGAATCCAGTGGAGAGCCGAAGCCGTCTTACGTCAGGCAGATCTTCATCGCCTTATCGATCGACTCTGGGCCTTTGTCCATCATGCTTGATAATGGCGCAGCCTGGTCAGGTAGGAATGTCCTTTATATCCGGAGTGATCCAATCTGAATGGGATTCTGGGTGCCTAATTCCACCCACGGAACTAACAGAAAGGCCAAGCCTGCGCCACATTGACTCCTTTTCGGTTACGACTACTTGTCGTAATACCTACCGAATACTGACTGATAGATAAAGGGGATTTCCCCGGGGCTGGGTATCTACTGTCCTCCTTGCCTGATCTACCTCGATCTCAGAGAATCCATCCACAGAAGACTAATTACTTTATTAGTGCATAACAATTGGTTGGCATAAATCAAAGATTAAGACCGACAAAGCAAGGGCAACCCATCTGATGTCATAGTTGAGCCACCCAGTCTAACCGTCACCGACTTAGACCACCTTAGTATTCCCGACTATCTACTCATCCAGCCAAATCAAGCCAAACCTTCCCCACTCTGCTTTGTTGCCGTCTTGAACTTTTTTCCCTCTCTTCTTTTCTTTCGTTTTCTCCTCCTTATTCTCCCCTACTTTATATTATCCTGGCCCAAAATGAGTTTCAAAGGTTTCTCGAAAGGGGTCGTTCGGGCCCCTCAAAATTTCAAGGCCCGCTTCAACATTGGCGAGCACACTAAAGATGCTGTTTATATGGATGCCGAGCGGCGTTTTCAGGAGCTAGAACGAGAGACGAAGAGACTCCACGATGAGTCCCAGAAGTATTTCGGCGCAATTAATGGTACCTTATCCAGTTTGCCGACATCCACCGGGTTGGAACAGGTCGGGCTAATATAACGTGAAATAGGCATGCTCAACCACCAGATCGAATTCTCCAAAGCCATGACCGAACTCTACAAACCCATTTCGGGACGCGCCTCCGACCCCGATTCGTACGTGGTGGAAGGAAATCCCGAGGGCATCCAGGCCTGCGAGGAGTACGAAGCCATTGTGGCCGAACTACAAGAGTCGCTAGCGCCCGAGCTGGAGCTGATCGACAGCCGCATCGTCAGCCCGGCCGACCAACTACTCGAAGTGATTAAGGTGATCCGGAAGGTAGCGGTCAAGCGGGACCACAAGAAGCTGGACTACGATCGCCACCGCGCCACGCTGAAGAAGCTGGAGGAGAAGAAGGACAAGTCGCTGAAGGACGAGAAAGCCCTGTACCGCGCCGAGAACGACGTCGAGCAGGCGACGCAGGAGTTCAACACCTACAACGACCTGCTGAAGGAGGAACTCCCCCGACTATTCCAGCTCGAAGCCGAGTTCATCCGCCCGCTGTTCCAATCCTTCTACTACATGCAGCTGAACATCTTCTACACGCTGCACGAGAAGATGCAGGGCATGAACATCAACTACTTCAACCTGACCCTAGACGTCCTCGAGGCCTACGAGGCGAAACGCGGCAACGTCCAGGAGCAGGCCGAGGCGCTCGTCATCGTCCACTTCAAGACCAAGGGCCTGGGCCGCCACAACACCAAGCTCGCCGGCAAGGGCAAGCTAGACGACAAGGGGGGCAGCTTCGCCGGGCGGCGGAGAGACTCCGACGGTGTCGACAACCCCCCGCCACCGTATACCGCCGCGACCGCCGCGTCTGTCACGAGCAGCCCGTCCGGCAGCTTCAGCGGCAAGAAGCCGGCCCCGCCGCCGCCGAAGCCCAAGCCGTCGCGTCTGGCACAGCACACCGAGACCGTCACCGCGCTGTATGACTACGAGGCGCAGGCGCATGGCGATTTGAGCTTTTCCGCTGGTGAGGTGATCCAGATCATCCATCGCACGGATAACACGAATGAGTGGTGGACAGGTAGGGTTGACGGACGGGAAGGACAGTTCCCAGGTATGCTCCATCTTCCTCCCTTTCTCTCTGTCCTTGTAGCTAACCCACCTAGCCAACTACGTCCAACTCAACTAGAGTGCTCTTATATCTTTCATCTGGGACGGAGTTGGATACGGCTGATGGTGCGGGCTAGCATTGGCTTGTTAGAGCGTTGCATGATTGGTGTATATATTGGTTATGAATTTGACGATGTTTTGTTTGCTAGCTGTACTGCTGTAATCTACCGACGAGCTGTTTTCGCCCGCCCTTACTCATGGAATCACGGATATATACCCATATGTCATGAGACTCGACACTCCTCAGCTAAGATCCCTCCACAAAATTCCCACCGGTATATTCCACCTCCACCTGATATATCAAAATAAATAAGAAAATATCCCCAGAAAATGGTCCCCCTAAAACCTATCCCGATCCAAATTTTACTCCAAATCAGATCAGATCAGATCCACCGATCGATCGCCGTGGACCGACGATGGTGCTAGTAGTACCACTATACAGCCTGCATGGATCAACAACGCTAGTACCCATTCCAGACGGATGGTATATATATCCCTGTGAGGATGAACGCCACCATGCTTGCTAATCTTGTTTGCTGTACTATGGTTGTGTTGTGCGCTACGTACTTTATGGGTTAATTTGTTGCTAGAGGTTGTAGGATATAGGTGGGTATGACTATGCGCTGGCTGTTTTGTTTGATGGGTTCTGTTTGCACAAGAGATATGGTTGGGGTTCTAGGGACGTTCCGTAAGAATTGATTGAATGCATTTATAGAGCTAATCTGGAAGAATGATGTGGAAGAAAGCGAGTGGATTGCTAAGTTGTATGGAAGAGAAGGAGCAGTGCTGGGCTGTCACCTGACTGAGAAGCTGTCATCTCCTGCAGATGCGATTCTTTTTTCTTCACTTGACAACTATACTCGCATCTCTCCTTCTTATCTTTTTATAAATTCACATCCTCAAAGGTCTTGTCGACCGCGTGGTTCGACCCTCCAGGCCACTGGGTTTGGAGTTTACTGAACAGCCCAGTCTATTTGTATAGGCTATCTTGGCTGAGGGTACCATAGAGGGCCACCTGATGTGGATAGGTACGGATTGCGACTGCAAAAATTCTATACAATAAAAGTCGCGAATTAGTCTTTATGAAAAAGTAATGTCTAACCATTAAACCTATATAGGCATCTGAAAAACAATCAGATGATTGTCGCGGCCTCAGTCGATGAACCGGGTCATGCGTCACTCCAACGTGCCCACATTGAAGGTTTTGCATAGACATGGATGTGACTGTAAAAAGGGACACATTGCTTGCGAATTACTATATCGATCATGTACTGGACATCCCACCCGTGGAACCAAATATCTGTCCCGAGTCGCTCCCTGGTAACTCCAGACGCCATGGCATCATGAGTCCATCGCGATTTTGCTATGGCAACCATGGTAAACTATATGGTCGATGGCAGTGTCTGGATGGTTAGGCAGATGGTGCTATATAAAATAGCACAGGCTACTAAATCAGCAACTAGTATGGACAACCCTCTATACAATGTATCTGGACGATCACGGCATCGATAGAAACTCCACAATCTCACGCCCCGTCACATACGGAGTGACCTCGTTCATCTCCATCTCGCTCTACAACGTCCTCGAGCTGAACTTCCTCCTCCTCGTCACCTTCAAACGCCACAACGGGCTCTACTTCTGGAGCTTCTTCGCGTCGACATGGGGCACAGCCATCTACGCCATCGGTTTCCTCCTCAGGGACTTTCACATCTCCAGCAAAATCACCTACCTTTACGTGACGCTCATCGCCATCGGCTGGGTCGCCATGGTAACCGGGCAGTCGCTGGTCCTGTTCTCGCGCCTGCACCTCATCGTGCGCAAGCCTCTCGTCCTCCGCTGCGTGCTGGCGATGATCATCGTCGACGCGATCATCCTGCAGATCCCGACCATCGTGCTCTTCTACGGTGCCAACTCCCACCAGTTTCCCCGCTTTGTGATCCCGTATGCGATCTTCGAGCGTGTCCAGGTGACGCTCTTCTTCGTCCAGGAGACCATCATTTCAGGCCTGTATATGTATGAGACCTGGAAGATGCTGTACTCGGAGGGTTCGCTCAACGGGGTCCACGGCGAGGTCGGCCGTCGTCTGCTGCAGCATTTAGTATACGTCAATGCCATCGTGGTGCTGCTTGGTATCGCAATAGTGGTGCTGGAGTTCACGGGGCGCTATGCCTCGCAGACGGCCGCTCGAGGGTTTATCTACAGCGTGAAGCTGAAAGTGGAGTTTGATATCTTGACGCGCTTGGTAGGGCTCGCGCGGAGGGCAAGCGATGCTGAAGCAGGGTGGGCTTATACGGCCGATTCGCCGGGCGGATTCTGGGATGGCCAGACGGGCGACGGGCAGGGGAAGGACGGTATTGCGCGCCGCAAGTCGGCATTTTCCTGTCCCTGGTTTGCTCTTGCAAAAAGGGCCCAGAGGGAAGTGAATGGGCCGCCTAGGAGCAGGACTGCGAGTAAGAGGGAGGAGAGGTCATAATACTATATAAAGTGGGTTCATGCCGAGTTATGATCCAAATGATGATTCGTGGTATATATACACGGATGTGTGTTATGGTCTATAAAGACATACTCTTTCTATATATTCATAGTGTGACACCTATCAGGTAAGACCCTCAGACTTCTCAATTTCATCCTTGCTCAAACACCACTTCTTCTGCAGATCCCGGTCAAGACTCATCGCGTACACATCCTTCGGCCACCACTCTCCCCAGCTAGTCAAAAAGATCTGCTCGGGATCCGACGGGACGTCAGCAGTGAACGCGCGGAGAAGATTCTGGGCACCTGCGAGCTGTTAGCCACACTCGAAGTCTCCACCCAAACTGAGAACCCACCCTCGGGAATGGTTTTGGCATCCGCCATATTCATCGTTAGCCCCATACTCGACGCAAGCTTGGTATCGGGGATGAGACCCGGCGAGACTGCCACGATCGTGCAGGAGGGCAGCTCCCGGCGCCAATAGTGCGCGCCTAGCAGTTGCACGAACTTGGACGCGCTGTATACTGCTCGGACACCGGCGTTGGAGTTCGCTTTCAAGTCCACGTCGAGGGTTGCTGCAGTATCCATCAAATTAGTACACTATCATATACGTGCCTCACAGCTAGACCAACAAAGACGGAAAGGAAGAAAAGATCATACCCGGATCCTGGTCCCTAACGCTCCGAATAGCGCCCGACGAAACGACAACAACCCGCGTCCTCGACGCCTCCAACGCATCACGAAGCAAATGCACCAAATAATGCTGAGCTATACAACACATTAGCACACAACCATCCACCCATCCCATCCCACTACATCAATGCATGGTACATACCCAAATGATTCACCACATACCCCTCACACCAAGCCGATCCATTCGGCCCCGCCCCACTCGCACCATCCAACACGCCCGCCCCGAGGAAGAGATAATCGAGCTTGTTCGAGCCTAGCTGTGCGAGCGCTTGCTCCGCGAAGGACTGCGCGCTGCGCAGGGAGGACAGCTCCAGTGGCAGGATGTGGATACTGTGCTTGGTGGTGTCGTACTTGAGGGAGTCGTATGCGGCCTGGGTGCGGGCTGTGTCGCGCGCGCCCATTATGAATGTGTAGGGCGTGGACTGCGAGAGGAGCTGTTTGACCAGCTCGAAGCCCTGGTTGGGTTAGCTTGTTGGCTTTGGTGTGTCTGGTGTGCAGTATGGATATGGGGGGTTTTGAAGAGTTGGGTGATGGGTGGAAGATGTGCAGCTTACCAGGCCGGATGAGGTGCCCGTTGCGATAACTGTTTTCGCCATATCGAAGAGAATGAATATAATGGAGATAATGAAAAGGATTGGACTAGGATAGGTAGTGACGATGTTTGTTGCGTGTTGGAGTAAATCAGCCATTATATCGTCTTCAAGTGCCCCTCGCTTACAAATTGGGGATGTTCACCAGTGACGTCATTACTTGTGGAGTAGTGTATACATCGCGAACATCCATCTACTATACAAGGATCGTTGCAACATAACATGTGTTAGAAAAGACTACCCACAGAGCGCAAAAGTGTCTGGACATCTTTTGTAGAGGAGTGGTATTCTTTGCAACATAATATGTGGTTCAAGAGGTACTGAGACTACTTATATTGAAATTAGATTGCCTCTTTTTCGCCTCTCTCATTTATATCTAAGTGCCTTGATCGTATAAACATGAAGGTACGAAAGAACTTATGCTAAATGTTTGTATGTTACAAGATCATAATAGTCTGACACCCACTCCTACCCTCCTCCCTCTCGGGCAGCTTTCAACTCAAGCAATTCGCATTTCTCCGCTATGGTCTTCCTTTCCAGCGGATGCTGCGTCACGCTGATCGATTGAAGGCCCTCGATGATCCGATCGCACAGTCCTATGGCATCATCATATCGTCCCTGCAGCCGATAGCACAACGAAAGTTGAATCATCGCGTTCAACCGATCGGGATGGTTTTCACCGCGGTAGGATGAAATGTTTCGCAGCTTGTCCATCACCCGGAGGAGTGTCGCTTCTGATTCTTCGAATCGCGATTGACGCGCGAGCACGGCGCCCAGCCAGGTTCTGCCCATCATAGTCCCGATATGGTCTTCGCCGAGGTTGCGGTCCGCGATGGCTAGACCGCTGCGGAGCAAGTCTTCGGCATCGTCGTATCGACGCAGCCCGATATTGATTCTTGCCATGCTTGCCATTGCGAACAGAGTGAACGGGTGCTCTTTGCCCATGTTCTCCTTGCGGGCGTCAAGCACTTCCTGCATCATCTGTGACGCAAGAGGCAGGTTGCTGCCGATTTGTAGGTTCAGCATGGCGATTTCTTCTTTCACTTCCAGCGTCTTGGAATGTACAGGGCCGAGGGTTTCTTTTAACCCCGCATATGAATCTTCGAGGAGCTGGAATGCATGGTCGTAGTTCTCGTAGAATTTGCCCAGCGTCCGGCCGAGATACCCCATTGCGGTGAGCGTGTCCTCGTGCATTCGACCCCGTGATTTAGATTTGAGCAGTCCGTCGACAGCCTTTTGCTGGAGTACTTTCGCGTCGCTGAATCGTCCCTGCATCCATCGGGATTGACCAAGGACGTCCATCGTTGTCAGGGTGTCGACGTGGTCCGGTCCCAACGAGGTTATGCACGCGTTCAAGACAGCTTCTTGCAGGTCCGCTGCCTCGTCCCCGCGACTCTGAGACCGATACGTGCTCGCCAAGGCAAGCGTGATCCGCCGGGTGGAAGCATGGTTCGATCCGAGGAAAGCTTCCAGAGAATCCTTAACCCCCGTCTGAAGCTCCTCGGCATCTTCCAGGCGCCAGTTCTGGAGGTACACCATGCTGAACTTGGCATCGCGCAATACCTGCGCTCTGTCGAACGTGAATCTCACCCAGAGCCAGTCGAAGAGCCCGGGCTTCCGGCTCTCCAAGGCGTTGCGCTTCGCTGCATCCTGTAGTTTGCGCACGTGGTCGACGTGTGGGAGAACTCGGATCCGAAAGAGCTCCTGGTCTTCGGTGTTGCCGAGAGGAGGGAGGAGAAGCGACTGGGCGAGAGTAGTAGCTGCAGCATGCGACCAAACAGCTTGTTCTGCTGAGCTCATGGCAGGCCGTTTACTCGCCCATTCGTGTATGAGGGGGTGCATCGAATAGCTGTCGTCTGATTCATCATGCGTGATCAGAGACATTTGCGTGAGCTCCCTTAGTGCATATCGTATCCGTGGAATGTCAAGAGTCTCGGACTCTCGCCCCTGTCGTATGAAGTCAGGCAAAATCGGACGATCACGTCCCTGTGTGAGATAAACCAACAGGAGCAATCGTAGATTGTTGTATGTTTCGTACCAAGATACTGGCTGATTCTGTTCGTCCTTTGCCGCCGTTTCCTGCTGGACTCTTTCCTTCTTGCAATTCTCGATTGCTTTTGTCAAGATATCAAATCGGATCTTCTTGTAGTAGAAGCAAGAGAACAGCTTGAGCAATTGGATGGCATCCTTGGAGGCCTGTGTGCCTTTGTCTTCCATGCCCTTGTAGCAGACTTCATATGTAGCGTGTACGCTCAAATACTTCTCCGCATGGTCCGCATCGACAGATTGTCTCCGCACACGACGAAGGTGCTCCCATTCTGCATCGTGAAAGGCAAGGTAGTTCCTCAGCGTACACAAGCCATTTCGAATGGCACTGCCGGCCTGAATCAGAGACAAGGCAAGGTAGCCCAGCTGCCGGGTGATTGTCTCCGCCCATGACAAGGAATCCGTGTCCCATGGCTCCGCCAATTTGGTCGCCCGAAGTAAAAGGGAGTTGGCGTCGTCGCTGCTCAGATCTTCGAACCTGAAAAACCCAGGCCCAATGTTCCCGTGCTCCTTATGAGACGGGTTTCGGGTGGTTATAATGACATGACCTCTATCCCCTCGGGGGAAGTACTGGTCGAGCGAGATTGATGGGTCGTCGGCGTTGTCCATTATCAAGAGCCAGCGACCCTCTTGGTTGGAGAGCCAATGCATTGCAGCCATGTGGTTCGCCTCCACTTTTCCAAACTTGCCAATTTGTGCATAGGTTTGCTTGATGCGTTCATGCGAGGTGGCGTCAATCCAGAAGACACCCCAATAGCTTTGGCAGGACAGTAATTAGCGATCAATAACAACGCTTTTAGAAGGGGAGGCGAAGATGTTCAACGAAGATGTTCAAGTACCTCTCTCGGTTTTGTTCTGCGAATTTGCAACAAAACTGTGTCTTTCCCGCACCGCCCAAGCCGTAGACAACAAAGCGTTGCTGCCGCGGGCCTTCCTCGTCGGCCGTGGAGGCCACAAGTATATCCTGCAATTTCTTCAAGTACCGGGCTCGACCGGTGTAATAGCTGCTGACCGGCTGAGGGATATCGAAAAACTCATTCGGAGTGCGGGTCGAGACAGCCGTGACAACCGCTCGTATAGACCGTTGTAATCGCTTTATCCTCGACAACCTTGTGTCATCCTTCTGCTCATGGTCCGGGTCATCGCTTTTGGGTAACGCGAGGCGACTCTCAAGTGTGATGATTACTGCCTTGAGTGAACGGACGTCCTCGTGTATGTGATTCAGCGTTCCTTGGGAAGCGTTCTGGTTGTGCCTTCCCAATTTCAGCACTATTATAGCAGGGTAGCAGATTGAAAACTCACAGATTAATCCCATCTAGCAGCAGTGTCAGATTGTGTTTTTCAGCGGACAGCTCCATACGCAGCCTTGCGAGGTCTGCATTCTTGTCCCGCCTACGGAACTCCTTCCTAAGCCCATCGAGCTTTCCAGTGACCGTCGAGCCGGATTTCCCGTAAACCTCCTTGGTTAGTTTCTCGAGTCTCGTTGCGAGGTCATAACAAGCCTCGATGCTTGCGCGAAACTTATTTGAGAGATCTTCGAGGTTGGTGGCTTTCAGAAGGGATAACTTGTCGGGGCTTCCTATGTAGCCATCAAAGGTTGTTTTGACTGTTTCTAGGACGGCTTTCAGGGTTTCGACCTCTGTGATCAAAACCTTGATCTCCTGTTGAACGGACGCAACCGCGTTTGGAATATCTTTTAGAAACAGGACGACACGCAGGCAAATATCCGCGATCCCAGTCGCCCCCGCAATGATGGAAAGCGGATCCATCTTTCAGACGCGGGGGGTCATAAGATACTCGCTAGATAGCGTGTACAAAGGTGTAAATGAGAGGAAATTAGAGGTTTGTTTTACGTGGATAGATGAGAAAACAATATAATTTGGCATTCGGATTTACCGGAAAGTCTACCAGACACGTGTGGGGGGGTGGATGGATGGATGGCATCGCAATCCTATATACAGGGTTTAGCGCGAGGCTTTCGCTTACCTGCGAACTATCGTGCTTTCGGACGAACCTGCTGAGATACCCCTCTTTGGTGAACAAAATGGTGTAGTGCGGAAGCTGCAATGCTGATTCTTCAAGCAACATGGTGAGGTTTTCTACAGTGGGCCAACAAGGATAGCCCTAACGTTGGCCTACATGGGTACCCTTCTGCTCCAAAGCTTGACACTTCAGTAAAGAACAGACCTTCTCACCTCATCTGAAGCAAACGGGTTGTCAACTTTATCCGGGCTATTTGCTGACAGCAGCTGCCAAGGCCTTACGTGTGATTGCTGCAGCCACCTCGACGTATCACTCCTTCCAACCCCTGCACCTTAAGCCCGAATTTGGGAACTAGCGTTGTAGAATGAGGCATACCATTTGCTTCCAAACATAGAGAGTATATATGATGGCCCACCACTCTGTCACACGAACCTGGGTTCATTCTAGTCTGAGTCTAATTTCCAGATACTAAATCTTATGTTGTTTAAGCATCATGATATTCTCGATTCCTCTGCTTCTCAACCTCGTTGCTGGCTCGCTAGCGCTGTCCCTGATATACAAATTTATAAAGGGTCAGAATGAGCGGCGAGTATGTTTTGTTTCTATTTTTATATCTATTTACTATTTTTTTTGAGCTCTACTTGGGTCCCAAACTCAGAAGGCTTTCGTTCTGACTGATCATAGATTGACGAACAATTCGCAGCAGCGCACGGATGCCAACCACTCAAGCCGTGGACTTCAAAATGGCCTCTAGGGCTGGATCTACTCTTCAAAGCTTTCGAGTACGATCGCAGACAGCAGATCCTCCGATTCTTTCTGGACGTAATATCTCAGTCGGGGAATACCTTTGAGCAGAAGCTCCTGTTTTCTCGAGGTATCGATACGATCGAGCCGCGAAATATCGAGGCTATTCTTTCGTCGCAGTTTTCCGGTATGATCAACTTTCGAACCAGTGTGTGTCTTTTTTTCTTTTCCTCTGCTGACGAGAGCTGAAGATTTCGATCTCGGGCTACGACCGGTGCATTTTGACCCGTTGATGGGTAGCGGGATCTTTACTCAGGATGGGGAACAGTGGCAGCGCTCACGCGAGCTTCTCCGGCCGCAATTCATGAATAACAGGATGGAAAACTTCGAACAGGTGAGATCCGCCGTGGATGCCCTGATCGACTGCGTCCCTGAAGATGGAGTCGTGGACCTGCAGCCGCTCTTCTTCCGCCTCACCTTTGAGACCACCCTATTCCTGCTCTTTGGACAACATCTGCCGAGTTTGAAGGCCGATGGAATCACAGGTCTTGAATCTGAGTTCGCGGAGGCTTTTAACCGAGGACAGAACTACCTTGCTCAGCGAGGACGCCTGGGCGATCTCCACTGGCTTATAGACGGAAAGGACTTTCGGAAAGTCTGTAAGATATGCCATGATTTCGTGGATGGTGCGGTCAAGAAGGCTTTGGATCGCTATGTCCCGTCCAAGTCGGCGGACTCGGATGAATCTTACACGTTTGTCGATGCCATCATTGAGAAAACCAGGAGCCCAAAGGTTTTGAGAGACCAATGTCTGAATATCCTTTTGGCTGGGAGAGACACGACAGCTTGCTGCCTCACATGGACACTGTAAGTCATAGCATTGTGCACTCCCGTTTGGCTCAGATACTGATAGAATCCACTGAAGACGCCTGCTCGTCCAACATCCTGAAGTTCTTTCCAAGCTACGGCGCGAGGTTGAAGAGACGGTCGGCGTTGGTCCGGGAGCATCAGATCCCCAAATCCGTCAAATCAAGGCGATGCCATATCTATCGATCGTGATCAAAGAAGGTAGTTAATGTCCCTTCTTATACCATTTTTCTCAATATACTAACTCTGATCCCATAGTCCTCCGATTATACCCTTCCGTCCCCGTGAACTCGCGCGCAGCCACGAAGACAACAACCCTTCCCACAGGAGGAGGCCCCGACGGAACAGCCCCCATCCTCGTCCGCAAAGGCGAAGGAGTCGGATACTGCGTCTACGCCATGCACCGTCGCAAAGACCTCTTCGGCTCCGACGCCGACTGTTTCCGCCCTGAGCGCTGGGAGAATGACGCGTTGAAAGATGTCGGATGGGGCTATGTGCCTTTCAACCGGGGTCCGCGCGTGTGTCTGGGTCAGAATTTTGCGGAGCTGGAGGCGGCTTATACTGTTGTTCGGTTGTTGCAGATGTTTGAGACTATTGAAATGACGGAGGATAAGCCGTTTAATATCCCGGTTGGCGAAGAGAGGCAGGTTCTCACTTTGGTTGTGTCTAGTGGGGATGGTTGTTGGGTGAGGATGAAGAGGTATGAGGTGTGAACGGGGTAGCCGTTTTTCCTTTTGCTTTAGTACTACTATGATCACTACTAGATATATATATATATATATCCTTGAAATAGAACTGACAAACTGATATGCCATCAAATCATACTGCATCGCCTTGTCGCGCTCAGTTAATCGTACCCACGCGCAGCTATAAGCCCTAGGAGGAGTAGCCTGCTGATAATAAGATGCTAGAATCATCCTACAGCTAGAGAAAATACTGACTAAAGCTCTATCAGACAGATTACAGCTGAGTCAACCATAGCATACACCTGTACTGCATTATAATGATCGATGGACAAGATAGAATAGTTGAGACGACTGTATAGATCAATCGATATCAACCACGTGACCACCAACGCGGGACTTTTCCACGCCGATCTTCAATCTTCACATCCCACTCGACCCCACCGTCACTCTTTCAAACCTCAACTTTTCAATCTCCATGATATAAACAGCACAATCTACACAATCTCAACAACACAGACAGCACAATCCACCACAATGTCCACACCAACAACAACAAAATATACCCCCCCGCCCCTCCCCACCCCCTTCAACAACACCAACCCCCCACCAACCCTCCTCACCCAAGGCGCCGAAGCCCGCCTCTACAAAACCACCCACCTAACACCCTCCACCCCCGCCGCGCTCAAAGTCCGCCCCTCCAAACCCTACCGCCACCCCATCCTCGACCGCCGCCTCACCCGCCAGCGCATCCTGCAGGAAGCTCGCTGCCTCGCGAAGCTCGTCCGCGAAGGCGTGCCTGTCCCCGCTTTGCTCGCGCTTGACTGGGAGGGCCAGGGCGCGGGGAATGCTCATGGGGGGGAGAGTGGTATTGGGAGCGCTTGGTTGTTGATGGAGTGGGTTGATGGGTTGGTTGTTAGGGTTGTGCTTGAGAGGTGGGAGAAACTGGTTCGTGGGGCTGGGGGGATAGTGGCGAGTGGGGAGGAGGAGCGTGTGCGCGATCTTATGAGGAGGATTGGGGTTTCCGTGGGGGCGCTGCATCGCGCGGGCGTGGTGCATGGGGATCTCACGACGAGTAATTTGATGTTGAGGCCGGAGGGGCCGCCGAAGGGGGAGGAGGAGGAGGAGGAGGACGGACAGGTTGATATGGATGGACAGGTCGTGTTGATTGATTTTGGCCTCGCGGCGCAGAGTGCACAGGATGAGGACCGCGCGGTCGATCTGTATGTGCTTGAGCGCGCGTTTGGGAGCACGCATCCCCACACGGAACAGTTCTTCGAGGAGGTACTAAAGGGCTATCGGGAGAGTTTCAAGGGGGCTGCTACTGCCTTGAAGCGGTTGGAGGATGTGCGCCTGAGAGGGCGGAAGCGGAGCATGATTGGTTAGGAGTGGTATATACCGGGATTGTTATAATTATGGAAGATGATGTGGACATGATCGTCATTGAGCAACGCCGCGCTGTGAATGCATTCTGGATATAGACAAACAAGAAGAAAAACAACCAAAGATAGAAGTGGGAAGGCTACTCCCGCGGCTTCACGCAGCTGCCCATGTCCGCCAACGCAAAATACCCCTTGTTCTCAACTACCCCCCGGTCCTTGACGACCGCAGTATACTTGACCACCCACTGCGGCTCAACGTCCCCCTCGATCCCATCCTTAGCATCCGACGTCGAAGCCAGGATACCCGCCCCAGCAGGACCCAGCAGCTCGCGCGTAGTCCCAACCGGCAAGATATCATTACAGTCATTATGAGTCAGCAGCTGGATCTTCTCCTGGCGCGCATACAGAATCAACGACTTGGGCACAACGCAGCAGTCCTTGAGATTGATCTGGTCGACAGAGGGCTTGACGCGCGTGTGCGGCAGGAACCGAGCAAGCCGGTCGCTCCCAAACTCCGCGACGCCCAGCTGCGCGATCATGCCCTTCTCCTGCAGCGCCTCCAGCGCCCGCCACGTCTGGATCATGCTGTCGAAGTCGTCGGGCTCCTCGCTGCCGTTGTCCGACGACCGCGTGTCCTCCTCCTCGTCGCTGTCGTCCTCCGCGTCGAATAGGATCCCCGGGAACGAGACGATCAGCAGGTCGATCGAGTCTACCCGTAGCTCTTTCAGGACGAGGTCGATGGCCTCCCGCGTGTGCGCGCACCGCCGCGACGCAGGGATCCCAGGCAGGTAGAACAGCTTCACGGTGATGTCGTACTCCGCGCGTTCCTCGGCGAGACCCGGGGAGGAGGGGTCCAGCGCGGGGATGTAGAGGGCGTCGGGGCCTTGGTGTGTCCAGGTGGCCGCGGGGCGTCGGTCGGTGGGGTCGGCGGTCGGCTGTTGGGAAGCTTGGAAGTTGGAGCGCAGGGAATTGATCAGTTCGACGTTGGATTTGGCGGTTGTGACGGGGCGGATGACGGACGGGCCGCCTACCGTCATGATATTTCTATTGCTGTTAGTCTATGGCCTCTTGGGGTGGGGGTCGGTGAGGGGCAGGCTTACGATGTGGACAGGATCAACTTCATGGCGCTCAGGGGCCTTGGTAGGGGAGGGTGACGGAGTGACCGGGGGAAGGTGTTTTAAATGATTAAAGAGGAGAAGAAAAGTATCCAAGACGAAGAGGTGTACGGTTGAAGAGAAAGATTGCGGGAAGAATAGCGGGAATAGCGGGGTGAAGCGGCGATGATTTGGTTGCATTCGGTGGATTGCTAAGCAGCGCCTGACCGTCAACTGGTGAATTCTTGTCGTGGCTTTATACTAGGATAGCACTGTCGAACAACTCATTATACTGATGATTTGTGATAGGATTCTGAATGGCTCAAGCTTCGCTTTGGAAGGAGCATATGTATCTGTCTACTACACACTGATTGTTGAACGTAGAACACATACTGAAGAGTGAAGACTGCACGCCCTATATCAAGATATCGATTACTATGGGAGACATACAGAATGACAATTATGCTCATTTATTCTTTCCAATTTGGACAAAGGATCACAATTATTGAGGCCAATCCTAGCCAGATCACATTCGATCCCACTTTATACAGGGCATGGAATGGTGAACAGACATATGCACGCACTCGGCAGCATCTACATGATATACACTTGCAGAACCTCCATAAACTTAGTAGCCAATATCACATATGGAATTCGCAAGCCTTCAGGCTAAACCCACTGCATGTCAGACCACGCTGGTCTTATCATATACTACTGCACGCTGGTTACATTCAATCATCATCCACCGTCGGATCCCAATCAGTCGGTTCATAAATCCCCGTCTGCAACGCCTTCATATCCCCCTCGTCCAGCTCGAAATCAAACACCTCGGCGTTTTCCCTGATCCGGCTAGGCGTTATGGATTTGGGTAGGGGGACGAATCCCTGCTATCTTATCAGCTCTCCCACTTTATCCATAGAGACAAAAAAAAAAAAAGGAAGGAAGAAGGAAGAAGACTCACCCTCTGCAACCCCCACCGAACCATCACCTGCGCCCCAGACTTCCCATACTTCCCCCCAATCTTCTTCAAAACAGGCTCATCCATGCGCTCCCCGTGAGCAAGCGGCGAGTAAGCCTGCACGGCGATCTTCCTCTTCTGTAACCACTCTGCGATCTCGGGTCGATCGCACCACGGATGCAGCTCGTACTGTCCGACATCTATCTTGCTTCCTCCTCCTTTCGAAATGTGCCCCTCCAGCTCCTCCAAATGGTGGATCCCATAGTTCGACACTCCAATTGACCGGACCTTTCCAGAAGCTTGGGCTTCGACGAGTGCACGCCACGATCCCAGACGCGCCTCTTTTCCGCCGTAGGGCGCGTGGATTAGGATCCTTGATTGTGCATAAATTAGCCACTGGGCTGTTGCTTGGTTGAGTGAGGGATAAGGAACAAGGGTCAATACAGATCGAAATACTCCTGCTCCGCCTCCTTCAAACTCGTGTCAATCGCCCGCCGCGTGCGCTCATACCCCATCGAGTTTGGGGGTATCTTCGTCGTGAAGAAGATATCCGCGCGGGGGACCCCCGAGGCGTTGATTGCGCGACCGCAGGGTTTCTCGTTGCGGTACATTATTGCAGAGTCGATCTGTGCCAGCGTTGTGGTTAGCTAGATGTCCGAGTTGGGTTGGATTGGGTTGGGTACGGGGGGTGTACTTGGCGGTAGCCGACATGGAGAGCTTCGCGGACGGCTTTCTCGGTTTGGGATGAGGGACTGTGGGTTGTTAGGTTGTACTGACTATACTAGCAGGCACTGGTTCTTGGGTTAAGTGTAGGTTGTGGCGTACATCATGTAAACCTGTGTAGGTTAGTTAACACTGAGTATATTGTGTCTATGGTGAAGTTTCGTGGCTTACCCCGTATCCAAGAACAGGCAACTCATGGCCTGAGTTCAAACGGTGGGTAGATTGGAGTCCTTTCAGTGCTGTCATTTTGGCGGTTTGCTTTGTTGTAGGTTACTACGAGTCCAGACTGTAGGTAGAGAAGAGGATAAGAAGGATGATGCGGGGCGTGGATGATATCATCGTGGGTCCACGTAGATCCATGCATGCATGCATGCCATATCCCACGTGAACCTGTCTCGAAAGAGCCTCTCTAGTCTCTACGGGGTAGTTTCTACTGGTAGAAACTGACTAAATACCAGTCAATAATTATAAGAAAACAAATCAATTAGGCAGATCTCGCTAACCAAGCCTATGTAGACCAACGCCAAGAATGCGACTTTTTATGTCCAAAGCCAAAAGTCCATCAAACAGCCCTCCAACGTCAACAATTACAAACACATTGATTATTTCGGCACCCGCTTGCGTCGCTTGACAGGAGCCGTATTGTCCTCCCCCCACGCATCCTCGAACGTCGTCTTCTTGGGCCCGATCTGTCCCTCGTAGAAGTTCATCCGTCGCACGACCTCCATGGCCCCCGTGCCCAGCGACACCGTCTTGCCCATAATGATACACTCCGAGACACCCTCGATCATGTCGGCGCGACCGCCGCCGCCCGCGTCGAACAGGTGGTCGGCCGTCTTCTCGAACGACGCCAGCTGCAGCACTGAGTCGCGCATCTTCGACAGACCGAACCGCGTGATGCCGAGCACTTCGCCCTTGTAGGTCATGACATCGGCGAGCAGCTGCATGTGCCGCGGGTCGATGTCCATGTCTTTCATGACTTCGCTGATTTCTCGCACGATTGTTGACCGCGCAGCTTCGATGCCCAGAACTTCTTTCATCTCCATGATGTTGTTGGTTGTTGTGCGCAGCCCGTCGACGCCTAGTGTTGTCATGCATGGCTTGAGACCGTACCCTTCGACCAGGAGCGTGTTGTACGTTGAGGTCTCGTCTGTGCGGATGATCGCGCGGTACGCCTGCGGGTGGCCTAGCACTTGGATGTCGGGCAGCATGCGCTTGAGGTGCTTCAAGCGCAGGAAGGGATCCGCGCTGGTGGAGGCGATCTCCGTCTTGGACAGGTTGGACTTGCTGGACGGATCCAGGTCCATGTGGATGTGGATATGGGTGCGCGAGTGTCGGAACTTGAGATCGTCCGCCTTGAACCGCCGGTGGTTCTTGATCGCTGACAGGATGTTGTGGATCTTCAGCTCCAGCTGCAGGTCGTCGATCGTCTTCCAGTTGATCTTCACCGTGATGAATGCGTCCTTGCCGGTCCAGGTCTCGCGCACGTAATGGATGATGTCCCGCAGGTAGGTCTGCTCCACACGGCCCTTGACGATCCGCGCGGCGACGATGTTGGTGTTGTTGACGAGCTCGCATGCCACGACGGGTGTACTGATCTCTCGGGACGCGTTGATGATTTCCTTGATACGGGGTACACCCTGCGTGATACTCATACCGGCGACACCGGCGAAATGGAATGTCTTCAGTGTCATCTGCGTACCCGGTTCACCGATGGACTGCGCGCCGACGGCGCCGACGGCGTGGCCCGGCTCAACCTGTGCCCGCTTGTACTTCGTCAAACAAGCGGTGATGAACGCCCGAAGCGTCCGCTCGGTCAATTTGCCCGTGTGGTGCAGGCCCTTCTGGCTTCTCTCGTCGGTTTCACTGTTGTCACCGCCCCGCGAGATGAGTCTCTCGGCCTTTGTCGACACATATTCCAGAATGGATTCGAGGAAGTCCCGCGCACTCTCGTACTGGTCAATGCCGTGTTCGCTCCGGTCCATGTAGCCCAGCGACTCGCCCATCAGGTCCTTGCGTTGCAGTTTGGCACGCTCCTTAGACAGCATCTCCTCGCAGACATCCATGATCTGCGCAGGGAGCAGACTCGGCTCGTCGTTCTTGTACGTCGTCGACTCGCAATGGATGAAAGTCCGGTCAAAGTGCACCGGCTTGGCTTTGCCTTCCATATCTACCGGATCCAGCTTGTCGTCACCGTACTGGAACTGCACAATGCTGGACGACGAGTTTCGCACCGTGTCGTCGTACCGAGTCGACAGATCTTCCAGGGACTTCATCAGACGACGCGACATGTAGCCTGTCTCGGCTGTCTTGACGGCCGTATCGACCAGACCTTCACGACCAGACATGGCGTGGAAGATGAACTCGGGCGGCTCGAGACCCGAGAAGAAACTGTTCCGCACGAAACCCTTGGACGGCGGCTGGCGCGCGTTCTTCGGGAAATGGGGCAGCGTCCGGTCCTGGAAGCCGTCTTGCACACGCTGTCCGCCGATAATCTGCTGTCCGACCAGCGCAACCATCTGAGACACGTTGATGCTGGAACCCTTGGAACCGGACGTGGCCATGATCAGGGGCGAGTTGTATTTGCTCAGCTGCGCAATACACTCGTCACCGGCCTGTTGACGGACTTTACTGAGAATACCGGACAGCTGGTTCTCCATGGTCTGCAGTTCGTCGCAGCCCGGATACTTTTCCAGTGTACCGGCCTTGTACTTGGCAATGACCTCGTCACACTGGGCGTAGGCCGTCTCGACCAGGTCATTCTTCGAGCGCAACAGCTTCTCACTGGGATAGACATCGGTGATGCCGATGGAGAAACCCATGTTCGTGAACCAACGCGCGGACAGCCTCGACAGGCGGTTCATGCCCTCCGCGGCTGCCGGCGGGCCGAAATCACGCAGCATAATGTAGAACACATTATCCTTCTTACCCGAACCCACGGTCGACTTGTCCATCACGCCGCACATGACCTCCGAGTTGCGGACCACGAGCCAGGCGTCGTTGGGATCCAGGTCCTTCGGGCGGCCGTCTTTGGGTGCCTTGAACTGACGGCACGCAGCGTCCAAGTTGACCATCACGGGGTCGTCGTTGTTCGGACGCATGAGAATGTTGAACACTTGCTTTCCGGTCCAGAGCATCTGCGGCTTGAGCACGGATGGCGGGGGCAGATCAAACCGGGTTTCGGGGCCGAGCATGTACAAGCACAGCTGGGTGAAGTCCCGCCTGTTGAAAAAGTTGTCCTTGCCACTGAGAATGAACGCAGCACTGATGAAATCCTGAATGGCCGAAATGATAGGTTCTCCGTTCTTGGGGGTGGCCAAGTTGTTCTTGACGCCCATCAGCTCCATGGCTTCGGCGCGGGCTTCTTCCGTCTGGGGCACGTGCAAATTCATCTCGTCTCCGTCGAAATCGGCGTTGTACGGGTTACAGGCACATTCGTTGAGTCGGAACGTCCGATGCGGACGGACCTTGGCGAAATGGGAGAGGATACTGAGCTTGTGGAGGGAGGGCTGCCGGTTGAACAGCACGATGTCGCCATCCTCAATGTGCCGCTCGACGACGTCTCCTTCCTGCAGCTGGTCGGCGATCATCTTGAGATTACCGTACTTGAGGAAATTCTTGAACGTCGATCCTTTCTTCACGAGATAGTTCGCGCCGGGCCATTTCTTGGTCCCGTTGCGCACCCGCTCCCGTAGTTTCTCCTTGTTGTAGCGTGTGACGACCTCGGGGTAGGTCATGTTCTTGGCCACCAGCACTGGCACGGCAACCTCATCCACCCGCAAGTTGGGATCGGGCGAAATGACCGTTCGACCCGAAAAGTCGACACGCTTGCCGGACAAGTTTCCACGGAATCGCCCTTGTTTACCCTTTAACCGCTGCACGAATCCACGAATGGGCTTCCCAAGATCCGCTTTGTTGAGACCCGGAACATCGCTGTTAATGTAGACGGCAATCTGCAGCTGCATGTAATCCCAGCATTCCATGATCGTCTGGACCGGCGCTCCCTTCAGCAGGGCATTCTTGAGGTTGATGTTACTCTGGACGATGTCACCCAGCTTGGCCGTCAAGTCGTCCTCCGTCGATGCCGCATCCTGACCCACAGAAGGCCGGATACAGACCGGCGGGGCGGGGATATACTGCCAGAGGAACATCTCCGGTCGGGCCTCTGTCGGGTTCAGTCCCAGCAGCTCGCAATCGGTGTCGGTGATCTTTTTGAACAAATTGAGCACCCGCAGCGCATTCATATCATCCGAAGCCTTCTTGTAGTGTTTCTCCACCTCGGGGTTGGAAGTCCGGGCCTCTTCGAACGACCGATCGAACACAATCTTGCTGGGCGGCGGGATCTTCTTGACGGAGGTCGACGCGTTGAACGCGCGGAATTTATCGTGGGCGATCTTCAGGGCGCTCGTGCCGGCCTTCTTGACGACGCCGTTGATCGCCCCGCAACACTCACAGACGCGGGTTTTGCGGCACCGTTCGTTGATCCGTTTCGCGATCTGCATCCGCCGCAGATTATCCAGGCCCGGGCGTCGCATTTCCCGCAAAAACGCCCGTCGGTCGGCCTCGGGGAGGAGAATCCGGGAGCATTCCTTGCACACTTCCTGCAGGATGGTGATGACGCGCTTGAAGTATCCCACGTGGAAACTGGGCAATACCAGCTTCACATGGCCGAAGTGCCCGTTGCACACCTGGAGTGCACCACCGCAGGTTTGACATGCCCCCGACTTGCTTGATATACCCATGCGCGAATCCAGGGGACCGTGCGGCACCACCGCCCTGTCATGTTCGAGGTCGAAGAATTTCCGGTCCGAGACTTCCACGACACCTTGGCTCACAATGTCATCGTTGGACCTACGGAGGCGACGGTTAGTGTCTGTCTTCCACTCGTCCCGGCTCTGGAGTCCACGTACAAAACACCAAACTTCAACTGGCTGATCACTTTGGGAACACGGTCGATGACCTGGGCCTTGCCCAGGTCGACCTGCACACCTTCTTGAGGCTGCATTGCCGGGATCAAAGGTAGAGCATGGCACGGTATGACTCAGAAAGGCGATGCGACAGGAGAATCTCAAGTAGACAGATTGGTGTGGTCGACGCAGTCACAGCCTGGGACCTATCTCAAATAGCAAAGAGCAACAGACCAGAGCAGAAAGGAAGGGAAGAGAGATGTGGATGAAGAAAGATTGCGGCGGGGTCGGCGACGAACTTCGATTTTTTGCGCAAAAAGTCGCAGCTCCCGCCCCTCCGCCCCGCCGGCCAATCACAGAGGGCCCTGCATGCGGAATCTCCCGTCACGGCCAATGGAAATTGCAGAAATGTTACAAACGATCAGATCGAAAAGCTTGACATGATTGGGTGTGATGGATATTTGTATAGATATTTGTATTGAAAAATACACTGGACTGGCTGGATGAAGTGCCTGATGTAGTCCGCATATATGGTCGGGGATATACTACATCGCAAGTGAACTCAAAAACTCCATTATGATACACACATATTCACTATACACTATTTGGCCAAAAATGCCTGGAACGCCTTGTGCTCAATCACGACGTTCCCAACTGCCCGCAGTCTCTTTCGGCCTTCTTTCTGCTTCTCCAGCAGCTTCCGTCGTCGACTGACATCGGCCGCGTGCAACTTGGCCAGAACGTCCTTCCGGTAGGGCTTGATGGTCTCTCGCGCCACGATCTTGCGTCCCACGGCGGCCTGGATGACAACCTCAAAGAGCTGTCGGTCGACATGCTGCTTGAACTTGGTCACCCACTGCCGTCCCAACCGGTCGACCTGGCTGGTGTGGACGATGCGCGCGACCGCGTCGACGGGGGCCTTGTTGACCAGGAGCTGTAACTTGACGATGTTGCTGCGCCGCCACCCGGACTCCTCGTAGTCGAGCGAGGCATAACCCTTCGTGGAGCCTTTGAGCTTCCCGAAGAAGTCGTCGACCAGCTGCGCCATGGGGAGCTGGTACTTCAGGATCACCTGCGTCGAGGTGAAGTACTCCAGGCTCTCCTGCTCGCCGCGGTTCGCCTCGCACAGTTCAATCGCCTTGCCGAGATACTCTTCCGGGAAGGTGAGAGTCGCCAGAACGTAGGGTTCTTGTAGCTCGGCCACCTTGGCGCGCAGGTCGTCCTCCTCGGGGAAACGAGCGGGGCTGGTGATGACTTCCTCCTTGCCATCCTTCCAGAGGACCTTTACAGGCACCGAGGGCGGGGTGATGATGATGCTGGCTCCGTGCTCCTGACGCAGACGGTCTTCGAACACCGAGCAGTGCAGCGTCCCCAAGAATCCCAGTCGGAATCCGGCACCGAGAGCCTCGGAGGACTCCTTCTGCACGGTGATACTGCGGTCATTCAACATGAGGTGGGTGATGCTATCTTCCAGATGCTCAAAGTGGTCGGCGTCCACGGGATACGCGGCCACAAACACCATGGACTTGGGCTCCTCGAAGCCGGGAAGCGGCTCAACGAGCTTTTGCATCCCGACGTGCGTGTAGGTGTCACCGATCTTGGCCTCCTGACTCCGTTTCATTCCAGGGTTGAAGTAGATGTATCCAACCTGGCCCGCGCGGAGAACCGACTGGGGGGTCTCGTTGGGGTACATGATGCCCACCTCTCCCACGTAGTATTTAATGCCTGTGACGAAAGATATGATGTGGTTACCGGCTCGAATTTCGCCGTCGAATATGCGGACCAGACAGATCACGCCTTTGTACGGGTCGTACCACGAGTCGACCAGGAGCATTCGGAGAGGCTTGTCGAGGTAACCGACCGGGCTGTTAAAAATTGTCAGCTCACGAACAACGGCGCATTATTAATTCAACGTCAACATACGCAGGGATCTTTTCCACCACCGTGGGAAGCAACTGCTCGACGTTCAAGCCCGTCTTCGCTGAGACCATCACCGCGTTCTCCGTATCAAGCTCGAAGGAGGACCTCATCTGCTCGAGGGCCCGCTCCGGATCCGCTGAAGGTAGGTCGACTTTGTTGATGACCGGGATCAGTTCCAGATCCTGGGCGAAAGCGAGGTAAAAGTTCGCGACCGTCTGTGCCTGGACACCTTGGCTAGCATCGACCAGCAACAAGGCGCCCCCGCAACTGGCGTAACTGCGCGACACCTCCGCGCGGAAGTCCACATGCCCCGGCGTATCGACGAGATGCAGGAGGTAATCCTCCCCGTTGTGGTTGTATATCATAGAGCATGTCTGCGCCTTGACCGTAATTCCTCGTTCTCGTTCGACGTCTAACTTATCGAGGACCTGTTTGTTCGTGCCGGGTTGAATCGTACCCGTGAGTTCGAGGAGTCGGTCGGAAAGTGTACTTTTCCCATGGTCGACATGCGCCACGATACAGAAATTCCGGTATCTTTCGATAGGGATCTCCGCGATGCGGTGCTCCAGGTCAGAAAACGAGTGACTGCTCGAGGATTTGGAGGATTTGGAGGTTTTCGAGGCCCAATAAGCAGCGGAAGTGGTGAAAGGCCGGGCGTTGATACAGCCGGATGGCGCCTTAAAAAGGCTCGCAGCTGGGCGTTTGGGCGCTGCGCTCAGCCATCTGGCTAACTGCAAGCATCCTCGCATCTGGAGGTCTGCAATTGCATGGGAATCGGGGGTAATATAAGAGAATCTTCAACGAAAGCAGGCGCGTTGATTGAATCGGTTAGTGTCCATCCGGCAGTAAAATTGTTGCGGCGGAGAAAATGCCGGGCGGTGTGGGTGATTGCTGCAGCGACTATCGTGGTAAACAAAGCTCCCTCTTTCTTAGACACATTCTACATCTCCTCTATACAGTTCGAAATCCGTTTCTGATTCACACTCGGGTCATCATGTCTTCCGCGGCCAAAGACAAGTCCAAGGTGCACAAGCTGTCTCTCAAAGGTACGAGTATCGCTGTGGGCATGTATGATGATCGGCAAGCTCACTCCAGTAGGGTCGTCCAAGCTGGTGTCGGAATTCGTGAGTATACATGCACCTGTTTAAACACGACGGTCAGGCTAATTTATCAGTTTGAATACTCGATCAACTCGATTCTGTAAGGACTCAGTGGTGGCATACATGGGCTCTACTTACAAAGGTTAGCTTCCAGCGCGGAGTTTACCCGCCGGAGGACTTTACGACGTCAGTGCTATCTTGATCAACCCTTACTCGCAGAACGAAACTAATTTTGATCAGAGTCAAGAAATATGGCCTCAACATGCTTGGTTCGTCTCCAGCTTCCTTTCTATCCTACCCCGCTGACGGAACCAGTGTCCTCGGACGACCAGGTCAAGGCGTACATCAAGAAGATCATGTCCCAATTGAACAAATGGATGGCGGGGGGTAAAATCTCCAAACTGGTAGTGGTCATCACAAGCAAAGAAACCGGCGAGCACGTGGAACGATGGCAGTTTGATGTGGGTGTTCTTCCATGCAGGCCACTGCAGCAGCTGACCAGCCCAGGTCCAAATATTCGGAAAACACAGCAGGAGCAAATCGTCTCAAAAAAGCGGCGACAAAGAAAACGCGGGCCCAGAGTTAGTCTACTCCATCCCTTCATCTCTATGGTTCACTAACGGAAATGGGATCTAGCGACGCAGCCAAGACCGTACAAAAGACCGAAAAGGAAATCCAAGACGAAGTCCAGGCCATCTTCCGCCAGATCACCGCATCCGTCACCTTCCTACCTGTCCTCGACAGCGACTGCACATTCAACGTACTCGTCTACGCGGACGCCGACTCGGAGGTACCGATGGAATGGGGCGACAGCGATGCCAAGGAGATCAAGGACGCTGAGAAGGTGCAGCTGCGCAGCTTCAGCACGAATAACCACCGCGTGGAAACGCTAGTCAGCTACCGTCTTGCGGATTAGCTGCGGAATGGAAGGCTATACGGCGTTTGGATTGGGTGGTTCAGGATCTATGATTTCAGGTGTATCGACATTCACACATGCTACACAATTACAAATGACTCACGAATGAAATAAACCATCTCTATTCTCTTACAAAACCCATCCCTCTAAGACAGATCACGAACAAAACCACTCAAACCAAGGCAACATCTCCAACCTCCCAAACCACGAGCCCCCATCCCAACAAACCAACTCCTCCACGACCTTCTCCAACCCAACCCCAACAAACACTCCCCTTTCCATCCCACCCTCCCACCCCCTCTTCCTCCTCTTCGCAGCCAGCTCCCCCAAAACCCCATACGGATCGTCCCTCCAAAGCCCAATCCCGCTCTTCTCTTCCCCGGCAAGTAGCCCTTCTAGCGGGGCAATTTCCTCGGGGGGGTTGATCCCGATGACTTTCACCTTCGCGTCTAGTCTGCTATTATCCACACCAGTAGAAGTAAAAGAGGACAGCACCGGACGCAGCCCAAGAGCCGGAAAATGCCACTCCATGAACCTCCGCCGCTTGAACTCGTGCGTCACGACAGTGATCCGGCGGGGATAGACGCCAGTCACGAGTCGGAAGTGAAGGAGTGAGAAGAGCACGTTTTGGTAGGAGTCTACGGCGTGCGTTTCGGGGTGGATTTGTGAGGCGGAGACGTTGAATGAGAAGAGGTTGTTGTCGCTAGCTAGGTTCTGTTTGTGTGAGTGGTGGATTTGGTCCTTTGTATAGTAGATGTAGGAGGGAGGAGGTAGGCAGTAAGTAGGTAGATAATATCAGAGGGGCTATGCGCTGAAGGCAAATGATCATATATCTCGACAACATCCATAACAAGACCCGAGTGGTAAGAAAAGGCCAAACTTACGAAATATGACTCCCCCTCTGTCAACGCCGTTCGGTCTTTCTTCGTGGCGCCTCTAGATACAGTCAGTTTCGTTCCTGCCAAAATTATATCCATTTTCTCCTTCAACAATCCCAACAGAAGACCCAACCCAACCCAACCACTTCAACAGCCAGACATATATACACATATGTATCCCGATAGGTAAATAAATAAATAGAAAGAACTCACCCCGAGAAAACAAGAATCCCCCCAGGATCACCTTCCAACAACTCCAACCCAGCCTTGACATGCTGGGTATAAGTAGGCGTTTCGCCTTTCTGGAAGGGCTCTATTAACCTATTTGTACCGGTGGTCCCTTATATTAGCGTGTTGCTTTCTGCTGTTTGGTTTATCCTGTATGTCGAGGAATATAAACCAGCCTGTATGTATATCTATCTATATATAGAGTATGGAAAGTAAATGTTCGGTTTACACACCATTCCTCTTCAGAGGCACCATTTGTCGGTCCCCCGATGTATATTGCGTGGCAGCAAACTATTATCAGGTGTGTGCAATGGCTGAGGTCCATTTGCTGCGGTTGTTCTTATAGATGTAGTGTATGCTAGAACAACTTGTGTGAAGCACAGACTCGTTGGTGATGCTAGATATGTAGCAGTATTGATGATTGTAGGAAATAGATCCATGTCAATAAACACCTACTTGGGAACTGATCGCGTTTCAAGATATTACCTAATCAGCCTGTATCTGGAGCGTCGATGAAGTTCAACGTACATATTTAAGTACCTATGTTTTGTTTATTATATATACATCACAAAGACAGTTCATTTGGTAATATACTATGTTATTTAGTAAGTGGTCTTTAGAATCTCCTTGCCCCTTTCTCGACCGGCGCAACTTGGTTGGTAGTCAAAGTACTACTACTACTACTCATCTGTGATATGGTGTATGAAACATGTGTAGTATGAACATCATAGCCGCTACGCCAAAACGTTGATCAACGTTTGGTATTGGGCTTAACCTGACTTATATCCTAATAACTCATGCAAAAAGTGGACTAACAGTAGTAATAGTAGTAATAGAGGATAGTAATAAAAGAACCCAACAAAAAACAGACCAACAATCCAACGGTAGTAATAAAACAGGGATAGTGATAACTCCTGACCTAAACACGAGAAAAATAGACCAACAGACCTTGTAATAAGAATCAAAAAAAGAACAAAGTGATACCTCCCGCAGGGAGTTCATCACAATCGCTACACCCAAGAATTAACCAGCATTTGGTATAGGGCTTAACCTGACTAATATCCTAACAATTCTAAAAAAAAGGACAGACCAACAGTAGTAATAGTAGTAATAGTGATAATAGTAGTGATAGAGCGGATAGTGATAGAGGAACCCATCAAAAAAACAGACCAACAGATGAAAGTGACAACAGTAGTGATAAAAAAATAGTGATGACTCCCGCATTTAAAACAGACCAGAGTGATAACAGTAGTAATAAGAACCCAAACAAAGAACAAATCCATCAAACAGGAGAATCCCAAAAGTCAATGCACAATACTGGCTCGCCGGCACAGCAGAAACAGAACGCCGCAATACACTGCCATTGAAGAATATTCTAAGAAGGAAAAAAGGGTATCAGAGATGTATAAATAAAAGAACAAGGGATGCTAGATCAGGAAGGATCATGACGGTAGGTGCAATCGCTGCCTTTGCGGCATTTGCCAGACGCCCAGTACCGGCATGGAACCAACCCCACTTTCGGGTGTTGCTTGTTGGGCGGATTCGGCTTGTTCCGCTTGGAGTACCTCTCATCGTCCGTGCCATCAAAGGCCGTCTCACGCATCCGTTTGCGTTCGGGGTCCTCGTGCAAGCCGTGGGTTTGGTAAGAGTTGACTCCGTTCTGCTGGTTTTGACCAGTAAACTGAGAGATGATAGCGGCGAGATTGGGCGGAATGCTTGGCTGCTGTGGCGGAGGGACTTGCGGCTGCAGGGCTGGCTGCGCCTGCTGCTGGGCATTCATGATAGCAAACATCGCCTGCATATCAGGGGTAAATTGTGGCATCGGCATCACAGGGGCCGGCTGCTGTTGGGAGGCTTGCGGTGGTTGTTGTGACAGCATGCTCACCGTCCGCTCCAGATCCGACATTGCAGTCTGGGCGGGTTGGGGTGGCGGCGGTGGGGTGGATTGTTGCTGCTGTCCACCGAGCATTCGAAGCAAATTGGGGATGTCAATTGGGGCGCTTGGGGTGTTTGTCTGAGCAGGGATTGGCGGCTTGGGATGAACAATCGAGTAATACCGTTCAGAACGGGCCTTGATAACCATGTTAGATGCTGGAGGAAAGGGCGGGGGGACGGTCCAAAACAGAGATAAATGGAAGACATACCTTGATATGATCAGGGACTTCGCCAAAAGGAACGACTTCCACTGCAGGCTCATCATCACTGGGCAGTGGGGGCTCTTTAGGTGAGGGCGGCACATCCCCAGGTGCGTAAATCTCCATCAGTGTGTTGGCCTCCCGGTGTTCCTGAGCTTTGTTCTCCTGGCTGGTAGGCTGCTGAGTACCACCACGTTTGAAAAAGTTCCTGGCTTGATCCTCCAGTCCGATCCCGGTGTAATCAATTTCTATAGCAGTCAGTAAACATGCTTGCAAGACGCAAAAGGAAAAAGAAAAGAAGTAAGATAAAAGCAAGTCTTGAACACATACCGGACGGCTCAAAGTAGTCAAGCATATTCTCTTCACGAAGGCTGGCATCGTCGTCTTCGTCCAATTCAAGATCCCGGTGGAGCTTGAGCGCGCTGCCCTCACCCCTGAGGTCGCCCACATCTCGCGAGCGGTCGCCGGGCCCAAGCTCTTCCTCCGGATCGTGAGTGAAGAAACGAACCTCGGTGAGCTCGCTGTCTGACTTCCATGAGACACGCAATTTCCGTCGAGCCTCTTTACGCAGCCTCTGCTCGCGTTCTTCCTCCGTCTCAGGGGGTGTATCCTCGGCTGGCTCCTCCGGACTAGGGTCCTTGGGCTTGCTCAGGCCCGCCATAATATCACCCAGAGAGAAGGGTGGGGGACACGAGTTCGGAACTGCGCGGCGCTTTTTGTTGGGGCCAGCGTTTGTCTTGGCCGCAGCAGCCGCCGCTCTCTCTGCGTTCGACGTCCCTGGCCTCTTGGAAGCCGAGCTCAAAGTTCCAAACAGGTTGGTCACCTTGGGTGCCACGACCTGCGCTTTTTGGGTACGGGCGGCCGTTGGTGGTTTATCGGCTGGCCCAGCTTCTGGGCGCTTGGCAGGACCATTCGACGGGGCATTTGACGGGGCCCTAGGAACATTCTTGGCCTGGGAAGTAACCACCGTTCTCTTAGTCGCTGGTTGGCCGTCACTCTCGCTCTCCCGGGATTGTTTCGACCCCGCCTGCTCGGTCCCAGCAGGGGTGGCACTTTTGGTGGGAGACCCTGATTTGGTACTGGACTTGGCAGTCTCCTGCTTCTGCTCTGTGCGGGCGGCCGCATTGTCGAGTACTTTCTGTGCAAGTTCCTTCACAACAGGACTACCTTTCTTGACATAACGCGACAGTAACTTGGCAATATTGGTTTTGGAAAGAACATCTTCGTCCATCGTCACAAAGCGAGAGAGCAACTAAGGCGATGGTGAGCTCATGCCACAGCGGACTGGGGGAAATAGGGAGAGGGGCAAGCCAAGATTTACCTTGAGAATATTCACGGTCAAGGGACAGTTCATCTTCGAAGCCTGATGTTGGTCCAGGAGGAAAGAATAGAGGGAGGCCACGATCATAGGATGTTCACCCAATCTGTATTCCACGTTAGCGAGCTGGTCAGATCAGGGAGGGGAAGAAATGGAAACATACTTCTCGACAATAAGTGGATGACCCTTGTCTAGTGTCGTAGTGACGACGATGTCCATGTATCGCCGCTGGTTTTCCGCACTCTCCATCTCCAGCTGGGCCCCACAAAGGAGAGCATGGTTGCTCAGCACTTGCCCGGGCGATGAGGCCCGCTCCGCCCGTAGCTGCTCCGTACGTTTCAGGGCCTGCGTATCTGCCCGCAGCTTATCCCGGATCGACTTGACCAGTTCTTTGTATCCGTCGAGTGCGGATCTGACCTTGTCCGCCTCGGGCTGTCTATTCCGGGGGAACCACACAATTTGGAGGGTGTCATATTCCACACGAGACTCCGGTTGGGTCGGACGAGCCGAAGGGATCGGTGACGGCTCCTCAGGCTCTACAATTTCCAGGTCCGACTCGTCCGATTCATCGTCGGAGACAGAATCCTCTTCAACCTCTTCCTCGATGCTGGCTAATGGCGACGGTATGGCTGCGTTTCGCCTCTTGGGCTTACGGGGCTTCTTCTTCTTCCGGGCATCCAATAACCTCTTTGGCGGCGCGGGTGGCAGTCTAGGATGACCTATTTGTCACCGTTAGTAAAAGAATGCGAGCCATACGGGATTCGGGGCAAACATACCGTGCATGACCGACGGAGTGACACCCATGCTGGACGTCGCGGCGGGCGTTGGCTGATTATTGGCAGCCGGCGGTGGCTGATGGTTGGGAGCGGGCGTTGGCTGATGATTGGCAGCAGGAATTGGCCGATTATTGGCAGCCGGCACCACAAATTGCAGATCATTGCGAAAATAATCGAACGGTCTAACATGTCCCGTCAGCTCAGAAGCTCCATAGACGAAGCGGGAACAGAGGGATCATAACATACCTGGAGTCCTCCGGACGGTCGAAGTCGGAGGGGTTGACGTAAATGGAATGGTTATGAGAGTTATCCGCTAGCTGAGGAGTCCCAAAGAATAATGGGTTCATAGCAGATTGGTCCGAGACGCCCGAGACGCCCGGGAGGCCTCTCAGGCCCGCGAGGCCCGAGGCGCCCGGGATGCCCACGATGCCCGAGATGTCCGTTGCCGTGGACACCTCGCTAAGGTTGACTTGGCGGGGGGGGTTTCCGGAGCTCTCGTCCCCAAACCCTAGCGGGAGGGTGTATTCAGACATGGAATTCTGATGCCCCGCCGGCTGTGAGAAAGACATGGAGTGACCGGGCTGTAGTTGCTGCGCCGGGGGGGAATGTGACTGTGAATGTGTCGGTGGGAAGGTGTCGGGCACCGACAGATGCTGGCCGTGATAAAGACCAGATGACGAGAACTGCTGCTGGAACTGTGGGGCTTCCGGTGCGTTGAACGTCACGGGCGTATGGCCCTGGGAATACTGGGGCACCTGCCGATACTGTGCCGGCAGGCCAAACCCCTGGGGGGTAGATGGCATCAATGATGCTTGATGTAGCGGGTTTTGTTGCCAACCCTGGTGGCTTGGGGTCGAGTAAAGCCCATCTTGTGCGCTTGGTAACGGACTCCGCCGCGGCTGTGAAGGCTGCTGTTGCGGTTGTTGGCCATGAGGCTGGTTAAAGACAGCATGGTCCCAGCCGATACCCAAGGCCGGTTGCTGATGAGCTTGCTGATGATCTAGCTGATGGGCTTGCTGGTGATCTAGCTGATGAGATTGCTGATGAGCTTGCTGATGAGCTTGCTGACGAGCTTGCTGGTGATCTAGCTGATGAGCTTGCTGACGAGCTTGCTGTTGATCTAGCTGATGAACTTGCTGACGAGCTTGTTGATGAACTTGCTGATGAGCTTGCTGATGAGGTTGAAGAGGTGGTTGAGGTTGTTCAACCGGTACTTGAACAGGTAGTTCCGGTGAAATACCATGCTCTTCAGGGTTGCTAGTGATGAAGATCGGTTCTGGAGGATGCCAGAAGTCGAGTGAGTCGAGTGACAAGGTTGTCGGCCGTCGACCGATCGGCATATTCATGTTGGGTAACGAACGTATGTGATTATGAGAATCAGAATGGTTTTGCTGCATGGTGGTGGGAAAGAACGAAGGAGAGAGGGGGGGATGTCGTTGCCCTGGTATATCAAAACGAAGGACACCGCCTTCAAGTAAAAAGAAAAACCGGCAGAACGGCCTGACCGAGGCAGAAAGTCAAAGGCGGAGTGAACCGTGGGTCTCCTTATCGGTCTGCAGGTGCTGATTGGCCACTAAGCCCAGCGACCACTCAGGGTGTCTGGGCGGAATTAACAAATCAATTCCCGCTCCAGTCGTCTGGTCGACTTCACTTTTGTTTTAAGTTCTTGTTGATACAGAATTTTCAGTCTTCAAACTCACGGAAATTCCGGTCGAATAGAAAAATGGGGAGGTTGGGAGGTTGGGAGGATGCGAGGCAGCAATACCTCTGGGTGACACCTTAGGATACCTGGTAGGAATAGGTAATGGCAGACTCTCAACGAGGCCGATGGTGTTGGGCTTATTGCTGTTGGAGCTCTTAATCCATGTAGAGTCCACACACCATTTGCCTGGGATTTCTCGTTTCTCTTTGGTTCCTTCTGTCCTTGTTCCTGTTCCTGTTCCTGATTTTCGGGTCCGGGTGCCTTAGGCGGATATTTTTAGGAAGCCGGTCTGTTCTGCGATCCGGCTTAGGATGCAGTTGCGTCTGGAAGGTGATAGGGCTGCCCTTTAAGATAGACAGGGGCCACTCCAACGCTTGCACACGATCAACGACCACCTTAGGACCTTAGGATTAGAAATAGATGGCTGGTCAACTACCCGTTTTTCGAATACGCCGACCGGCCAACTACTCTGTAACAAGTAGACGTAAAATAGACTCAAGGAAACAAGGCAAAAACAACAGGAAATATAAGAAAAAAAAAAAAAAGGCAAAAGAGAAAAGGAAAGACAGGGAAAGAGTCTCTGTGACTCTTCTTTAGACTTTCTTCTTCTGTTTTTTTTTTTTCTCTTTCTTTCTGCTCCTTTCGGATGTTCCCTTCAATCTTGTTGTCGCCTTAGGTTCTTGATTCCTTTCTGTGCTCTCCCGCTTTTGTCCTATATCCCAGACAAATTTATTCTTCCTCGTCCCTGATCCCTCGCGCTGTAGTTCTTTTCTGATTCTTCTTCAGTTCTCTTGTTTCTTCAGTTGCTTCTTCTTCCTCCGCGTGTATCCCGTTTGCTTTATGTGTAAGAGAGCCTAGAGAAAATCCCGGCTGTGCTGCCTTTTCCGGACGTATCGTTGCTCCTAAGACAAACTTAAAGAACGATATTAACGAAAGGATGGTTTTTTCATACACAGAACCAAACTGAACCGCTGTACCACAGCATGATCATTCGCTTTACGAAAAGTATAGAGGGGGGTAGATGATGGAGATGGGGGAAGTTGGGAGGAGAAAGGGTGACTGATTCGATAGGGAACGAGGAGGGAATGAAAGGTCGTTAGGTTACCGAACGCGCCAGGCCAAGAGACGGGGGTCACGTGGACGGGGTGCTGGGGTTTGGAGTGTTTGTTTCGATGATAGTCATCCTGATAGATGCCAGGTGGAGCAGCGGGACTATCTACGAGAGACCTCCCTTTACGCTTCAGATTCAATTGTTCGTCTTCACCTACTGGTAGATTTGGGTTCAATATCTACCCTACACGCTTCTCCCTCTTTATTCCCGCCCTGTCATGAGTTTGAGCCACGCCCCGTAATTCTTATCCCACTCCAGAGGCGTGGTGCAGACTTCAGCCACCATGACGTCGCAATCCTTGTCTCTCCGCGACCGTCAGGTCGGTAGGTTCTGGTCCTTTCTGATGGTGGAATGATAGAACACGGATATGAGAATGGGACTGACAGTTGTCGCAGCCTCGATCCAGAAGATCCTGAATTTGAACCACGATACCATTCCCGCGGAGGACTCCCACGATGCCTCAGGCCAAGGCCTCGTCTCGCAGTCGACCCCGGTGCTGAACGAGGACGGCGATCCGATTTGGAAGATCTTGGTGTTTGATAACCTCGGTCGGGATGTCATCAGCAGTGTACTCCGTGTCAATGACCTGAGGTCCTGGGGGGTGACGATTCATCTGTACGTATCACTCCATCGTCTGATCTGTCGTATGCATGCCTAACGGCCCGCTCCAGGAACATCAACTCCACTCGCTATCCCATCCCCGATGTCCCTGTCTTATATCTCGTCGAGCCCAATGCCGAAAATGTCAAGTTCATCTCGGAAGACCTTTCCCGCGGCCTCTACTCCCCCGCCTATGTCAACTTTCTCTCGTCCGTGCCACGCCCCCTCCTGGAAGACTTTGCCTCGCAGGTCGCCACGTCGGGAGCGTCGCAACACATCGCGCAGGTTTATGATCAGTATTTGAATTTTATCGTCGCCGAACCCGACCTGTTCAGTCTGGGTCTAGGCAAGGATGCGTACTGGAAGATCAATAGCGCTCAGACCAGCGATGAGGATCTGGATGCCATCGTCGACAGGATCGTGAGCGGACTATTCAGCGTCAGCGTCACAATGGGTATGAACTTTCCCTCTTCTTCTTATTATTTCTTCTCCTTATTAACAACCACAGGTGCGATTCCCATCATTCGCTGTCCCAAAGGTGGAGCAGCAGAGTTGATCGCCACCAAATTGGATCGAAAACTCCGCGACCACATCCTAAACTCTAAAGACAACCTGTTTTCGACCAACAAGAAAGACGCTTCGGGCGTCCCCGCGGCGCGACCCGTCCTCATCATCGTGGATCGCAATGTGGACCTCGTCCCGATGCTGTCCCACTCGTGGACGTACCAGTCGCTGGTGCAGGATGTCCTCCAGATGCGTCTGAATCGCATCACGCTGGAGACCCCGGTGGATGACACGAACCCGGCGAAGGGCGTCACCAAGAAGTCATACGACCTCAACGCCAGTGATTTCTTCTGGAAGCGCAACGCGGGCGCGCCGTTCCCACAGGTGGCCGAAGAGATCGATGCGGAACTAACGCGATACAAGGAAGACGCCACCGAGGTGACGCGAAAGACCGGCGCTTCGTCGATTGAGGACCTTCAAAATGATACCAGCGCGTCAGCACAACACCTCAAAGCGGCGATCACCCTCCTCCCGGAACTGCGAGAACGCAAGGCGATCCTGGACATGCACATGAACATCGCGACAGCCCTCCTCAAGGGCATCAAGGATCGCCAGCTGGACAACTTCTTCGAGCTAGAGGAAAACATCACCAAGCAGACCAAGGCGCAGATCATGGAGCTAGTCAACGACACCTCCAAGGGCAACGACCCCACCGACAAGCTGCGCCTCTTCATCATCTGGTTCCTGAGCACGGAAACCGAGGTGTTGCGCGCAGACATGACGCAGTTCGAAGAGGCCCTAGCCCGCGCCGGCGTCGAAGACGTCAGCGCCCTCGCATACGTGCGCCAGGTGCGCGAACTCACCCGGATGACAATGATGACAACCGCCACGCCGCAACAGGGGCAGCAATCCCAATCATCAGACCTCTTCCGCGGTTTCTCCTCGCTCTCCAACCGCCTCACAGACCGCATCACCTCAGGCGCCTTAGGCGCCAACTTCGACTCGCTCATCTCGGGCGTGAAGAACTTCCTCCCAGTCAACAAAGACCTAACGCTGACCAAAATCACCGAGTCCATCATGGACCCCCAGTCCGCGTCCAGCTCTGCCATCGCCAAAACCGAAAACTACCTCTACTTCGACCCCCGCAGCGCCAATGCCCGCGGCGCCATCCCCGCCGCGTCTGCCTCGCGCAACACCCAGCCCACCAACCCCCTCGGCGGGCCCAGCCCGGGCCAAACCGCCAGCTTCGGCCAGCGCCGCCAGGCCTTCAACGAGGCGATCGTCTTCACCGTCGGCGGCGGCAGCATGGACGAGTACGGCAACCTGCAAGACTGGGCGCGTCAAACGGATGGATCCCCCGCCGACGGCAGCGTCGCACAGGGCGGTCGCGCCGCGGCGTCGCTGGGCCCTCGACGACGGGTGGTGTACGGTAGTACGGACGTGATGAACGCGCACGACTTCCTGATGGAGTCGCTGGCGAAATTGGGGAAGGAGACTTGAGTTTAGCTGTAAGGCTGTGTGATAGACTGGCTGTTTAATAGCAATAATGGATACATTGGAAATTCTTCTTCTTTCTTTTTTACTATTCCTTAATGTCCTTTTAATTAATGGATTTGGCAAGGATGCCTGGCTACTATACTACTGCTAATGTGTTTATACCTAGGAAGGTACGGGTATAACTAAAATGAAGAACGAAGAACGAAAGACGATAAAAGCAGAATTTACAAGAAGGAGCATGGTATCAGCATCGCAATGCAAAGCGCCATAATCAGGAAAGAATGGACGAGGAAAGGAGATGACATAGGGATGGTAGGCGACCTTGTCCTTGCCCAACTGTCTCTGTCCGTATGTTCAACGAGGGGGACATGCAGATCATTCTTCGAACGCACCACACAAAACGAAGATAAAACCCCTCAAAAGAGAGAGGGCGCAGGGGGAAAAAAGAAAAAAAAAGGAAAAACACAGAACAAGACAAAACAAAACAAAAGGAAAGGAAAGAAATCAAAAAAGAAAGAAGAAAGTAAGAAAAACAAGTTACACCCCAGCAGCCCCAGCCCTCCCCCCGCGATAACTCTCCTCGACAGAAATATCCCGCGCAACAGAAATCCCATACCCAACAGGCTCCTCGCCCGCCCGCCCGGAAGGAAAATCCTCATACTGTCCCGCATAGCACGTCGTATTTTGCTTTGAAGCGGCCGTCGCGGCTGTGGAGGCCGTGAACGACGACGAAAGCGATATGTCCTGCTTGGACTGCGCGGCGTGAGACCGTGATGCTGTCGCGTTGGGGGAGATGGAGAGGAGGTTCCAGAGGTTGCGGCGGGAGGAGTTGCTGTCGGTTGAGGAGCGGTGGTAGTCTAGGGCTACGCCCGCCCAGATGGAGGATAGGGGGAGGGAGAGGGTCACGAGGGTTAGGACGTTAGAGGCTAGTTCGGGGACGCCGACGAAGTATTGGAGAATGGAGAAGAGGGCTGTTTTTTCTTGATATCAGCACGAGGTGGTCGGGTTTATGGGGACAGGATTGAGGAAGGAGGAAAACACAAAGGAGGACGACGGGGAGAAAGGAGACCAACCTGGAATGACGAGCGTCTGACACCCCATGACGAAAATAGCTTTCATGGGACCAAACTCGCGCACACCGAGCGACTTGCGCATGCGGATGGCGACGCCCAGCTTGCCGATGAACACGCTGCAGAAGAAGCAGATGCTGACGGTGGTGACGATGTTGGTGGTGCTTTCCAGCCACTGGACGTGGTGGGCGGTGGATGCGTCGACGATTGCCTTGCAGTTTTCGATCATGAAGCCGAATCGGAACCCGACGGGGGTGAGCGCCACGGCAACAGATACGGCCAGGAGCAGATGGCGATATCTGCGGCGGACGGTGGCGCAGACGACCTGGGTCTGCAGGACGAGGGAGGTCTCGACGCAGGTGAGCAGGAGGGTGGCGAGCACGACGCCGAGGATGGACTCTGCGTAGGCGGAGGTCGGGACGCGCGAGAAGTCACCTGCGAAGTAGGGGTAGAAGTGGGCGAAGGGCGTGGTGAAGAAGACAGACTGGCAAAGGAGACGGCCGGCGTTGAGGAGCAGGGCGGCGGCGTTGAGGATGAAGACGCTGGAGGTGCGTTTCTCTGGTCTGGTGAGAAGCAGGAGGATGAGGAAGAGGACGAGCGAGGCGCCGAGCTGCGCGCCATAGTTGATGCTGATGCGGATGGCGTATTGCGCATACTCGTCCACCATGGGGACGGTGATGTTGATGGGGATGCCGTCTGCGGTGTATAGGGTGAAGGACTGGTTGAAGGGGTCGAAGGACATCTTCGTCTTTCTATCTGTCTTTCTGTCTCTGTCTTTCTCTGTTGGTTTAACTATCCAATCTAAGTATCTTGTATCAGGTGAGAATATCAGCAAGGTTGTAGTCCAAAGAGTGTAGCCAGACGAGAGATGAAGACGTAGAAGTACAAGGTTGCAGCAGGATGACCTCGAACCCTAACTCGAGTGACCCAGACAAAAGCGCCGCGGCAGTGCGACGCCCGAAACAGACAATAGCGAGGCTTTGAAAGAGTACGAGTGTAACAATCATAATGGCAACGTCTGTCGTAGACAATGACCCCGTAAACTGGTCTCTGTGGAGCTGCCACAAGAAATCCTGGTTGTTTGTCGTCTCTCTCCAAGACAAACAATGGAGATGAACAATATCAAGACGGGCAATCTCCTCAGCCACTTCCAACCAACATTTTACCCCCATTCACTGTTGGGTTGGTTTCAACTATATATAGGATCACTACTTACAATTCCGTTACTGCGACTACGGTTGTTTCATGCCAGAGCCACCAATTTGGTAGAATTGAATCGATAAATTTGATATAGGACCAGTATAGACCCAGCCACCCATGCACCAGTCAGACCTAACATCATTCCCAGGGGTGACCATTTACAAACATACAGTATATCCATGTCTAAAAGATTAATCTAAATAGCTGCAGTCCAGACCCGACTTGGAACAGACAAGCCTGCTATTCTGTCCAGCTGAGCTGAACGGGTTTCACGAACGGGTGTGAGAGGCTCTCCCAAATCTATTATATCCCATTCCCCGCGTTGAAGAAGGTGGTTCAGTGTAATTGAGTATGGGGTTTTCGAAAAATCAATTGTTTCATGGGGTGCGTGCTATAGACTATAGAAAGCAGGCCAGTGAGTCACTGGAATGGTTTCCAGACTGCGAGACAGCATTGGAGATCAGTCTGATTTCAAAGATAGCTGCAACCATCTAGACTGCTGTCTCTATAAATCGCTGCTATCATAAGCAAGCTATAAAGACACCCATCATTGATATAATCAAATGAAGAGCCGAGATGCCCAGTGTGACGCACAGGATGAAGTGTTTATATACATTCGTTAGGGTTAGATCCCACGGCAACTCCATATCTAAACAGCTGTGCTGGATATTGTACGTATATACTGTACAAATACATCTGAATATACCATCTATCTAACTGGTAACTGAATATACTATCTACTCTACTATCAAATCAGTCCAATAACAAAACAAGTCTTTATCAACCAAGGTGCATAGCTCAGGTTAATGAATGCAAGTTATGCCGGTCTGCTGAGTCAGCATGCGGGGGAAAGTCACGATGTCACCGAGATTCCTCAACTTCTCCATCTCGCTACTTGTCCCACTTGGCTCCGTCGTCATGGCTGCTGTGCCCCAGAGGACCCTGAATTGGCTGTACAGTGTGCTCATTAGGGTATTTTCTCTTGCGGTTCTTTGATCGTATCTCGCTGACCACTCCAGGACCACTACGATCCCCGCCAGACCTATCAAGACCCCAATCGCACCTACTATGATGTCGCCAACGTCCTGGCTCAGTATCCTTCCCTGTCTCCTCGCACCGACGTCTACAGTAAGTTTCGTCATATATCTGTCTAGATAGGCAGGAATTGATCATCGTCAGCCTTCGAGTCCGGTTTCTCCGCCCTCCTGCTCCAGCTTTCCGGCACGGTACCCGTGACGTTTCGCGGCACCATCTACAAGTTCCCCATATCGCTATGGGTCCCCAGTACCTACCCTCACGAGCCCCCGATCGTCTACGTGACTCCGACTCAGGATATGGTCGTCCGTGTCGGTCAGCATGTGACACTTGAAGGACGGGTCTATCACCACTACTTGGCGCACTGGGCAGACGCTTGGGAGGTTAGTCGCTCGCCATGTATACGCGTCTAAAGCTAACGAACACACAACCAGAGGTCCTCCCTGTCCGACCTGGTCTCCATCCTCCGCGAGGTCTTTGCAAAGGAACCTCCAGTCAAATACAAACAGCCGATGATGCCTCAAAGACCACCGGAGCACGCACAGACACCACCCCCTCGACCTCCGCTACCCGCCGAACTGGGGCCATCCACTCGCTCGCCGCCGCAGAGCGCTCCCTCTCCGCACATAACGGGCCAGGTACCACCGCCGCCCCCACCGAAACCAGGACAGGTGTCTGCTGGGCAGCCATCCCACGGGCAGCAGAGCGCAGCTCCGCCGGTGCCTCCCCTTCCACCCAAGGAGGGCGGCCCGCGATCGTCCTTCCACCCTCATGCAGCTGCCCCCAACCCAGAGCCTACACTGCAGTATGCGCCGCAGAATGGCGCACCAGAAGTACTGGGAAGACCCTACCATGCGCCGCAGTACCATGCAGCCCAGCCGGCAGGATATCCTCCCCAGCCACCGCCCCATCCGTCCATGCGCACACCCACCGCCCAGCTCCCTCCCCAAGCCCCCCCACACCCATATCCGCCGCAAGGTCCAACGCATCCAACGACCCAACCGCCAGGCTGGCATGCGCCGGCCTCTTTCCAGCCAGCGCAGGCATCGCCCCACCCAATGGCTCACCAGCCCCCTCCGCGGCCCAAGGCAGAGACCCCCGACCTCCTCACGTCCCCCTTCGAGGTGGAGCTCCCCACCATCACGCCCTCGGGCCCAGCACCACCCATCCCACCCAATCCCGAAAAGGACGCCCTCCTCCAAGCGGTTTCGAAGACCCTCGCCGAAACCCTGCAGGCCAACGTCACGCAGTCCGAATCCGCCGCGCACTCCCTCCTCTCCCAGTCCCAGTCCCTCCACGCCGCCCTCGCCACCCTCCAAACCGAAGCCTCCTCCCTCAACGCCCTCAACTCCACCCTCGAATCCAACACCTCCATCCTCCAACAGTCCCTCCACCGCGCCGACGCCGTCATCGCCGACGCCCAGTCCCGCATCCCATCCTCCGCCTCCGCCTCCGACCCCCACCCCCCAGGCCTCCCCCCCATCGACGACGTCCTCGTCGCCCCAACAGTCGTCGGCAAACAGCTCTACGACCTCGTCGCCGAAGAGCGCGGCATCCACCAGGCCATCTACGCGCTGCAGTCCGCGCTCGTCAAGGGCGTCATCTCCGTGGAGACGTGGTCGCGGCACACGCGTGGGCTCTCCCGCGAGGCGTTCCTCAAGCGGGCGCTTATCCGGAAGATTGCGGACGGGATGGGCTTGGATGTTGATGGTTGATGGTTAGATTTTGGATAGTATACCCTCGTTAATAGTACTCTGTTCTCTCTCTCTCTCTCTCTCTTTACACTTATATGTATATATTATATAATATCAAATATATATATA